TATTATTATTATCATTTGACCTACAGTCCTTTGAGTATCACAAAGCAGCAGCAATTGCATTTTAATATTGTAACATGTAGGGGACAGAACCTAATGCCCCTTCTTTTTAGCTTTCTCATTACAAGACTGGCATGCATTTTTGTTGCATGGCAGAACTGGTCCTTCCCTTTTTGCCATAACACTGAGAAATAAGTGCTTTTTAAAAATTATTTAAATATAGTCTCTGCTGCTACAGGCCTCCTAGCGAGTTCTGTGCCATTTGAAAGCTTACATCTCTGGAGGGAAAATATTTGAGCCGCCATCTTCTTTTCAGCCACTTGGTAGGTGCTAAGATTGCCTTTGCCTGTCCCTGAAGAGCTCAATTTATACCATCTGTGAAAGAATGGCTGATAAGATTGCCAAAACAAGCAAGCCAACTCAGTGTTACGTGAGGGAACAATTGATAGACAGTTTTCATTAACACGTCAGCTGGACACCACTTATAGCTGAGTGGAATGAATGGGTCTGTTTTATTACTGAACAGAAACTTGATTTTGCAGGGCAGGAATGAGGAGCCTGGGGGCCATTATGCCCCTCTCTGTTTAGCCTTTGGGAATCACTCTAGTCTAGCCACATTCCCTGACATAGAATCATAGAATGTTAGAGTTGGAAGGGACACAAAGGTCATCTAGTCCAACCCCCTGAAATGCAGGAATATTTCGCCCAATGTAGGGATCAAACCCACAACCCTGAGATTAAATGAGTCTCATGGGCTATAAGCTCAGCACCCTCAGGATGCACCACTCCTTGAACGGAAAGGGCCTCCATCTTGCCTGGATGGAGGAGGGAGGGAGAAAGGGAGGTGCTACTGTGCAAAGATAAAAATTACATTTGTTGCTCTGCCCACTTTTGCCTTTGGTGCCACCCACAACTGGCATGTGGCCCTCAGAAGGCTGCCCAGAAGGAAATGTGGCTCTCAGACTGTATAGCAGGCTTCCTCAACCTCGGCCCTCCAGATGTTTTGACCTACAACTCCCATGATCCTTAGCTAGCAGGACCAGTGGTCAGGGATGATGGGAATTGTAGTCTCAAAACATCTGGAGGGCCGAGGTTGAGGAAGCCTGCTGTAAAGGTTCCCCACCCGTTTTAATCGAAATAAGGTAAAAAGCTTAAAAGCTGGCTGTACAGAAGATGACATGCTTTAGGAAGGTGTGGTGCAGTGGTTAGACAGTTGGTCTAGAACCTACAGTAGGGTAGAGCATGGTGCTGATAATACCAAGGTTGCAGGTTCGATCCCCTTAGGGATAGCTGCATATTCCTTCATTGCAAGGGGTTGGACTAGATGATCCTCAGAGTCCCTTCCAACTCTACAATTCTACAATTCTATTATTCTACAGTAGGGCAACCTACTGTGGAACCAGGTAAAACTTTTAACTGCAAACAAACTGGGATGAATATCTAAATGGCATAAAATGGAATAATATAAAATGGTATATTATAAAACACCAACATGTTTCTTCTTCAGTGGTCTCTGGCACCCGTCTGTACGGCATGTAGCAAACACACACACAAATGTAAATTCAGAATACTTCCATACCGATGAAAAAGACAGGTAAAATATATACATAAACCCAAATAATTTAGGGCTTGTTGATATAGTTCTGATCAGACCATGATATAATCTGAAATGCAGCACTTGTAGATGTGGGTTGAAATGCATTAGTCGCTTTATAACACACAATATTTCACTTTGTTTCATTTGGACACCCAGAGTACATTTTGTCCAGAACCAGCCAAAGATGACACAGAATAATGAAGCTATTTGAGTTCTCCAGAACTCCTAATCAGGCAGGATTTTGACACTGATTTTTTTTTTAACTGAGAAGTGACAGCTAGAAATTCACAGTCCTAAGTATTTGTCACACTTGACAGGAAGAAACTTAAAAAGCAAGTCATTTTAAGGTGTAAGCTGGTATCCCACTCCAAACAAGGTTTTTAAAATAGAAAATGTACCCGAGGTACATTTTTTACAGTTGTATTCTCAAAAATTAGTAAACATACAATAAAATGGAAAATGTGTATACTGCTTTTTTTTTTACCTCAGTGGGAAATTATCAAAGCCATTCACATCATAAAACCTACAACAACATGCAGTAAATTTTAAAAAGTTCTACAACACAGCAAAGTTTTTTGATGACAGATTTTCGGTGCATATGATGGATATATACTGTTTGAAAATCACACCAGATAAAACAAATCAGTTACAAGTATTCCCTCCATACCAGAGACACGGTGGATATCAGGTGTGAGACAAGAGCCCTGGGTAGTGACTGGAGAAAGGCACTTTGCACATACTCAGGGGCACAGTTTACTACTACCCTACACACGATGCTCTTCCAAAGCAGTTTTGGAGCTAAGCATATCATCCCACAGGTTGGGACACCATTGCTTCTTCACATCCCAACAGCCCTTCCTCTGCTAGGACCACCACAAAGCCGTGCAGCCTTGGGACTCACCAGCGATCGCTCACTCTGCCTTGCATCTTCCCCTGTGCATGTAAAGCCAGGCTTTATCCAGGAGCAAACACTCCCCTGGCCTGAGCTGTGTTTTCGTTGCCAACGGCAACAGAAGCAACCATTCTCCATAGCGGATGGAGGGAGATGAAAGATCTGCAAGGGAAACACGGCTGCGTCTCAAGAGGCACACAGCGAATTAATCTGCCTGAAAAGCAAATCATGTTTCTGTCTGGGGGCTTTTTATATACCCAGCCAAAAGAGAAAACCATGTGTAGGACCAAAAAAAGAGAGTATTTCGACACCTTTTAGAAGGAATGAGGAAGCTTTGGCCTTCCAGATGTGGCAGAACTACAACTCCCAGCAGCCTCAGCAAGCATGACCAATGGGCGAGGGGTGATGGGAGTTGCAGTTTGGCAACATCTGGAGGGCCAAAGGTTCCCCACAGCCGCATTAAAACAAGGGAGGCGAACCCTTGTCACTGTGTGACCTTTCAGGAGCCATATCTCAGTGACGTGTGGGGCCACAAATGCGGGTTTTTGTCTTTGTACAAAAGCCTAGTTTTTACACATAAGACTCCCCTCTCCATCCTTCATCCAGACAAGCAAGAAGCCTGATCAGAGTTCAAGGATGCATTTCCGCTGGGCAAAAAACTTTCAGAGAAAGCGTGAAGCAGAATCAGTGAAGTGTGTGTGCGGCTTCAGAGGGTGCAACACCTGAGATTCCTGAGGGCCGGGTTGAGAGGATTGGAGCGCCACATTCGGCCCCTGGGCACGAGGTCCCCAATTCTTGCCTTTGTAACTGACAGGATTTTTTGCATCAGAATTTTGGCAGATGCGCCGAGAACAGTAAATGCATCTTCCCAGTGTGGTTCAGTGTGTCAGATTAAGACCCGAGAGACCAGGGTTCAAATCCCCACTCAGACATGAAGATCACTGGTTGACCTCAGGCCAGTCACTCAGTCTCAGCCTAACCTACCTCACAAGGTTGTTGTGAGGATAAAATAGGGAGAACTATGTACGGCACCTTAAGCTCCTGGGAGGAAATGCAATAAATACAAATACAAATAAAAATGGGTTTTCTGTTGTCCCATTTGAAGTTAAAGGGGTACTACACCCCTCCCCAAGCATGCTGCTATACTTCCCTCTTGTGTAATGTGGGTTCCTATCCTGTCAGCATGAGGGCACTGAGTTTCCTCTCTGAAGGAGGGAGAATTTAACAAAAAAGGACATTTCCAAGCGAATCCTTACAGCGCAAACAGGTCATAAAAATCAGATTTCTCTCGCTGTTTGGCAAGTCATTCCTCGTTGTTGCCTTCGCATCCACCCAGCCATGGGTATATATTTCAAACGTATTTGCTGTTTTGAACTGTTTTTAAATCATTTGGGCCGCTTCCAACTCGAGATGATTCTTTAAAAGGAGATAAATAAATAAAACCCCTGGCTATTCCGCTGCTTCAAGTCCTGGAAGACCTGCTAGCCTGGAAGACCCTTGCTGGCCTTTTCCCACCTGGCCTGACCAGCTCCAGTTACGAAAGTTGAGGCTGCTGAACAGATTTTTCGGGCTGGGGTATGTTGCCGTTGCTGTAATTGATCTTACTTCGTGTCTTTATTTTTAGACCTTTTTATGTGGATTTATTCTTCAGTGTGGTTGTGTACTTTTCCAATGAGTTTTCTTTAGTTTTTGACTTTTGTTATGCTTCTAATTGTGTATTTTTTTCCCACGTTGTATGGCACCTCAAGGATGGTTTTAACCAGTGCTTTTTTCCCCGGGAGTGCTTGTGTGTGTGTGGACGGGATACAGGGGTACGCATACCCCTAAACATTCGCGAAATAAAATAAATAAATAAATAGATAAATAAATAAATAATTCCTTCCAGTAGCACCTTAGAGACCAACTTAGATGGTCTCTAAGGTGCTACTAGAAGGAATTTATTTTATTTCATTTATTTTGTTTTGTTTCGATTACGGAAGACCAACACGGCTACCTACCTGTAACCTAAACATTTTGTGAATCTAAGTTTGGCCTCATTGAGGGGCAGTATTTCAATATGAGTAGGAAAATGAGAGTATCCCTAAACATTTTTTTAGAGGAGAAAAAAGGCACTGGTTTTAACTATGGAAAGGTGGCATGCAAATAAAATGAGGTTTATGACAATAACATGCTGACAGTGTCTTCAGCACCAGGCAAAGTTTTAACCATCCCAGCTTTCAAATAATTCAAAGTTTCCCAGTTCTGTTTCTAAATCTGTTTTAACTTTTGTGGTGAGTTTTTGTTTTCTTGTCATATTTATGTCCTGTTTGCCTCTTTATTTGGTATTTAACTTGCTTTTACTTTTTTTAAAGGCTGTCAGAACACTTTATGTTAGGAGGTTGTGCATACACACACACACACAGGGAGAGAGAGAGAGAGAGAGAGAGAGAGAGAGAGTAAACAAATTATATGCAAGAAAAGGTTTCAGTTATATACCACCCTAAAAATAAAATCAAAATCAAACCAGATTTCTTTAAGTAGACAATTTATTTTGATAAACTTGCTCAATAACAAAAATACAAGTGAAGAAAATTATGTTCATTTTATACAGCTTGTATTAACAATTTGTTTGGAAATTAAATCGGGGCGGGGGAGAGAAATGTCCTAACCAATTAGAAATAATCTTTAACAGTTGGAAGAGGATATGGTTGCAGTGGAAAGGGGGAAGACCACCACGAAGACCTTGAGCCCAAACATTTATGATCTCTTGGAGTAGCAGAAACAGAACTAGCAACTCCAAGGCAGGAAAACCTATCTGAAAATGCCATTTCCTTCATCTTTTTGCTTTGGGATCCTTCACACAACTTTATATTTTTTTTAACAGCAGGTCAAAACAGCAACTGAAATAACACACCGGAGAAAGGAAAGGGGTGTGAAAGTGAGCTTTAGCAGTGCACCGAAGTCATTAAAACAGAAATGCTTGGAAACAGATCCCTAAACTCTACAATTTTATCTCAGGCGTGACTCCAGTGACTGTAAATTTGAAAAATAAGGCCTAAGCTTCAAGATTCCCGTCTCCCCACCCTCAACCCTGAAAAGAAGGCTTTAAAATGGCAACAGGATAGTAAAAAAATGATATTGTAACAGACACAAATTCAGGTTTGGTTTTTTTCAGAGAAATCTCACAAAAGACTCCAAAAAAGCAGGGTGGGGAGGAAGAGTTGCTGCTGTGAAGTTTATTGGTCACAATAGAAATAGAGACCGTACAAGTTTACCATAAGCCTGTCAAAATGACTGTAGAATGAACTTCATTTCACCAGAACCAGGATGTTAAAAGCATTCGGAGTCGTGTGAATAATTTGGGGCATTCATGAAATAGCAGCAAAGTAAGTGTGACTGGACTAATACAAATAATTTGCTCTTAAAAGTAAAGCTGGCAGAATTTCAAAAGGCTTTATGTGAATGCTCACCCCACCAATGCAGATTTTGCTGGGCAAAAAAGTTGCACACACTGAACTGAATTAAGGGACAGGCATTTATTAAAAAGCCTGTAACAGGTTTTCCCCAAAAAGAGAAAAAAAAATCCTTGTGCAAATACAAGCGACAAATATTTCTTTGCAGATTTTAGCATGATGCTCTTAGGTATGGGGAAGGGGGGGACACAATGCTGACCCCCCCAAAAGTAACAGACAGAAGGTTGACAAACAATTGCACCATAAAACTGTGTTTTATATACAGTTTACAAGATATGGTCTTTCTGCTATAAATTAATACTGCATTCCATGTGATCTTATTAAAAGCAACTGCTGATCCTCTCTGTCCCTCCCATTCCTTTTTATAGTTAGAAGGATTATCCACCCCCCCCCAAATGACTGAAATTAAAGTTAAACAAACATAACACACCAATTATTTATGCATTCTGCAGCTATACTGATTTTCACAAATACCTGTAGACAGGCCAGGCTCCTGCTCACAATATACAGACTGGACATATTCCATGATCACAGAAGGTCATCAGCGGATGCTCTTCTTCTGAACTTTCCCAACCTGTTTTTAGTTAAGTCAGGAAAATGTCACCATGTGGTCATCTACAGAAAGGGGACAGTGGGGTGAGGTCGTTCTGGCAAATATGCCCCCCATGTAAGCAGGCGCGGGGGTCTGGACTAGGGCTGGGTGATGTATCGATACACTATCCAAAATCAGTTTGAAGTCCGCATCGTGGGAACAGTTTCATAATGTTCGACATGGTGATATATCATGGATCACGATGTCTGGCTATGTAAAAAAAAAAATCACAATGTGGGAAAAACCGTGAAGCCGGTCATCACTTTTCTCATGATTCCTGCCACCCCTGTTGCTCTGTACTATAAAAAACACTTGTAACAGTATGTTAACGTTAAGAAAAACCGTATCAGTTTTAGACCCCTAGATGCCAGGACATTATGCCATTTGCCTCTACATAGTTCCATCCTTATTTCAGACATATATTTCATATATATCGGTATATCATGATGTTTAGCTTGTGATATATCGTGATGCTGAAAAGCAGATGTCGCTCTGCCCTAGTCTTGACACTGCCCCTACTAAGGCTCCCATGATGCATTTTGGATACATGTGACCCATCTCCCAATACCCTTTGACCTCCTGTTTAGCAGAGAACACAAATCCATCAGCTTAGGTTGCTAATCTATGTTCTCAGGACAGTTTCAAACTCAAGTCAAGGCCAGCTTATATTAAACCCTTCCATTTAATCGTTTAAGGATGGGAGCTTGGGAGCATTCCTGGTTCTTCCAAACTAATAATAATAAATGGCCAGTGAGCTTCTGCGGTCTTCCTATTTCTCAACCAAGAGCTCTTAACTAATGCCATTTGCTCATGTTTCCAAATAGGGGAGATGGGGTTTAATTCAGCTTCCTAATGTAGAAAGGCAGGCTGAGCTTTAGATAGGGGTGCAAGATCCCACGTCTGAAAGATGGTGCCAATGAAGACAGGTGATGGCGGTATGAATTTGGGGTGGGGAGATACACACTAAGAAAGAATAGAGGAAGGGCAAGGAGGGCTGCAAGAGATTTGGCCCAGCCATAACTTACTCTGCCTTCTTAGGCAGAGATTGTGCGAGGTTAAATGCTCCGATTCCTGATCTCAAAATAGCACCTGCAGCAAACAAGGTATGAAAAGAGGACCATACAGTTACTCAGATAATTGTAGGGTACTTATGTCGTTAACTATGGCAAGACATAGAATGTAGTAGAAGGGCAAGAGTTTGCAGTTTTTGTTTTTGTTTTTAAAAAAGCTCTGCTCCTGTGTCTTACAACAGCAGTCTGATATGTAGAAATTAAACTGGTGAAGGTTTCTAATATAATTTCATTTCCATGGCAGGAAGAGAGATCATTAGCTGTATTTCTGGATGTCGTGCTGTACAAGAGAAAAGGCAGTAACAATACTGGCAGCCCTAGAAAGAACCCAGGCAGGTAACAAACCAGGGATAAAACTTCTAGGAAAATGCACCACCTCCATATTATTCCATGGAACTATTTACAATAATCCTTTGGAGAAGGTGTCATTTTTACCCTTACTAGAACAGGTTATAGCTGCCAGGCCTTTTATCAGCTTGCTCATCCCTTTTAAGTACCAATTCATAAATGCGAACAAATTAACCCCATTAAACTATGAAGATCTCCTCAGAGCTCTGCATGGGATTTGCTGTTGCAATCCAGTTTTCTCCAACATTGCGCAGTTTAAAAAGAACTTTCACATCCAAAACCAGCAAGCCCACATAGGGTGTCATTTTAGGAAAGCTGACAGAATTCAACAGCGCTCACAATTTCTTTTGTGAAGAACCCCTCAGCCAGCTGAGTGAACAGGTTAATTTTTTTTAAAACAAATACTCCAGGCAAAATATATATATATCACAATCATCCATAAACTCTACAGAGAAAGGAATCTGATACATCCAAGTCAGCCTCTGGCAACAATACTGTGATGGGAAAGTTTGCATGATTGGAAGGTTGTTCTGAAAATCATACATGATTTTTCTACCAGAGAATCCTCGTTTTTACAGCAAATTTTGCATACACAAATGAAAATTGGTCAGGATCTTTCTCTTGAAGCCGGAAGCAATTCCCCTCAGTGCCTGATTGTAGCATGAGATGCTGCCGGCCTGGTAACCTTACATTTTCCCACTGCTACGATGATTCCTCGTGGTCCCTTCCAACGCTACAATTCTATGACATCTTTGCAGTGATCAGTTGTACCCGTGAATAGAGAGCAACACCATGTGTTATGCTGAAAGTACAACAGCAGTGACTCCCTAAACAACTTGCATTAAAGGACCAGCAGCTAGCATTCAACACTATTTCAAAGGTTATCAACTTCTTCCAAAATAGCGTGGGGTTTCGTTGTTGCTGCTGTTCCAGCTCCACTCAGTCGCCGTCACTTAAGTGAGCAGGGCTGGCGCCTAGGGTCAAAACCATCAGGCATCTGCCAAAGCCCACATCCTGGCAAAGGGCCTGCTGATGAATGGAGCTACAAAAACCAGACCGCTGCTGCTGGGCCTGATGACGTGAATTAAGGAGCTTTAATGGGGGCTGCTCATGCCCAGAATGGCAGGCAGGTGCTGCTGCTCAGAAACACTCTGGCAAAAGACTGTTGCTCAGATCTTCCGTTTTGGCTACTGCAGGTTGTTCTTCACTTCTGGTGGGCCCATAAGTGCTCTCTTGGCCGGAGAGCAGAGAAAACAGGAGCTGCCTCCATTACTGAAGGAGGTTGGCAATGGCAGACTCTCTTAAGAGACCAGGATGAGAGGGGAGACGATGCTACGAACTGCAAAGGCCCCTTGGATGTGAGCAAGCCCTACGTTAAGTGTCAGAACAAGGCAAAGCATGGGGACGTCAAGTGACCATATGGCTCTCTTTTTTGTACCAGTGGATTTAACTTAATACTCGCACATGAAAGAAGACTATGTCCCTCTTTGTAGCTTTTACTGCCCAACCACCCGGTTCATGTAGCCAACTTGAGATGATATCTCACGGTAGATTTTCTGTGGAGAAATTCATATTAATAAGTGAAGCCAGAAAGAGCTGGCAAAGTGGAAAGAGGGTTGTGGAGGGGAGGAGAGAAACAGAGAGAGATGGAGAGAAATCAACCCACTTCAGTTGCCCATAATTTAAGTAGTGTAACTTCCCAATACTGGGATCGGACCTTTGCAAAGTATGACACAAACTTGCCTTCTATCCCCAATATACAAATAAATTACCATATAAAGAACAAAACCCTCTTAGCTTAACTTAGAATTGCACCTAGAAAGGTATGGAGTTGTTTGTACCTATAACAAAACATCTGTTAAAACCAAGGGCTGCTACAAAGAATGAGGTAAACTGAAGACTTTTCCAGCTATGCAGCCTTCAGAGAAATGGCTTTGTGTTGTTGTTTTTTCTATTTCACTTTCCCCCCTCTCCTATCGAGTTCTAGTTTTACACACCACAGTGTTTTGCTAGCAAAGCGCTCGAGAGCTCTCTTCCAGAAACATGTGTCTGCGTGTATATATATGTATGTGTATATACACACACACACACACACATATACACACACAAACATATATATACATATTCTGTATACTGCATCAGCAATATATATATATATATATTTATATAAATATAATGAAGAATTCCTAGCCACCCTGACGTTCCACGGTGTTTCTAGAGCTCACTGGGGTTGGCGAGAGAGATGGCAGGCAGACGTTTTTGTTGTAACAGATTTCCGAGAACATCTTTTGATCAATTGGCTTCAGGATGCAGTTAGTGTAATGTTGAGCTGTTGGTTGGTTGGTTTTTTTGGCGGCAAATGCTTCTTGCCTATCACAGAAGGAAGATGCTTATCTCCTAAAGAGAGTGAGGCCAGCCCCACTTCCAACTCCCTTGGCAAACCTCTGGTCGACCAAAGTTCATAAATACTTTTGAGATTTTTCAAAATTGTCAAGTTATCTAAAATGGGTCCAGTACAGTGATGTGGGGGGTGGGGGTGGGGGGGGCAATAACGCTGCTCAGTGTAGAAAAGAATTATTCCACTACACTAGTTTCTATCACAGTGCACACCTGACCGCATCCAGACGCTCAGGAGATGAGTCAAGGCTGTCTGTCTGTATTTGGTTGTGGGAAAGGCTCTCCGTTCAAAAACAAAAATAAATCCAAAGTGCATAGTGAGAACGCATCAGAGACCTCCTCGTTCCGGTAAGACTGCAGCAGCCCAACGCAGGCATCCTTCCGAGATAGCGACAGGCGTCCTACTCTCCTTCATGACCGAGTGAAGCAGTATCTAGACCTTTGTCAGCCAGGTAAACAGACTTTGCCAGCAAATAGAAGTCCCACTATTGTAAAGAAAATGGATAAAACAAACAGTACGTACGACGACCCAACCACTGTGTTGTTCGGCAGTTTATAAGGTTGGCCACCCACTTCGTTGATATAAAATCCTATGGGAAATATTAGGGCCGCCATGCAGAATAGGATCACTGGAAGAAAATAAAAACAAAACAGGGATTAGTCCTTGGGGTGTGTGAGAGAGGGAGAGTCATGTTGATAGCTCATAGCATTAAACAACAACCACCACGGATTGCAGACCTTGGAAGTTTCATCCCACTACATCTCAAAAGGACAAGAAAGAGGATTGGGATTTAGAGGGATGTGGCACTCAAACCAACAGATCCTTACATAGATGTTGCTCTTTGTTCTCTGGGTATCTCCCAAGTTACAAGGCACTCTGACCAGGACTACTTGTCTGCATATATACATTTCCGTAACTTAAGAACCTCAGATTTCCTGCATCAGTAAAGGATTAAACTAGAGAACCTCACAGGTCTCTTCCAACCCTATAATTCTCTGGCAGAGGGACTTCCTTGGGTGCCTCACCAGCTGCCATGTGGCAAATGGCTACCAAGTAGAGAACCTTCTGGCACCTCAATTACAGAATGCCTCATGGAAAGCCTCTGTTGGTACCTCTATGCCCATCAGCGCTATGTTGGCAACCTCTGTACTACCCGATCATTCCCACCACCATCATTAGAGATCAGGCAAGGAATGGCTCAAGTGAAGGCCATTGTAACAGAATGCTCCAGCAATAAATACCCTCCTTAAGACCACTTACCCAATACCGTCCTGCGTTTTAGATGCCAGCTGAAGATTTTCTTGTTAAACCAGGCTCAATAAACAACCAGTGAATCATGATACCTTCAGCTGCTCTCCATTTTAGATGGCTGGACTCTTAGTGCAATGTTCTGTCCCACAGGGGCCTTTTTTTAGCATTTTCATGAATTCCTGATTTAACTGTAAGCCATCTTGGAAATGTTCAATGAAAGATGGGGCGTTGATGTGTAAAAATGTGTAAGTAAGTTGAAGACAGCACGGTACACATTCCATGCAAAACACACGTATGCCGTACCTCAAGGGGGGCAGTATGCTAACTGGAACGAATATTTTGTGGTCACACCCTAAGCACAAGCTAGGAGACCGATGGCTTCTGATTTCAAAGAAAGAACGCTATAGTAGCCATGGGACACCTACCTGAAACAGACAGTCTACCAATCCAGTCTTAGTTTATCAGGACTCCAGCTGAAAAACCACTAGAGGGAGCTTAAAGCTTTCTGTTAATTCGGCACCCAAATGAACACAGCTAAGAGAACAGGATGGGGTGTGCGCTGACCAGGAGGTTTGGAAAAAAGCCCACTTGGCTTCTACTTGATTTGGCTCGGGTCAGAGGCACAGCACACTCTGGAATGAACAAGCCTTCAGCCTATTCTACTACCCTATCCCACTGCCTGTGTGGGTCCCAGATGTGAGGCAAGGAGGGGACACCTGCCCTTGGGAATTTCATGTTCCCAAGGGATAACACAGGATAAAATTCTAGGCTTGCTGACCCAGTGTAGATAACCTTCAACCTTCGCCAGGCTCTTCCTCCCAATACAGCTGCATCACTCCCCTCCCGCTGTAGAGCACAAAAGGAGCATTATGCCCATCGTATGGCTTATCAGAAGTGGACATGCACCTGGTCAGACCACCTACCCATCTAGCTTGGTACAACTGACCATTCCAAATGGCCATAGCTCATCAGAGTCTCAGGTAGAGGTTTTTCCTTATTACTTGATACCTGAACCTTTTAACTGGGGGATACTGACAGAGTGGTGCAGAGCTAACAACTTGCTCATAAATACAAGGAAGACAAAGGAGCTTGTGGTGGACTTCAGGAGACAGAAGAGCAACGTCCAGCCACTTTTGATTGATGGGGTCTGTGTGGAGAGGGTAACAACGTTCAGATTTTGGGTATTGAATTACAAGAGGATCTGTCCTGGAGTGTCAACACAAGGGGGCTTGTGAAGAAGGTGCAGCAGAGACTGTACTTTTGAGAATACTAAGGAAAAACCATCTTCCGCAGAAACTGCTGCTTGCCTTCTATCACTGTGCCATTGAGAGCGTGCTCACTTATGGCTTATGTGTGTGGTACAGAAGCTGTACTACCCAGGACAGGGTGGGGTTGTGCAGGGTTGTTAAGGCAGCAGAGAGCATTGTTGGCTGCCCACTCTCCACCTTAGAGCAGATTTATGCCACAAGGTGCCATAGGAAGGCACTGGACATAGTAAAAGATCCATCGCATCCTGGTCACTGTCTCTTCGAGCTCTTGCTGTCGGGACAGAGATACAGGACGATGAAGACAAGAACGAGCCGTCTTAAGAACAGCTTCTTCTCCAGAGCGATCTCGGCCCTGAATGGGAAGCCCGGACTTTGAAAGTCATCTAATCTCCCTTGCTGTATTATACTGTATTGATTAATTAGTGTTTTTATGGAGCAGTCAATTAATTTCGTTGTCCCCGAAGGGGGCAATGACAATAAAGATATTATTATTATTATTATTATTATTATTATTATTATTATTATACCAGAGACTGAGTATGGGACCTTCTGCGTGCAAAGTAGAGAATCAGTGTTGGCTGGCTCTACCATTGAACCAGAGTGCCTCCCAGAAGTCAAGACGTTTCTGGCAAGCCAACCATGGGGCAATAGGGCAAAAGGAGCCCCTCTCTCAGCAAACAGAATTCAGAGAAAGGCCGACTCTGCACCTGAGCTCTGCACCACCATCAAGTACCCACTGACAGTACTGCCCTCTCCTCCAACATTTCTACTCCATTTCTGATGTTCCTTTAGAAGGTCTCAGCAAACTCAGGCTTGCAGAAGTATATTATTTAAGAAAAAAGGGTGAGTATGAACCTCCAAAACTCCACAATGCCTCATTCCCCCTTTTATCCATTCTTCTATTTACGCTAGCTCTCAGTGATACTGTATGCAGCTGCCCAGGGCATCCTGAGTCTGTCTTTTAGATAATATAGTGTTTTTACTTGGGGATATTCAAAATCCTGCAGTAGATTAGGCTCAGACACTTGCAGAAAATTGGTTTCTGGTATAGGTGAAACTGCTGTTGACTAGAACAAAAAGCAGGGAATAAAGCAATCCTATTAAAACATGCATGTGCACCTACTCCATTTTTCGAAACGGATCCTATCTGTTATAATTAGTCTGCGTAAAGAAATAAGCTTCCTATTACCCACCCCCAAATATGCACAATAGTTTGGAGAAGGGTGCTTCATGGAAAGCAGTATTTCTGATCTTCCTGGGTGGGCAAATATTTGTGAAAGGAGATCACTCCAGCTCAGATTTCCCAACCTGCACTGCTAGCCCACAGTGACTGATGGCTTGTGAATATGGGGTAAGTTCTAACTTGTGGAGTGAGACAACTTGCATCAGATCAGAGTAGGCTGGTCCATAAGGACAAATGCCCAACTACCTTCAGTGTGCCCCCAAACAGCCAATAAATAATAATAATAACAATAATAATAATAATAATAATAATAATAATAATAAAAATACCCCGCCTTTTTCCTTGATGGGACTCAAGTGGCTTACAGATAAAACAAGAACTGCTAAGCAACCAGTTCAAGAGGTGGCACAGGCTGTAAACTTCCTCCTCTTCAGTTTCAGCATTGTTCCTTGTAGAACTCAGCAGGGAGAAAGACAGGGGCAAAACCAGAAGTAATTGGCTCTGCTTATCACTGGCACTGACTCCACCTACCACTGGTCTCCTGCCTTATGCCCCACCAGCGTCAACAGTCACCAGCCACCAGTGCAAGTACTGTGTAACTCAGCAGCAATTGCTATTAATCTGCATTCATACTTAACAGGCGCCTCTTTTAAAAAAAAGTTGCCAGATGAGCCTGACTTGTAGGCAAAACTAAGTGAATATTGCAAACATGGACTGCAAGTCTTTTTGGATCCTGTGTGGCACAGTGAGTTTCATGTTCAGTAGCATTCCGTGAAGTAGGCAATATTTGGTTTACGGGGCTTGAAGGAGCTGCACCAGAGCAGGGGAAATCTGCTTCTGCTTTGGATACGAAGGAGTTTAATGAGGGAAACAGCACCATCCCTGCCTTGAGACCTTTTGAACTGGACAGCAGGTGCTTGCAGATTTCCCTTGTATATCTTCATGGACTGCACAAAGCTGTACTTAAAGGCTGGCTGTGTGGGAGGAGTAATTAATGTATTACATTCATTGCCACAAGATGTTGTGGTTGATCATGGGCTCAGGTGGCTCTGAAAAGGGAGTGAACAAATTCTGAACTATTGCCCGGTGGAATGTTCCTTTTCACTTTGTTCCACTCAGCCAGCCATGCCCTCCACTGTTAGCGTGCTGACCTTTGACAGGGGAACCCAAATTAGGCTTAGCAGTAGGGACGAAACTAGGACACTGCAACCTAGTTGTGTGAGAGAGAAAAGAGCCTTACCCCTCACCCCCCAAACTCAGAAAGTATCCTACCTAGACCTCCCTGGGGGGAATATAAAATCTAATAAACCCTTCCTTCTTTCAGGTCACAGAAACCAATGGCAGATTCTGGAGAAGGAGTCAGTACATGCAGGTTTCTTGAAAACAGGGAAGAGTTTTCAGCTTCCTGCCAGGGAAAGGAGGGTCCACATGGGGTTTCAGGTTACGAGGAAGGTGTTCGGAAGCATCTCAGACACAGGTGCTCCCCTCTCCTGACTTCCCAAAAGCCAAGGTGACTCCCAGAGGTTTGGCCTGCTGCCAGATCTACTCCAGAGCCCAAAAGGCAGACTTACTTCCAGTGAATGCTATCCAGCGTGCGTATTTAGTTGCTTCTCTTCGCCAGTGGGAAGCCACTAGCAAGCCACATGTGACAGTCAGTGAAATGATTCCCATGATGATGAAAAACAAGGTGGTGACCCACTCAGGAGGCAACCGTGGAGGAATACAGGTCCTGTCACGTCCATGAATGGTTTGACACTGTCGCACAAGGCCAACTGTGAGAGCACCTGAAACGACACACACGACAAGACAAGAACCCATTAACCGGTGTGCCTTTTTTCTCTCTCTGCCCGTCCTCACCCGCTTCCTCAAAACAAGAAGTTAGGAGCAGCCCTGGCTTTGCCACACCAAAAGTCAATTCTGTCTCCCCCTACAATGGCCACCCAGATATTTCTGGGGGAAAGTAAGCTAACAGCCCTTCTGGCCATTGTTGCGACCTGGCAGCTGACACTGTGTGGCACATGGCCTCTGAACCAAGAGACTAGTAGCCATTTTGTAGAAAGTTTAGATCAGTGGCTCCCAACGTTTCCCCCTCCATGGACCACCTGAAAATTCCTGAGCACCTCAGTGGGCCACTTGATGATTTTTCTGTCCATTGTAGCAATTGTACTGTGCTGTGCTAGATGCTGTATGACTTCCAATCTCGCTTTATTGCTTCATTTGCATTTTACTGTATTGCAATTTGAATTCCACAGAATGCAGTGAATACAATGTAATAAATAAAAAGAATTAAAAATCACTATGAACATTTAATGTGATGGTTGTGCCATTTCCCATCCTCAACCAAGAATCCAGAGGCATGCCGCGGACCACTTGAATAAAGCTTGCAGATAGCAAGAGTGACCCAAGACAGAGAAAAAAAAAGAATCAGTGCGTCTAGACAGCATGGTTAGCCCAGGAAACTGATGCACTGCAAAGCAGAGGACGTTTTCTTCTCAGCTCCAACTTGCTGCCCACTCACCTTCGGGCATGAAGTTAAAAGGTTTAACACTGAAGGCGAGAGAAAAAAGTATTGTGATCTGTGCAGTTTAATGACTCCTCCCTTAAGACTAACTATAACACAACTGATTAAAAGCACCTGCAGGCACAGTCATTGTCTGTTTGTGGGAAATGCACACAGGCAAACACAATAGTCACTGTTCAGATGTCACAGTTACAGTGTTAAGGAATTCTCTTGAGAATGGGCTCAGGCAAGTCTGTAACAGAGGCCACCAAATCGCAAATGCATCAACATGGACAATCCTCACGCTCATCTGCTTGTTCACCACAGGGCAGATGTTGCCTCCCTGCAACCAAAGCTAGCAGTTTGGAATTGTTGTCAGATTCCACATATCCCTGCCCTTTTTTGCCACTAGCACCTCCAACAACAGCTTGTCCACAGTAGGAATTTGGGTATGGCCGGCTATTTACTGCAATGCAAGGTCTATAGGCTGGCAGCCTGGGGTCTCCTGTTCTAGACACCACCTGCAAGTAGAAATTAGTGGAATTTTCCAAGCTGCGCATTTTCCATTCAAACCAGAAGCTTTCCAAAAAGAGCTGCACAGATTGTGGGCAAATGAAAAGGTCAGTTGACACAGCTCTAAATGCCTCACACAACAGCAAAGGCTACTCTTGATTGTTACAAATGTCCTAATGATTTGCCACAGCGCACAGCCTTCATTTTCCGGAAAATTAGGCCAAAGATAATAGAATAAGGCTGTGCAATTAATACGCCTCGCTTGGCGCTGGGAGATCTATTTCAATTTAGCCGCCTTCACGAAAGGAGCACGCCAGCGCGACACGACTGCATGTGTTTACAGCACAGAATTCAGGTGCTTCTTGTTAGCTAGAAGAGCAAAGCGTTCTCGTTTGAACAAATCTCACTTAGTGTACTCCAGATGCAAATGGTTTAACAAGTTGAAACCAATTACCTTGCAAATCCTACTTAGCTCCTGTGCACCCACAAATATGAGCATTCTCACTATTTCCAAACCTACTTTCTGCGGTGTGAGAAGTTGCAGTATTCAATAAAATGGTTTGGGATTATCGTCCCAGATGAGGAATGAGCATGTTCTGTTGGGGCTACCAATGGCTGCTAGCCATGACAGCTGTGTCGGTTGTTGGGTATCACCAGTTGCTGGAAACTACGGCAGGGGCTGCATGGAGGGAAGTGTTCTTGTCCTTGAATCCTGCCTACTGGTTTCCCACTGGCATCTGGTTGGCCACTGTGAGAACAGGGTACTGAACCGAAAAGGCTACTGGCCTGATCCACCGGGGCTTTTCTTATGTTTTTGGCCTGGGGAATGGCAATATTGCCAACCAGGGGCCTGGGCAAGAAATAGGCAGAGGGAGGGAAAGGGGGGAAATGACCCTTAGTGGGCCTGGGAGGGGAAATGCATGAGGTTGTGGGCCACGGTTAGAGTGTTGGGTATTTGCAGTTTACTTGCGCTGCAGAAAGCTTGCTGGGGAGACCACGCCTTACAAGGAACTCAAAAATAACTTTAAGAAGGTTTTAATAACAAAAACAAAAACTCCTTTTACACTAAACATATCAATAAGCATGACCCATCCACCAAACCAACCCCCAGGGTACTGAGAGAGCTAGGTGCTGCTCTTTATATACTATACCCAATTGCTGACACAGCTTAATTAACACAACATAGCAGCACCTGCTATGCTGTTTCACAGCTGTAAAACTGGGTCTCGTTATTTACTCTGGCCCTTAAAGACATACACATCTTGTGGAACAATAATGAACCTTCCCATTTAAATAGACCAGGGGTCTGCAACCTTTAAGACAAAAAAAGCAACTTGGACCCATTTCCGAAGAAAAAAAACCTGGGAGCCGCAAAACTCGTCATTATAAAAATAACTTTTTTGTCACTTTTTTATTATTTCTTTGTTTGACCCCTCAGAATTACTCCTCCTCGTAGAAATAAACGTTAAATTAACAAGTTACCTTTTTGTGTGTGTGTGTTCTTCACTCCCCTTCAAAACAGTGACCAGCGTACATGCCCCCTTTCAATGCAGTGACCAGCATACATGCCCTTTACAATGTAGCAGGCGGGCGGGCGGGAAGGTGATGTCGGGATGGTGTGTGACTAATGCACGCACCGCCCCCATGCGACGTCACAGCCAGTACAGCGCCCGCCACAGTGGGGAGTGTCGGGGCGCACAGTGTGCCTCCTCCCCTCGCTAGTATCCGCCCCGGAGCCGCGGCAAAGGTGTAAAAGAGCCACATGCGGCTCCGCAGCCGCAGGTTGCAGACCCCTGTCATAGGCCATTCAACACAGAGTAGGTTTAGATTGGGTGGAATCAGTTTTGCCAAGTTCTTATTTTGTAGGAAAGGGACAGATCGTCTCTACCCACTTTCTCAGTATCACACATATTTTACAAGTCCCACTTGCAGGGAAAGAGTGTCCGTCTCACTCTGGACACTGCGGGATTCCAACTTGACTGCCTGACTACTGGGATTGATGGGAAATGGGGCTCCCCCATCCCTCCCCTATTGTGTGTCTTTATCCCCACCCACCGCCATGACTTGAAATGAACTAAGAAATGTCGAACACTTTAATCTTTTCTCAGAGGGAAGATGCTCCAATTGCCTGATCCTTTGAATCACTTTTCCAGATCCACAAGATCCTTTTTGAATTCTGAACCCACCTTTGTACGCTATATAATCTCCGCTGAGCACAGGTATTATGCAACGTGTATTTGAGCACGTCTCATTCTAATATAGTTTTATCAAACTAAACAAAAACCATCAACAGCTACACTCCCCTCCTCAGAAGAGATCAAAAGAAGCTAGTAAACCTGCTTTTGTAAGACACGAATTTGGACTTCTTTGGCAATCCAAGACAGGAGATCTGGAGGGGTCTGGAACTGCTGGGTCACAGCTGCTGTGCAGGATTACTCTTGGGGGGGGGGTTGCTTTATAGGGAAACCTGCAAATGCCATATACACCCCAAGCTACAGCCTATGCAAGGAAACTAAAAACAACATGCCTGTAATTGCTATAAAATTAATGCAAATGTTACCAACTAGCTTTATAATAATAATAAAAACTTTTCAGGGTTTATGGGAAGAATCAACAAAAAGAACCCCCTCAAACGGAATAATGCCTGCCAACCACTTGTGACAAATTATTTCCCTGTCATTTGAAGAGAAAGAGGCCCATTCACTGCCCTGCCATAGATCTCTGTATGGGAAACTGAATCCCAACCATTCTTGTAAAAGGTAGGGTAGTGACAACTCAACCTCTGTTTCAAGACAACGATTCTCAAAAGACAACATTGTCCGGGCTACGGTATAACTGAGCAACTGCGTGAGAGGGCAGCCTTTCCTTCCTAGAAAGAGCTGGATGAATTCACAGCAGAAAAAAACAAGAGTGTTCTCTGTTTTCCATTTAACTCTGCAAAGAACGGAGGTTGGTGGAATCTCTTCCATAGGGAGCATCAAAAGGATGGCTTGTTTACTTCCACTCAGTTAAACATGTGGAGACCTAAGCAGCCAGCAGAGTCTCCGTGGACCCTATGCTGGCCAGCAGGAATGTTATTGCAGGTGAGAATTTGCAGGGAGGAATGAACCTAGCTTAACTTTAAAGGCTCGGGCTGTAGCAACAGACAAGCCACCCATCATCACCTAAAATTGGTAGTATCTAATGTCCACCACCCAGGTGCCAGGAGGAAGACGTGGAAGTAAATGGCAAAAGAAGTCGTGACTACTGAACATCCTCAGATGGGCAGCTGCTGAGCCAAAGTAAACTCTCTCTTTTGGGTTAAAGCCAGCACTTCTCTTATTGCCCCTCAATTCATAATGTAACTATTAATTAAGTTCTCCCTGAATTATTTGCACGCACACACCTTCCTTGCAAACATCAATGCACATTTCCAGGAACATGATTTGAAGGGGTATCTCGGATAACAACTCATTAACCTGTTTCAACTCCCGTTTTTTTACACAGTTGGAGGACTGACTCAGCAACTAAATCAAAGGGGTGTGGTAAGGTCAACAATCTCTGCTAAGTTCAGGATCTCTTTGAAACATCCCTTTCACACAGTGGTAACACTGTGTTATTTTGATGGATTTCAGAATTCCATAAAAACAAAAAACAGCACCTGTGTGTGATACAGGGGCTCACTAGAAGGCTAAGAGAATCGGAGGGAAAGTCAGCTAGGCAACAGAGGATATCTTAACAAACACGGTGGGGCATAAGACAGAATGGCTGTATTAACCATGCGAACACCACCGAGTTAAGAGATGTGCATAATGCCAGGACTCCTCAAACAGTTCTGTCATTGGCACCACATCATTTTAAAATACTGAAAGAGATAAAAGACAATCTTTCAGGAGCCCAATGGAAAAGACTGACCAAGAATATTCTAGATCAGGCATCCCAAAACTCGGCCCTCCAGATGTTTTGGGACTACAATTCCCATCATCCCTGACGACTGGTCCTGTTAGCTAAGGATGATGGGAGTTGTAGTCGCAAAATATCTGGAGGGCCGAGTTTGGAGGTGCCTGTTCTAGATGATCCCAAGACTCCGATGTAGACAAGATGACAGTGAAAGTCATCCCCATCCCTTCTTGATGGAGGCAGTCGGAGATGAACTCTGATTGTAAGAATGAGCCAAGGGAGTCAGCGAATATGACTTCCTACACCCCAGCATTTCTAAATTTCTTGTTCATGTGAATAGGGATTATCATGTCTGCATAACACCTTTAGAGGGCCATCAATGCTTTTCTTCATGTCTTAGAACGCCAATTAAGACACATTGCTGGACCCGTTAACACCGGACACTATTTCAAAGAGATAATTATATACATGCATTTGGACTGCAGATTCAGGCCAAAACTTAGAAAGGAGGAGTGGAGCTAGAGGGAAGGTGTCCATAACTTAGCAAAGGCGATAAAAGCCTGGGCTATTCAATTGATCAGCAGAGATAATTTCACAGAGGTGGAATATACCTTTGACAGCTGAAACTACTTTGGATTCCACCTGATCATCAACATGCCAGCCGACGCTGGTTTCCTAGGTAACAAAAAAAAAAAAAGGAAGTGCTTACAATAAAAAGGAAGGAAAAACACAGACAGTGGCACCTGCCTCTTCTCCCACTTCTTAACACCTTTGAATTATTCAGACGGGCTCAGGGCTGAGAGCACAGCATTAACAGTGCCACCCCTCCTACCCCCCCCTCAAAGGCAGAACAAAAATTGTGATGAATAATTTGTAATGCAGCAGCATCTGAAGACAGCCTTATCCCTTGTTCTGAAGAGTATACAAATAGGAAAGAGGGAAGGGAACTTCAGGGGGTCCAAGAATGCTAGGAGGCAAAGGTGAATGCATAAAACTGCTCCCCTTGGAGGGGGGGAGGAATATAGTTCAGTGGTGAAGCACCTGCAAAAGGGCTAAGGTTCAACTCACAACATCTCCAGGTAGGGCTGGGGAGAAGAGTCGTCTGGAACCCTGGAGCGCTGCTGCCAGTCAGTGTGGCCAATACTGATGTAGATGGGCCCTAAACAAGAGTCATTCATCAAGTAAGAGTCATTCTTACAGTTGGTGGTAACGTGGGTGGCGCTGTGGTCTAAACCACTGAGCCTCCTGGACTTGCTGATCGGAAGGTCGGCGGTTCAAATCCCCGCAACGGGGTGAGCTCCCGTTGCTCTGTCCCAGCTCCTGCCAACCTAGCAGTTAGAAAGCATACCAGTGCAAGTAGATAAATAGGTACCGCTGCAGTGGGAAGGTAAATGGCGTTTCCGTGCGCTCTGGCACTCATCACGGTCCTCCGTTCACCAGTAGCAGTTTAGTCATGCTGGCCACAACCCGGAAAACTGTCTGTGGACAAAGACTGTCTCCCTCGGCCTGAAAGCGAGATGAGCACCACAACCCCATAGTCGCCTTTGACTGGATTTAACCGTCCAGGGGTCCCTTACCTTACTTATTGACTCCATACATATACAGTTCAAGCTGGCTGCCAATTAGTTTCTGGGCCCAATTCAAAGTGCTGGTGCTGACCTATAAAGCCTTACATGGCTCAGGACCTCATTACCTTAAGGACGGACTTACAAACTGACTCAAACCCTGCGCTTGTCATCTGACGCCCTTCTCCATGTCCTCGCTCCCCAAGAGGTTTGGAGGGTGGCAGCATGAGAACCGGCTTCTACTGTGGTGGCTCCCCAACTGTCAGACACCAGGCTGAGGAGTACAACTCTGGTGAGGAACGGTGGGAGCCTCCCCCTCCCCCTGCTCATGGCCAGGATCCTGAAACTCCACAGGAGCAGTGGAGTAGTGTTGATTTGGAACAATGGTTTGTGGAGGGGCACAGATTGCAAGACAACAGTTGGGCAGAACTGGGAGGTGAACAGCAAGAAGAAGAATGGGAAGAGAGTGAGCTAGCAGACTCTCTATCACTGGAAGATGTGCAGCCTCTCAGTCCCAAGGCTAGGAGATTAGCTAAGGTAACTGCGCAAAAGGCTGAATGGTTAAGAGATCAGGTGGCTAGGAGATGAGAGGGCGGAAGTGACTAGAGGGAAGTGGGCGGAACTGGAATTGGGAGCACCTGCACTCTGAGAAGGGACACTTGTTCTTTTGCTGCGTTCATTAAACAGTTCTGTTACTAGTAAGAGACTGCTTTCTCTTTGTACTGCTTATCTATGGCCAAGGGAGGAGGAAGCAGAGCCCCGGACACCGACCGTGGAATGCTCTCCCTGAAGAGGCTCACCCAGCGCCATCATTATATTACTTTAGGCACCAGGCAAAGCCATTGCTCTTTACCCAGGACTTTGGCCATTAAATAAACTACGGCCTATTAAATGTGGGCAGGGGACTGTTATTATGATTATTTTATTATTATGCTGTGTATTATGTTTTTTATTATGCTCCGTTTATTGTGTTCTGAATGTTGTACACCAGCCTGGGATCTTTGGATAAAGGGTGGTACAGTGGTACCTCGGGTTACAGACGCTTCAATTTACAGACTCCGCTAACCCAGAAATAGTACCTTGGGTTAAGAACTTTGCTTCAGGATGAGAACAGAAATCACTGTGGTGATGGTGCGGCAGCAGCGGGAGGCGCCATTAGCTAAAGAGGTACCTCAGGTTAAGAACAGTTTCAGGTTAAGAACAGACATCCAGAATGAATTAAGTTCTTAACCCAAGATACCACAGTACATAAATAAAATAAATGAATAAATATGTCCTATGGAGCCATACCAAGAGTCACAGGAAGCTGCCTTATACTTAGGGGAACATCTGCAGTATTTAAATCACCATGATACCAATTTAACAGCCAGGGCTTCCCCCAAGGAATCCTGGGAAGTGTTAAGGGCACTGAGAGTTGTTAGGAAACCCCTATTTCCTCTCCCAGAGAAATAGTTCCCTGAGTGATTTAATCAATCCATCCCTCTTCCCAGGGAACTCTGGGATGCTTTGCTCTTAGTACCCAGTAGACCAACCTAGAGTAGACCTATTAAAATTAATGGATCTGAGTAAAAGCTAGCTGGCTACAACCCAGTATCTTGGATGCATGGTTTGCCCAATCTCCAAAAAGCAGGTGCCTTAGAGCCTGAAGAGGTTTATGGCAAAGGCACCAGAAAATGATGAACAGGTTGCACGATCTCCCCTGCAGGGAAAGGTGGCAGTGTCTGGGGATTTTCAGTTGAGGTAGGGGAAGATGAACTAAAGGCTAGACTTTATAAAATACTTCATAATACTGGAAATTGCAAGCATCCAATGAGAATCAATGAAAGGCAGCAGGTTCAAGAGAGACAAAGTCAAAGACAGTTTATGTGTATTAACCAAAAGGTCACTGCAAGTTCTTCCAGTAACACACAATTACATACAGCAGTTAAAGTTCAGTAGAATGTCAACAGCATTACATCAGTTAGTCTCCAGCAGCCACTTTCACCAACTTATCTGAAAGATTCTCAGCAGTTTTGGGGATTACTGCTGTCCTGCAAGTTACAAACCTATCTACAACCTCAAAAAAGAGGTAGTTCGGTGCAATGGTTAGGATGCTGGTCGAGATCCACTGGGTGATATTGGACCAATTCCTAGCTCTCAGCCTAACCTGCCTCACAGAGTTGTCAAATACGGATGCTAAAGATCCAGTTTTAAATCCTCCTCCACGAATTTGGAAAAGAGGATTTCTAGGGGGTGGCTTTTGAACACAACATTGGAGGAAAAACCATTTCAGATCTTCTACACCAGTTGTGAAGAACCTTTGGCTCTCCACTTGTCACTGGACTACAACTCCCATCAGCCCCAGCAGGCATGGCCAAAGGCCAGGGATGATGGGAGTTTCAGTTCAGCAACTTCTAGAGCACCAAATGTTCCCCCACACCTGCACTGCATCCACAGGATGCAACTACAGTGGTGCCCCGCAAGACGAATGCCTCGCAAGACGGAAAACTCGCTAGACGAAAGGGTTTTCCGTTTTTTGAGCTGCTTCACAAGACGATTTTCCCTATGGGCTTGCTTCGCAAGACGAAAACGTCTTGCAAGTTTGTTTCCTTTTTCGTAAAACCGTTAATACCCAGGGTGCATTGCTTGAAGAGGTGCAGTTGCGACTTGACTTCGAGGAGCAACACATTGCACGCGGTGTGGTAGCCTTTTTGAGGTTTTTGAGGACTTTGCTGATTTTTGAAGCTTTTCCAAAACTTCCTTTTGCAGCCGTTTGGTAAGTTAAACTTTTAAAACTTTTTTGGGGGTTTTTGGATTTTGGGTTGGGGTGTTTGGAATTCAAGGACTTGGTGTTGAGGAGGGGTTTGCAAGAATCTGGGAGCTTGTGTGGGTTTTTTTGAATTTTTATGATTTTCTGTGACCATTGGGGCACTCTGCTGGGTTTTTTTTAAAAAAATCTGGGTTTGAATTTCTGTGTGGTGGGTGGCTGGGGAACAGTTGAGGATGGGTTTGCAAGAATCTGGAAGCTTGTGTGGTTTTTTCTGCATTTTTATGATTTTCTGTGACCATTGGGCCATGTTGTTTTTTTTCAAAAAAAAATTCTGGGTTTGAATTTCTGTGTGGTGGGCGGCTGGGGGAACAGTTGGGGAGGGGTTTGCAAGAATCTGGGAGCTTGTGTGGGTTTTTTTGAATTTTTATGATTTTCTGTGACCATTGGGCCATGTTGTTTTTTTCCCCAAAAAAATTCTGAGTTTGAATTACTGTGTGGTGGGTGGCTGGGGGAGCAGTTGGGGAGGGGTTTGCAACAGTTGGGGAGGGGTTTGCAGCAGTTGGGGAGGGGTTTGCAATTTCTGTGTGGTGGGTGGGTGGCTGGGGGAACAGTTGAGGTTTTTGAAGACTTTGGTGATTTTTAAAGCTTTTCCAAAACTTCTTGTGAAGCCATTTGAGGATTTTGACGACTTTGGTGATTTGCAGCCATTTCGTAAGTTAAACTTTTAAAACTTTTTGGGGGGGTTTTGGATTTTGGGTTGGGTGTTTGGAATTCAAGGACTTGGTTCTGGGTTTGAATTCCTGTGTGGTGGGTGGCTGGGTGCTTTTGAATTTTTTGGGTGTGAAGCACTGATTTTTTTTTTCCCTGAGTTTACGAAGCTAGGAGCTGTGCTGCCATGGGACCCAAGAAGACTGCTGCTGCAGAGGCCGGCGAGAGGAAGAAGGAGAAGGTGATGCTGGAAATGAAGAAGGAGATCATCCGGAAGCACGACGGTGGAATGCGTGTGACAGACCTCGCCAGGGAGTACGGCAGGAACCCATCGACCATCGGCACCATCCTGAAGATGAGGGAGAAGATCCTTGCGACTGATGCAGCCAAGGGAGTCACCAGGATCATGAAGAACCGCCCAGCTGTTCTGGAGGAGGTGGAGAAGTTGCTGCTCATCTGGTTAGAAGAGAAGCAGCGTGCAGGGGACACAGTGACTGAGGCCGTGATTTGTGAGAAGGCCAAGGCCTTGCACGCAGACCTCGTCCGGGAACAGCCAGGAACCTCAGGCGAGCCAGAAGTCTTCAAGGCAAGCAGAGGCTGGTTTGACCGGTTCAAGACAAGATCTGGAATCCACAGCGTGGTCAGGCATGGAGAGGCTGCCAGTTCTGATGTTCCTGCGGCTGAAGACTTTGCATTGGAGTTCCTGGAGGCTGTGAAGACGGAGGGCTACGTTCCACAGCAGGTCTTCAACTGCGACGAGACCGGGCTGTTTTGGAAGAGGATGCCCAAAAGGACTTTCATCACTCAGGAGGAGGCCAAGTTGCCTGGCCACAAGCCCATGAAGGACCGTCTGACCCTGCTCTTCTGTGCCAACGCAAGCAGCGACCTGAAGATCAAGCCCCTGCTGGTGTACCACTCGGAGAACCCACGGGCCTTCAAGAAACACAAGGTCGACAAGGAGCAGCTGAGTGTCATGTGGCGATCCAACAGTAAGGCTTGGGTCACACGTGTGCTGTTTGTGGACTGGGTCAATCTTGCTTTTGGCCCTGCTGTCAAACAGTACCTGCTGGACAACGACCTGCCGCTGAAGGCTTTGCTTCTGATGGACAATGCTCCTGCTCATCCTAAAGGCCTTGAGGAGGACTTGTTGGAGGAGTTCAGCTTCATCAACATCATGTTCCTGCCGCCTAACACCACGCCACTGCTCCAGCCGATGGATCAGCAGGTCATCGCCAATTTCAAAAACTCTACACCAAGGAGCTTTTCAGGCGATGCTTCGAGGTGACTGATTGCACCACCATCACCCTGCGGGAATTCTGGAAGGACCACTTCGACATCGTCACCTGCTTGAAGATGATCACCACGGCCTGGAAAGGGATCAGCCAGAGAAATTTGAATTGCGCTTGGCGCAGCCTGTGGCCGGACTGTGTGGCACCAAGTGACTCTGATGCACCAGAGTCAACAGTGGTGCAGGACATTGTTGCCTTGGGGAGGACCATGGGCCTGGAGGTCACAGAGGAGGACGTCTGCGAGCTGGTGGAGGAGCACGACCACGAGCTGACCACCCAGGAGCTGGTCGAACTGCAGGCAGAGGCTGCGCAGGAGCAGGCCTCGCTGGAAGAGGAGGAAGCAACTGAGGAACGGCTGTCCTCCAAAGAACTGAGGGACATTTGCATGAAGTGGAAGGATGTGCAGGCTTTTGCAGAGCGGAACCACCCTAACAAGCACGTGGCACATGACCTTGCGAACACTTTTGATACGACGGTCATGTCGCCTTTCAGGGAGGTGCTGAAAAGGCGGATGAAGCAGCAGACCATGGACAGGTTCTTCAGCAAGAAGCAAAGAGTGGAAGAGGAACCTTCTTCGAGTGGTCCCCAGAGTCTTAGAAAATGTAATGTACACTTTGTTGATTTTTAAATGTTTTTCCTGTCATGTTTAGAAACTTAATTTATTGTTCCTTCAATTTTTGAAATGCTCTTTACAGTATGTGTGACTTTAAAGAGCACTTAATAAACTCTTGTTGTACCAAATTTGGCTTTGTTTGGACTTTTTTTGACCATTGGAACGCATTAATTGGATTTCAATGCATTCCTATGGGATTTCGTGCTTCGCAAGACGAAAAATTCGCTAGACGAAAAAACTCGCGGAACGAATTAATTTCGTCTTGCAAGGCACCACTGTAATCTCTTCCTTATTCTAGTCCCTAGGAAAGGCAGCTTTGTCCCTCGGCTTGATTTAAGAGGTGAACCACTGCCTAAAGATGGTTCAGAAGATGTTTGTGAGAAAATAAATCCTTTGATTTAAAAACAAATAGGCAATAAGGTACAACTACTCCCGGCCGGCTGATTGGAGCTCTCATGATGGAATGCTGTAAAGAAAAACCAATTATTATTCATAGATACTTAGAATGTCAGGGAGGCTATGAAAGAAACATTCTCCTTGACATATGAGTTTTCCATGTACAGTCGTAACTTGGAAGTCGAACGGAACGTGTTCCAGAAGTCTGTTCAACTTCCAAAATGTTTGGAAACCAAAGTGTGGCTTCTGATTGGCTGCAGGAAGATCCTGCAGCCAATCGGAAGCCACGCCAGACATTCGGCTTCCGAAAATCGTTCGTAAACCGGAAAACAAACTTCCAGGTTTTGATTGTTGGGGAGCCAATTTGTTCAAGAGCCAAAGTGTCCGAGATTCAAGGTACGACTGTATAGGGAATGTATGAGATTCCTGCATTGCATGGGGTTGGACTAGATGATCCTCAGAGTCCCTTCCAACTCTACAATTCTATGATTCTATGTTTTCTCTAGGTACAGAGAGTAAGTGCCGTGCAGCCATTCATAAGAGACCCCCCATGCCCCGCCCCATCCATCTGAAGTGGCACAGGCCAGATACAAGCTGATGTCCTCACCTGTTTGAGATAACTAAGCCTCATACACATTTATCTTAGTTAACTTTCTCAATACTGCTTCACCTTACTCAATATTGCTTTATCTTACAGCATAACCCCCCTCCTTTTTTAAAGTATCATGAACGGGCATGTGGGAAACAGTTGGCAATAAAAATGATGTGTGACAAGGGAAATATGGACTCCATTCAAAACACACACACACAGTCTGAAAATGTAATAATATTGTCTGAGTAACCATTAGGTTGCATTTAGAGCGGATGTTTTAAAAAGACCTCCACATTAATAATACTAGGGAGGAAATGTATATCCATATCCGGAGTCAGAGAGGTGCAGGTATTCCCTATATCTGTACCTTACTAGTATTGCTCTGAATACAGCCAATTTCTGTTGAGGCTTCTTAAGATGTAATTTGAGAATGTATATTCAGAACACAGCATGATAGATGGAGGCTTTATTTCAAATGGGCTTCGGGCAGGTTGTTCTGTTTACAGATTAAGAGGCAAGCATATTCAGACTTTTGTGTCCTGAACTCATAAATCTTACCTCCACAACCTTCAGCTCTTGCCAGACATGGTGTAAAGCACATTATCACTTGCTTAAGAGGAAAATCAAGGCACAGAATGCACCAGTCAGAGACTGACTTATTATTCCATCAATGAGGAGAACATTTCTAATGTATCTGAATACTCTTTGGCCTTTCCCCCTCTTTAACTAGCAGCTATTTACTGAGGATGCATCAAGGTACATCACATTTGGAAGTTACTAGTATCTCAGAATGGGAAATCATCACACTCCTTTAGCACTTGCACCGTAAAAGCATGTCAGTCTCTAGAGATGCTCTGACATGAAAATATCACAGCCATTACAGACTGTGCCTTTCCAGAGATCCACAAATGCAGGCAAAAAAGCATAGGAGGCCATAGACAAGGAGCACTGTTGGGAAGAGTGTCTCAATGTGGCCACACACGCAGGCCAGCTCCAGCCCAATTGCCCTGTTCCTATTGGCATTGTGGGGTAGGTGTGAAGGAATGATCTTCACGCATTTGGCCGAATGGTCTTAAAGGACAGGCCTATTATTCAGCTGAAAGCATAAAGACTCCTCCACCAGATCTTCCTTCTCAACACACAAAGCTCACCGCTGGCAGAGACCCTGGAAACAGGACAGTTCAGCAAACACCTGAACAGAGCTATTATTTGCGCAATAACCACTGTGTGCATTACTAAATTAGTGTGGTCCTGCAACTATGTTCACAAAAAGAGTTGACTGCTGTTGTCATGTGTGAGCTCCTGGAGAGAAGAGAACTGGCCCAGTTAGCTTATATGAAACTTTGTAAGGTGCCATGGGGAACACCAAAACTTCCTCCAGGAACACAGTCTACAATGCAAACTGCCCTACAACTGCTATTAGTTGCACCAGCTGCCAATTAGACAACAGGCTAGGTATATGGTGTACAAAGCCTACACAGCTTGGGACCAGGAAACCTCCAAGAGCAGCTCACTGCCTGCATGCCCAAGTGATCATTGCATTCTACAGGAGAGGGCATCCTGCAGGTTACATCATATCAAGAGGTCCATTCTTCATGCTCTTAGAAACACCGGCCCTTTGGAGTATCCTCCCATTGCATATCAGACAGATGCCTTCTCTATTGCGTTTTGGCACCTGCTAAAGACGTACGTTCCACTTTCAACAAACCTTCTAAAACCTTTATCCCGGTTGGTATCTGTCTTCAAACTGAATTGATTTTACATATGCAATTGTTTTATGTACTGTACTTTCCCATCTATAAGACGCCCCCCATGTATAAGAACCTCCCATTTTGGGGGGCTCAGTTTTAAGAAAATAAGGGGAGATGGCCCAAAGTTGTTGAGCTTCTCCCCCCATGCAGCTGTGGGCAGGAAACACTCGTTAGATCGTTTCCCGCGTGCAGTGGCATAGGGGGAAGTTGCGCTCCCGCCAGGCAGCCGGTTGGCTGAAGCACAACTTCCCCCAGTACCGCTGCGTGCGGGAAATGATCTAGGGAGTGTTTCCTGCACGCAGCGGCATCAGGGGAAGCCAGTCAGCCGGTTGACTGGAGTGCAATTTCTCCCAATGCCGCTACGCATGGGAAATGATCTAGGGAGTGTTTCCCGCACGCAGCGGCATCAGGGGAAGCCAGCCAGCTGGCTAGCAGTGCGCAGCTTCTCCCCGCACACAGCTGCGTGCAGGAAACACTCCCTAGATCGTTTCCCACTCCGGCAGCATTGGGGGAAGTTGCACTCCCACCAACCGGCTGGCTGACGGGCACACCGCTTCTACCCCCCCCCATGCCACTACCCATGTATTGGACAACCCCTCTTCTAATACACGGAAAAATACGGTATGTTATACTGTAAATCGCTTTGGGGTGCCTTGTGAGAAGTGATTCAGAAATGAAATAAATAAATCAAACTTTAAAATAAAATAAAATAAAGGCAATCCGGCACATTGATCTTTCAAGTTACAAGAGGAGAAAAAAAATGGCCACCTGGGCTTTAACACAATGACATTTAAAGCTATTCCAGCCCCTCTACCACTTAGGGGCATCTAGCACATTTCCCCAAACGTTTGCCTCCAGACAAGATAGAACTGGCAGGCACTGAAAAAAGTCACTCTCGGGCAGCACTCTGGAAAGCATAAAGACGACTTTGTTGAGCTCTTGCATACCGAAGCGTAGCATTTGGACTCATGCCGAAGGGTATTCTTGCCTAGCACAAAGTTTAATTAAGTGCCTGTCCCGTAGCTAATATACTGAACTGAGCTAGAAATGATTTACACACACACACACACACACACACACACACACACACCCCAGCACTGTGGCAAATCACAACTGCCACTGAAATCCGGAACGTTGGGTTTTCGTAATGGCAAGAGGCTGCAAGGGGGAGAACACACACCGAGAAAAGGAGAGAAAGAGAGAGATGTCAAGTAACTTTAAAGACACCGTTGACGTAGGCCAGTAACCAGCCTGTTGCATGAGCCAACAGTGTGTTCTCCAAGCTCTACCTTTCCAGTTAAACGAGTTCTGGCCCTCGCTCTGGGCCAGAAGCTACAATGACCACACAGCTGTTCTGCTCCTGCGTAAGGCAGCTATATTTAGCTTCACGCAGATATGTAAAGTGATCCCCGTCATGCACAAGCTCCCAAATTACAGAAAACCCACATCTCACAAAGTGGGAGGTACCTGCCCTGGGGGCTGGGGGCACGGATAGGTGAAGAGCAAGCTTGTCCCTAAACCCCATGCAAACGGATTCTTGCTTTGTCACTAACATTGGCAGGAGAGCATTTTTCAGCTGCTTAGCCATCAGTTGCTACGGACACTACTAAAAATGATTAGTCCATTTCCCTCTTTTCCTCCCGCCCTGGTTTTGTCCCTACATACTTCTCACTGGTCTTTGCTGGTTTCTCTGTTCTCGTCTTCATTTTAAGTTTGTGTGTTTTCAGACATTTCCACTGACTTGATGCTCTGCAATTGTTTTTTCTTCTTTCTAGGCTCTTCCCTGAACATTTTTCCTCTACAGCTACCAATGTCCAAAGGACACCTAACTAATTCCCTTGCCCCCCTCCAGCTGCCCCTCATGTGAATGCCCTTTCATCCGATACTCTAGTCTTCCCGTGTTTATATTTACAGTGCAATTCTACACTCAGACACCACCCGCGTTGTGTTCAAAGAGGCTTACTCATAGGTAAGGAGTATAATATTACAGCTTTAAGCAGTCACCTTGACATATCTCCAATTCGACCCCTTTCCTCCAAAATCTGGCTGGCCTATACCTTTCCTTTTGAGTTGCTTCATGTTTGAAAAACATCTAACAATTTCACATGGTGGTAGTAGCAGTAGCATTTATTAAAGTTTTATACTGCTGTTCATCCAAGGATCATAAGGCAGTTTACAATATAAAAGCTCAAAAATAAATATCATAATAGCAAAAACAATGAGCCTTCTTCCAACAATTAGCTTCACAAAATAGCCCAGAGTTTTGGGATACCTCAAAGTGTATTGTACCAAAGCAGGGTACAAATTGGTATCTGCCAATGAATACTGTTCTGCAGGGAATGAGACTATCTAACACAGGGATCTGCTATAGACACACATCAGAACACTGAGTTGGTTGTTTTTCAAACCAGGCACCCAACACACTCTTCCTGCTCACACTTTATGGTGTTTATTACAGTCACGGGCAGTATACATGCATGCAAGTACTCGTAAATCTGAAAGTCACCTTCAGTTAGGCTACCAAGGAGAACCCCAGACATGAATACTAGGCAGTGCTCTGTGCAACTCAGATGCTATGTTAGTTGTCCCAGCAAGGGGAGTCCATCGACATGATTCCATTTTTAATACACACGTGCACAAATATACGAGCAGGGTCTCAAGATTCATAGTTGCTCAGAGCTCTTTCATCAGAACAGGAGCTCTGTGGAACAAGGACACAGGCTTCCTGACCAACACAAGTGGGTCAAAAGTTGTTTGAACCAAGCTTGCAAGGCTTCTCTGAAGGCTTGCCCTCTTCAAAATGCATGTGCCAGGTGGCTAGTAACAGCAAGCAACAGCACAGAAAGGACATAGGACCCTCTCTGCCCCTATAAGCACAAGAACTAGTCCACCCCCTGGCTATGCACTTGGAAAATGGGTGGGGAACCTCAGGCTGAGGGGCCAAACAAGACTCCTAAGGTGTTTCTATCTGTCCCTTGTGGGTCTCCCCAGGGACCACAAGTCAAAAGCGGGTGTCAGGAGCAGGTCAGCAATAATGTATCCCTTGGGGCTGAGAAAGGTACCCCAACGCTGCCTCAGAACAAAAACCCTGCTCTTTGTTTTCTGCCCATCTTACATTTGGCAAAGCAAGCACAAGAGATAGAGCCTTTTCGGTCATGGCACCCGGACCCTGAAATGCCCTTTTGGAGGAAGACTGACTGCCGGGCTTCCCATCTGCTTGGCTTCTGGCAAGCTGTGAAAACCTGGCTGTTTCAGCCGTCAACATCATTTATACTCAACTGACTGACATACTTATCAGGTTCTGGGTGGTTCCATATTTTGTGGCTTTCTTCATCATCCTGTTCCTTTTAAACTGTTTTATGACAGGATCCAAAAGGCAGGCTAGAAATTTCATCTGAGTCTCCAACAGGTAGTAATGACAGAATTAGAAACGAAGTCACATCTACGCATGTAAAGCAGATTTAAAGCACATGGCTTCCCCTCAAAGAATCTCAGGAACTGTAATTTAAGAGTGCTAGAAATTGTAGCTCTGTGGGGGATGAAACTACAGTTCCCACCGTTCTTTGGGGAAGCCATGTGCTTTAGATCTATGGTGTGGATGTGACCCAAGACAGGATCCACTCTCAAAATAAGAGAGCCAAGAAAGAAAAATATTAAAAACATAAAAGCAAGGCAATATTGAGTGAGAACATCTAGACTCTACACTTTTGTGGGAATTAGCTCCTGCATCCCATTTTAAAAATAAGTGGGTCAGAAAGTAGTCAATTTACAAAACCCAAAGAAAACCTTGGCCTTCTCCCCCTTTTTCTGAATGGGTCTCCCTGCACACATAACGCCTCAACAAGATCCAATTTTGGTCAAGGAAAGTTCCTATAAATCCTTTCTGTGCAAAATGCGGACAGATTTTGAGCCAACGTTAATAAAACTGCCTAAAGAGAACCAATTAACCTGAATGGGAGAAAGGAAACCCTGGAAATTTAAAGAGATGTGTGTGAAGAACTTCGAACAAAATGCAAGATTCAGTGTTTTCACACTTTGTAACTGGGACTCCATTTCTATTCCAGAAACTTGCTAAGTTGGACTATTCTTGAGAAAGCCAAAAATAAAAATAAAAAATAACCCACCCATAAGTACTTAACTACAGATCACAGATTTATTTTGGAGTGAAAGCAAGGCTATAGACTGAAAAGAATTGGCATACCAAAATGTAAGGGATACATTGCCCCAATTTTTAAAGAAACTGTTAATGGCATTGTGAGCAGTAGTGGAATTTTACCGAACACAATCCTTGGCCCCAGTATAGCCCTTCTGTAGCTCTGTTCCACTTGATCTGCTTGTAAACTTAAGACTTTCATAATGTTATAAAAACATCTGTTGCCAATCTTGCTGCTGAGTGCTGGATTTTTTTTCTTGTTTGATCTGCATTTTAATTTTAACAGTCCAACGAACTACTGTAAACAACTCTTTGTCACCAAGAATCACTAAAACGCCTGATAAGCCATGCAAAAAAATTGCCAGCAAAGACCATCCAGGGAGAGGTAAATAAACTGGGGCGTTAGTAGCGTTACAATAGCTAGCCTGCATTTGCTGCTAACACGTTATATTTCGACACAACAAAGAATGGATGGAGAACCTGTCCGCTTCCAGATGTTGCTTGACTCCCATTCCAAATGAGCACCAGTCACCATGGTCAGGGATGATGGGAACTGTAGTTCAACATCTGGAGGACTACAGGTCTTCCACCCCTGCAGTGAAGATATAGCAACGCACAGGGAAAGGGAAAGCTTTTCACATGGGAGACAATCTCAAGATGGTCCTCTGTCGGATTCTGACACACCCAGATCTGAACAGTATTGATGCCAAACCAACACGATTTTTGACAACAACAACTGAAAGGTATTTCAAAGGGAGAGACTGTTGGAGGATGACAGAGAGGCAAACTAAATGCACACCTTGAAGGAGAATCCAATGCATGTAAGCACATTAAGACACTTGGGAAGGCAAACAAGGTATGCAAGAACAGGAGCTGCAAGAACTGAAATATAACTGGGAGATTTTGCAGTGCAATCGACAGCCAGCGTGGCACAGCCATTAAGAGTATGGAATATATACATTTTAAATAAAGGTTTCGGAAATTGGAGGGGGGGCGCATTTCAATGTCTGTTTCTCACAACATCTTTAATTTAGGTAAATACAGTCAGGAAGCTTGCTAGCCAGGCCAGGCGAGTGGCCAGTTTACCAGGTCAGTGGTCCACGGCCACCTACCTTGTACATCTTCTCAGGGAAGAAGGAACCTGTAACCTTCCAGATGTTAGACTACAATTCTCATCATTCCTGACTGTGCTGGCTGGGGCTGGTGAGAGCTGAAATCCAACAACATCTGGAAGGCTTCAGGCTCCTCATCTCTGACATATCTGGGCAGGGATTGGTAGCCAGCTGTCTTGGAAAATGAAGCAACATACTATGGCTGTTAAAAGTGCTAAACTGTTCAAGTTCCCTTTCTTAGACGATGTCCACTGCATTTCCTTGGCCACAGGAAAGGGCAAAAGGCTCTGCCAGATGCATCCTTTTTTGCATCTGGAGCTAGAAAGGGTTCACAAAGGAAAACAGCAGTACCAGCAAGCCTGGGTACACGGTGCGGGGAGAACAGGACTAAAAGCGATGCCCCACTCTCAACACTTCTGCTTCTGTTTTTTTGTGGAATGAAGAACTGCCAAGAAACTGACATGGTAGCATGCTGCAAAACGTACTTTCAGCGATAAAATGTACTGAAGTCTGGTAGCATCTGCAGTCCTGAAAATGCCTTTTGAAATGGATACGAAAGGCAAACTTCTAGCTCTTGTTGCAATAGGCAAGAATAGGCAAGAAAAAGCCCATTAGCGCTACCCACATTTCCAGAAGGATGAGGTCCTGTATGCTTCTGCTGTATCACAGGGCTTCACTGTCGTCTTGCTACTTCTGGCACCACACGTGCCAATGACGCAGGCTCCACTCCATCTGCACATAATTTTCACAGGCATTGCTCTGCAGAACACCCCAAGAGTATTCTGCTCCTTCCACCCACTGCCGCCGATAGCAAGCACTCTATGGGAATCTGTGAATGATATTTCAGCAGCCTTCTTCATATGGGAGTTGGAAAGGGCTTTGCCAAACTGCTGTAAAAGCCTAGATTCTTCTTGCTGTCATACGCAGGGCAAAGCTGTGGGGAAACAAGAGCCAGGCAAGGATTGCATAATGTTTCCTTGCTTGTGAAGGGGACGGAAGCAATGCACTGGCCTGCTTCAGATGTAAAAAGCCCCTCCAACAAACCATGATATGTTAAAGCATCAACAAGCATTAACAGCGACAGGTTTTGTGTACACTCAACTCTCTCACTCCACCTCCTGTACACCTGGCCGTAGAGACCTTCTGGTTTCTTAAACAGCACTTTCCTCCAGTGTCTGAACCAGGAAATCATGGTTTAAGAACTCCGTACAAATCAAGATTGTAAAACCAGGACCTGATCCTGATTTGAAGATTACATTTTAACCACAGTTTCCTGGGCTTCAAGGAAAATGTGGTTTAGAAACTAGTAAGTTTCCTCTGCAGGGAAGGACTTCAGAAGCAAAAGAAGGGAGCAAGCACTATAGCTCACGGGTCTTTTATGCTCCAACAAACCACGGAGTAACTCTGTGATGTCTGAACCAGGCAACCACCTCCACCACACGCTTTAGCCCATCATTAATCTGGGCATATTCTCATGGATCTACTCCTTTCAGCACAACACGAGATTGTAGAGAAGTCCAGCCTTTTGGCTTCTCACACACTTTGGCTGTCTTCTGCTCTCCCAGGCGCAGTTCCTCTTGAACCTTCCAGTTTTGCTTGCCACAGCCTCTCTCTTTGGCAATGAGCTGTGCTGGGCCCATGGATGTCATCAGCAGCTTGACAACATGTTTTAATCATGTCTGAACTCTCATCTTCAGGACTGTTCTGCATTCCACTCTGTTGAGAACTACCTGAAAATAGAAAGCAGCATTATTAAAAATGTTTTCCTAATTATCACCAAAATACACTGTCCACCCCAAACCAACAAAATCTAGGTGGGAGGCCATGATGAAGCTGGTAGCCATACAGCAAGGGGAGAAACCTGAACTAGAAACCTGAACTATGGCAGTCCAGCCTTGAGTTTGGACTGGAGGACCCAGGCTCAAATACCCAACTCAGCCATGAAGCTATTTGGGTAATCTGGGCCAGTCACTACCTCACAGAGTTCTTGCGAGGTTAAAATCTGGAAGTGGAAATAGAACCATGACTGTTCAAAGTGGCAAGATATTGATCTAAATGCATTGTGCAGATGGGGCCCAGGCACACCAGTGACCTTGCCTCATAGCCTCTTGTAAAGGTGCTGAACATGAGGACAGACATTAAGGAACACAGTCGTACCTTGGAAGTTGAATGGAATCTGTTCAGGAGGTCTGTTCGACTTCCAAAACGTTCGGAAACCAAAGCGTGGCTTCTGATTGGCTGAAGGAAGCTCCTGCAGCCAATCGGAAGCCGCAGAACCCACGCTGAACGTTCGGGTTCCAAAGAATGTTCGCAAACAGGAACACTCCCTTCTGGGTTTGTGGCATTCGGAATCAAAAATGTCAGAATACCAAGGCATTTGGGATCCAGAGTACAACTGTATACATAATGGAGCCCACAGGTGGAACTCTCCAAAGATAGCAACTATCCATCCTCAGGGGCCATAGCTCAGTAGTAGAGCAATGCTTTGAATACAAAATGTCCCAGATTTCACCCCTAGCATCTCCCACCAGGTAGCAGATGATGGGAAAGGCAATCAGTAGTGAATTTGATGAATCAATGGCCGGCTAGCATGAGGAAATCTGAAAGTGGTTCTGCATGAACCTCACTGTACAGAACCAGTATAAACCCAGCATCCTGTGAGCGTTAAGTCTCAAGTCAACTGAAAGCATTAAGTCTCAAGTCAACTGAAAGATCTAAGGTGGAAAAGATGGGCAAATAGTAAATGGCAGACTATCCCAACCTGCTGGTTTCTCAGAAGTTGTTGGACTACAACTCCCATCATTTCCAACCATTAGCCATGCTGACAAGGCCTGATGGGGGTTGCAGTCCAAAACACAGGGAAGGCACCTCCTTCAGAAAGGTTGTAAGGAAGAATGAAATGAACTTACCAGTGGCTGACATCTCCAATGCAGGCATGCGTTGTGGCTGACGTGTGGCCGACTTCCCAGAGAAGGGGATGCAGGAGTTGGGAAGCTCTCCAGAAAAAGGTGAAAGATGGAGCTCCTGCTGCATCTTCCTATGATGCTTTATTTATGGTACAGCAGCTCTCATTCTGCACTGTGAAGTCTGCCCAATTTCAGGGACATTATCCAGAAAAGAATAGAACGCTAGTAACTCTGACCCAGCTCTACAGCCAAGAATCAGAAGTAAATGCCCCTCTAATTTCTGAACTCAGAATGAAATCATGCAGATTGAATAAAGTATGCCAATAAAGCAATTCCATTCCACCTTTCAATTTTAACATACTAAAATAATACAAATATTAAAAAAAACCAGTCTCACAACTTCTCTGTGTGCATTCTGCAACACAACTAGGAAATGCAACCAAAGACTGGGCTAAATTATGAAGAGCAGCATCTATCATCAACCTCTGTGGCTCAGTTGTCAGATTGAATTTTATGGGATAAATACAAGCTGCCACTGGCAGATTTAGCCTTTTTGCCCTGCTTATAGACTATGAGTAGACCTTCACCTTATCTGACATAAATGAAAGATAGCCATGTACCTGTATGGGGAAAACCCCCATACTTCTGTAGAAAACCCAAACTGCTACCTTGCACTTTATGGTAAGGCTAAAACATCTACTGAGTGGAGCCAGCTGGAGGAAGAATTCATTGCATTGCTGAGCACAGAAACCCACTAGCTTCCTTATCATGTGTCCTTGCAATATTTGAAATTGCTACTAGCATATCTACCCAGACCTTCCTCCAGGCAGCTCAGAGCAGGTTCTCCTGTCCCTCTTTGTGTACACACCCACTCTGCTAGGCAGGTGCCTTCTCTTTTTTACAATGAAATTGTTTATTATCATTATTATCATCATCATCACCACCACCATCATCTCTATACCACTTTATATATTAAATAACAAATCTCAAAGCAGTTTACAACACATTAAAACGTCAAATAAAACAATCCAGGGGGAAAAAACTAGTTCAAGCTTCAAGGAAAATATTTCAGATCCTTCTCCATGTGGTATTTTGCTTTCCCCAATTACCAACCTGGCAGCCAGAGATCTCCACATGGTCGCAACTGGACCCATGTCGGTCGCAAAATGTGCCTGGAGCCTGGTTAATTTCTAACACGAGGTATGGACTGAGATGGTAGAGGGAAAAATGAACTGAAGGATGATAGAGAAGCTGTAGAGAGGGACTGATGTTCTGCCACTTCAACACTGAACTAAAGATGAAAAAAATGCTAAAAAGAGGTGGGGGTGGAGCAGACAGAGATTCTCAGGCAGCCAAATCTATTCCATAAATTCTTCAAAATATAACCATCACAGCTGACTGTTAGTCATTGGCAATATGTAACTTCTACAGAATATCTTGCATACCGACAGTGATCCCTTTGAACAGACCACACACCCTTGTACGTGCACAGATAACACTTGACAGCTACTCATCTTTAGAACTATCAAAATTAAAGTTACACTTTGACCTTGAGTCAATAATTTTGTTCAGATGGAGGATTTCTTCCAATGAACCTTGGGCAACATTCAACAGTGGCATGCATAGCTCAAACAGTTCATGGAAATTTTGACATGTACGTGGCAAGAGTTCCTGAGTTAAAATATGAATGGGATTCTCTTCCCTTGTTATTTCATTCATTTGTATTCAAGCTTTTGATCACTATGGCCATTTTTCTCTGACTTAGATTATCATAGCCCAACTCTTCAAATACAACACTTACACAGCAGGGATTAAGCCCCAGTCATTGCAACAGAAGTCAGAATTGTGTGCAACTTTTGCCTCAAAGCACTGAAGCTCAGTTGGCCAGCTAGTGCAAACCACAGCAGAAGAAAAGAACTACATCTAGCTACTTTTGTTACAAGACTGTCAAAGGGAAAGAAATTAAAAAGGGAGGAAAATTTGAACAGTTCCTCTGCTACCTATTTTAAAGAAGAAAAGTAGGCCAAGTTGAAAAGTGTGACCCACAGTTCTTCCTAACTCTGGCAGAAATGCAAGTCAATGTTTTATATAATCCTATTCATGTGCAAGTACTGACTCCAAGGGAAACTGCTTTTAATAAGCCAGGAGTCATTAACAGATCACATTTTTCCAATGAGGTTTACTTGGCAATTGGATGAAGTGTGGCTTCTTTTAAGCTAATTATGTAGTAACAACAAACAACTTGTATAGGTTTACGCCACCTTTTTTATATTCTGGGGAACAAATGCATAGACTGGGAAACACAGCGAGAAAGAGAAAGAAACGGGTCTATGTCTTGACCACTAAAATTCCCCTCCAAGTCCTTTTTGTTCCTAAACATCTAAGCCAAGATTCTTTGGTTCACTCATCAGGTTGATGCTCATCAATTCTGCATCCGTCTACATATGATTTGCAGAAAAATCTGAAAGTCGCTGCCCAGTGGTAAGCAGTCTACTGCAGCTTGGTGGCTTAGACAAGAATAATAATTTTTAAAGTCATCTTTCTTGGAAGCGATATTTCCAATCGCTTCAATCTGGTCCAATTATTGGGTTTACATTATGCTCCGCTGTGTTGACCCCTCAACAAGGAATTGACAATGGTACTTTCTGGACACCTTCCAGTAAGAAGAAGAGTGACCACTAGGGTTGGCAGAGGGGAAGAACCATACAGTGAGTCACATACAATGCCCATGCCTAGGGCCAAACTAGGCATTAATTGTATGGATGAAATTAATACACAAGCTTTAATTTTATTAAAATTGCAGTCCCTGGAAAAACTGAGCATGCTTGGGGGGCCATTGTGTGTGTGTGAAAAATGGAAGCTGACCTATCCCTCTCCTTCCTGCCACAGACCTGACAAAAATCATCTCTCTGAAGCTGCTACATATATTTCAAGGGAAACCTCCGAGGACATAAAGTGGAAGCTTCTCTTGAAATGCAAACAGTCGCTCCAAGGAGATGGGTTTTTTGTCCAGATCCCTACAGTCACGAGGCTACTCAGACTTCCTCTTGGCTGCTATTTACATTTCAAAATACAGTAATAGGTTCATGAGTCTGGTCCTTAGTAGAAATGCAAAATCAATTCCCTATCAACAAGGGGGTGGAGTATAACTGAAGTACGCCTTAGTTGTGGCCAGGCTTAACATACCTATCACTGGCAGTACAGTATAGGGTAGGTGGGTGGGTGGGATTCTGCACCTTCAGATTCCTAGGTGCTAGTCTCAAATTTTTAATCCACTGGACAACCAGGCACCTCTGCAGACCTGGCAATATGGAGGAGAAGGCTGTTAAAACCCACAATTAGATCTTGTTTCCAGGCTTAGAAACACCGACGTTCCATTTGATTGATCAAATATTATGAGTGAGCATATGGGATTAGGAGATGGCCACCCTATTTAAAAAAGGGGGGGGGACCATTCATACCCAATGGGAAGGACTGAATCCATACTAAAGCAATAAAATCTCTCAACAGTATTGCAATAAAATCAGTCTGCAATTTTCTGCATTTATGAGAATCAGCCAACGCCAAAGGCTACATATGATTTGCTTTCCTTTATTCCAATACTTTTGATGTATGTAATGATGACAGAAAAAGGAGAGAAACAGGACTTAAATTTCTACTTTTCAGGCACTTTATTTATTATATGAAAATTGCCTAAATGTTTCAACTATGCATCCTCCTCGGAGACACCGAAACAATCTTTTATTTTATTTTAGTGGGCATTAAAATGCAAGCACCATACTAGAACATTTTATTACTAAGTCTGGGTGCCTTCCCCACCCCACCAGCTGAATCAAAGCTCTCAATCAAAAGTTAAAATATATAATTATATAAACAGCTTTTTAAAACAGAAGAATATACAAATTAAACCTTCTATCTCAAAATGAAAAAGAGGAACTCGGTCACCTCCTGTAGAAGTTTGGCAAAATCTATGACCTCAGAAGACATGTGCTGCAGCTGCTATGCCAAGAAATTAAGTGCAAGTTTTATTTTGTGCTTTCAAAACAAATCAAAGGACAATCCCGTTATCTTCCTTACATCTCCAGGTCTTCTATGTATATGCCCTCATCAAAGAGAACTCAGGAAAAATGCAAACCATTTCACCTATGACAATGTAATACCCAGAAAATTTTACATTTCTTCAGCTCAAATAAGGGCTACAAAGCAAACACCACTGAAGAAGGTTTTGTGCACTATATAAAGCACATCAGGGTGAGCTGTGTTATAGACTTTGCAGATCATGCCAGCAAATAAGAGTTCTGAGAGCCTTCACTGTAATGCCACTCACCAGTATATGTTACCAGCACATTACAGAACATTTTGAAGTGCATAACGACAAATGCTTAATTTCAAAGGCATATTAGTTTAGAAGAACCAAGAAAAATTAAGTTTTTATGCCAAATATTAACCCTAACCTGATTATCAGGCAACAGCTATATTAAATGTTTTATTCAGCTGCTCTTGTTTCAGATGGAAGAACCAATATCATCAACTTAATGTCTTCCCTTTATTACTCCTATTTATTTGGCAATACCACGTAAATGTGGAAGACAGATTTCATTAGAGCCACGTTTCCTCAAGGGTGAGGCAGAAACCATCTAGCTGACTGTAAAGAGTTTAATAAATCTGCTGCCAATAAATCTGGATGTCAACCATGCACTCGGCCGGGGAAGAGATCACACAACTAGACTTCAACTGTTGCCTCCTCGCTAGCTATAAGAAGCATTTGTCCCAGTCTCTGATCTGCATGAGCTTGAAAAAGCAGTGACTGAACCTTTCTGGATCTGCTGATAACTTTGAAGAGGAAAGGATGAAACTGGTCTCCAGCTGGTGCTCAAATATTGTAGTTCAGTTTTGTAAAGATTGCCCAATGCATACAGACCAAGGTCTTCCCCAGGGCAAAGACTCTCCAGGGAAAAGGTGGGATAAAAATATAATAAATGATTGATTTTAATAAACATGATTCCCGGTTTGGGCAAAACGGAAAGCTATTATCTCACTGGCAACATAGGAGGAGTGAATCTGAAGCAAATACAGCTCATTCATAATAAACCACGACTTGCTGTTATTTATTTATTTAATAAAATTTGCATGCTGTTTGATTGCAAGGAAACCTGCATTAAAGATGTTTACAAAAAGAAGAAGAAGAGTTTGGATTTGATATCTCGCTTTATCACAACCCGAAGGAGTCTCAAAGCGGCTGACATCCTCCTTTCCCTTCCTCCCCCACAACAAACACTCTGTGAGGTGAGTGGGGCTGAGAGACTTCAGAGAAGTGTGACTGGCCCAAGGTCACCCAGCAGCTGCATGTGGAGGAGCGGAGACATGAACCTGGTTCACCAGATTACGAGTCCACCGCTCTTAACCACTACACCACACTGGTAATAAAAAAGATATGCAAAAACAGTTAGGAACAACTATTTCACAAGAGTAGACCACGAGGGTCATCCAGTCTAATCCCCTGCAATGCAGGAATGTTTTGCCCAAGGTGGGGCGCGAATCCACGACCCTGAGATTAAGAGTCTCATGCTCTACCAACTGAGCTATCCACAGTTAAAACATTCAAAAATTAAAACCAGCAATAACCTAAAAACAGATTAAAGCACACGTCTACATTCCAGATTTCTGGGTAGGCTTATCTAAACAAAAATATTTTTAGCAGGTGCTAAAAAGTTGCTAAGGGCTTTATATGCTAATAGCGACACACTGAACTTGGACCAGTAGACAACTGACAAGCCAGAGCACAAGGGTTATATGCTGACAAGGTCTCACTCCTATCAGCAATCATGCTGCAGGATTCTGCACTAACTGCAGCTTCCAGATCAAGCTCAAGGGGAGCCCCATATAAAGTTCATTGCAGTAATTGACTCTTGAAATAACTAATGCATGATGTGCTGTGGCCAGGCTTTCCCATTTAATGCAGCCAATGCTGAAGTGAATGCCACAAATGTAGATTTTTCATTCTGTTCCTTACTACATTCCATTTATAGACTTAAGGAGTTTAAGAATATCCCCAGTTGTAACGCTGTAAGTAAGGAAACACAACTGCTGTTTTGCACCTACTTGTAAAGGGCAAATGTGCAAAATGCAAGGTGTGATGCTAAGGAAAGGCCACAGCTCAGCCGCAGATCATCTTCTTTGCATGCAAAAGGTCTCAAGTTCAATCCCCAGCATCTCTGGGAAATGGTCCCTATCTGAAGCCCTAGAGCAGGGGTCAGCAAACTTTTTCAGCAGGGGGCTGGTCCACTGTCCCTCAGACCTTGTGGGGGGCCGGACTATATTCTAGAAAGAAAAAAAAATGAACGAATTCCTATGCCCCACAAACAACCCAGAGATGAATTTTAAATAAAAGGACACATTCTACTCATGTAAAAACACGCTGATTCCTGGACCATCAGCGGGCCGGATTTGGAAGGCGATTGCAGAACTATGCAGAACTAGCAAAAATGACAGAAAGACTAAGAGAAAAAGACAACAGAGACTTTGAAAAAGATTGGGAACCATTCATATTATATTTGCAGAAACAAAGAAAGGCAATCGACCCGATGGCAGGATTTAAATAAACATTCACATTATTCGCATCAGAAAATGTTTGGAAGACAGAGAAATAAGATGATGTATTTAATTTTATTTCTATGTTTTCAAGGTTTGATGTTATGTTATTAATACCTTTTTCTGTTGAGAGATAGCAAAGCGGGTGAAAATAGAAACCAACCAGAAACACAAGTTGGGGAAAGTCTTGGAGGGGAGGGAGGGAGGAATAGATAGCAAATGTTAAGAATTTGAGATGTATGTAATGAACGAAAATGAAAAATGAATACATTTTTTTTTTAAAAAAAAAGGCAATTGGGCCACATCCAGCCCCCAGGCCTTAGTTTGCCTACCCATGCCCTAGAGATCTGCTGCCAGTCCGTGTGGCCAATACTGAGCGAAATGGTCCTGTGGTCTAACTCAGAGGAAGGCAACTTTTTTATGTAACAGACCTGTTTTAAGTATGCAGCAGAGCAACCTATCCCCAGACCGTATTCTTTGATTAACGGCTTGATAAACTACCAACTGTCCATATGGAAAATGCTCTGGGAAAGCTGGAAGATGCCAGTGTGAGTAAACTAGTTTGGCAGTTAAAATACATCATTAAAATTCATAACTTATTACTGTCACAGTATCTCAGCTTACAGGGCTGTTTAAATGAGAAGAGGAGCAAGGTCACTTGTAAAAAAAAATATATTACATTTCACAGTTGCACAGCCAACTGAAGTTTACTATTTAACAGTAGCTGCACACAAGTCAACACGACGGCATGCCTGAAATATCAATTGCAGCCAATATGGCCATATGTGAAAATATGTATCAGGCTAAGTGGTTGTGAGCGTTCCTCATTTTGCTGAGTTACCCGCAGGGATTTAGCATCTAAATTTCACGACAGGTATAACGCAGTTACTTTCTGTGTTGCACACTGACACTGAACAGATGCTCCCAAGGCAGCTGCTTGACTACTGCTTGAAATATAATTGAAGGCACAGGCATTCATTATGAGATTTCATAAACACACAAGCTTCCCTTCTGATACATTGAAAAGTGGTTTGCTTTGGGGCGGGGACAGGCAATTAGAACTCACAAGTGTTTCCAGCAATCAAGTTACAGCTTTAAAATGTCAAACATCTCTTCTGCACAACTTCCCTCTCCCCTAAATAAAGGCACCTACAGATGGGGAAGCCGTGGCCCTCCAGATGTTGTTGGAATACAACTTCCCAGTGTTGGAAACTGGGACAGAAAAGCTAGGAGCTAAACGGCTTCTGGGACCTGGGTGGGGGGCACCAAAACAGAATGTCTAGTCACCGGGGGGGGGGGGCAGGGAGAGGTTGGCAACACTTTTTATTTATTATTTTGATAAGCAGAACTAATACACAATTCACATAAGTGACACATTGTTAAAATCACACTTTTAGCAGAAACTGTTAATACATGTTTCATTTGGTGTTTACAATAAAAATACTGGTACCATACTTCAGTTTTCAGAACATGCTACTCTTTATTGTTAAACTCCTTAACATATTGTCTATCCTTAACATACACTTTGAAGGACAGATCGTGAAGCTGAGGCTCCAATACTTTGGCCACCTCATGAGAAGAGAAGACTCCCTGGAAAAGACCCTGATGTTGGGAAAGATGGAGGGCACAAGGAGAAGGGGACGACAGAGGACAAGATGGTTGAACAGTGTTCTCGAAGCTACCAGCATGAGTTTGACCAAACTGCGGGAGGCAGTGGAAGACAGGAGTGCCTGGCGTGCCCTGGTCCATGGGGTCACGAAGAGTCGGACACGACTAAACAACAACAACAACAACAACAACAACGACAACAACAACATACACTTTGAGGCTTCAAAGCACATACATTTCAGTAATCCTTGAGTGGCAGCCAGGCGCAAAAAATGACACCCAGACTTTTTGAGGTGCTTGCAAATGGAGAATCTTTAGGCAGAAAATGCGCCTGGAGCCCTGCTAATTTTGAACCCTGCAACTCCCATTAACTGCCCACTGGCTAGTGTCAATAGAAATTGGAGTCCAACATCTGGGGGGGGGGCAAAGGATCCCAGTTCTATTATTTATATCATGGTGGTCCAACACAACTTAAGTGAAGCTCACAGGTAGATCACATTCTTTGATTTAATTCCTGGTAAGGTTCAAAAGATCTCCAGGAAAAAGTGCTGAGAAAGGCACTCCCTTTGCATTCAGTGGAGCTTAGTTCAAAGATAAATGCACATCAGATTGCAGCCTAAATACTTTCATATAGTTCAGAAATAACAAAGAAACTAGATCTAGCGTTCCATGAGCTATCTTTTCCATAGCGGCAGTTTGCATTATTTAAGCTACTTGTCTCATTCCCTGCAGTTTTGCTGAGCTTCAGAAGCAACATACTTCTTTAGAGTATGTTGAAAGCCTAGTCAAAAGCAAGCCCTTGCCCATTTTGTCAGTCTGCACTGAGGCAAACTCCCCTCAGATGAAAAGGAAATGTAATCTGATGACGCAGGGAGCATGTCTGAGGACCCCTGTTCATGCTCCAATCTGTGGCCCTTCAGGTGCTTTTGGACTCTTGCCCCCATCAGCCCCTGCCTGCATTGCCAATTGTCTGGGATTGTCTGAGATTGTGGGAGCATCTGGAAGACCACAGGCTCCCCATCCTTTGTTTACAGGATCCAAAAAAGCTAAAAGTTTCAATCCACTGTTTTTAATTGCTGTTCTTACGGCGTTTTTTTAATTCAGAGTTTGTGTTGCTTATCTACCCAAATGGGAACCAACTGGTAGAAGAGCCGCATGCAAATACAAATACAATTTGTTAACAGAGTATTAAAACCACACATTTTACGCCCAGAAGCAACAGTATTTACCAATGGAACAAAGTCACACTGTAAAATCTTTACTGTGCCACTTTAGCAGAAACATACCAGATGTCCACTCCGTATCAAAGCAAGAGTATGAAGTGTTCTTTTCATACGCTGCGGTGTCTTCTGCTGTTAAGACTATTAATTTTCTCTCTCTTTAGGACCGAAAGAGGGAAATAGCAAACTAAACCAAAGTTCACCAAAATGCCAACTAAACGGTACAGAGCTTGAGAAAAATCAGTGGAAGCTTAAGATTTGCTAAGGTTACAAAGGATATTTAGCACCTTTGCAACACGTTTTAAAAACACAACAGAGCAAGGTTCGTGAAGTGCAGCCAAAGCATCAAATTAATTGATATTTAATGACTAGCAAAGAAGTACAGTACAAATAAGGGAGAACGTTTAACCTGAAAAACTTGCTTTCTTTTACAATGTCTATTTAGCAGACCCTCCTCTGGTTGATGGTGGGGGGGATAACCAATGGTGCTCCAAATGCTATTGGACCAGAACTTCCATAAACAGTAATCATTGGTCATGCCAGCAGATGATGGGAGTTGGGATTCCAAGAACATTTGGAGGACCACAGGTTCCTCATCCCTGATCTGACTAGCAGCAGCCAGAAGGAGTAGAGAGAGGACTCAGGTGAACATCAGGCCTCCCAGGACCATGAACAGATTCCGTTACTCCCAAGAAAAATCAGTTAAAGTACAGGCTAATCTCTCTCTTCTTGGGAATTCTCTCTGGGCAGCAGAACAACAATATTCACAAACAACTTGGACATGCTTCTTGTATACACTTCATGGGAACAGTCATTGTGAGGGCCTCACAAACACATTTGTTTGTAGTTACAGGTAGGTAGCCGTGTTGGTCTGCCGTAGTCAAAACAAAATAAAAAAAAATTCCTTCCAGTAGCACCTTAGAGACCAACTAAGTTTGTTATTGGTACGAGCTTTCGTGTGCATGCACACTTCTTCAGACACACTGAAACAGAAGTCACCAGACCCTTATATACAGTGAGAGGGTGGGGAGGGGTATTATTCAGAAGGGTGGTGGGAATGGGTGATGGCTTACTACACCTATCAGCCAATCACCCATTCCCACCACCCTTCTGAGTAATACCCCTCCCCACCCTCTCACTATATATAAGGGTCTGGTGACTTCTGTTTCAGTGTACAGTGGAACCTCGGGTTGAGGACGTAATCCGTGATGGAGGCACATCCGCAACCCGCAGCGGTCGCATCCTGAAGTGCCGTGTCTGTGCGGGCACCCGCGTGATTTGCTGCTTCTGCGCATGTGCGAGCGCGAAACCCAGAAATAACCCGTTCCGGTACTTCCGGGTTTCCAACAGTCCGCAACCTGAAAACACATAACCTGAAACGTCCATAGCAAGAGGTATGACTGTATCTGAAGAAGTGTGCATGCACACGAAAGCTCATACCAATAACAAACTTAGTTAGTCTCTAAGGTGCTACTGGAAGGAATTTTTTTTATTTTGTTTCAACATTTGGTTGTGTTATTGTGAACCACTTTGAAGAGCCATTAATGGCAGCTGAAAAGGGGTGACATTCGTTTCATCTAAATAAAGAACAGGGATCTCAGGGAATTCCCCAGATAGGGCCACTTTTCGGGTGCCCTCAATTTCACTGGAAATAGCCCAATTTTAGAATGCTGCATTCTATCCAATGGCTGAACAGTGCCCAGTGGAAATGTATACATCAAAAGCAGCAACCATTGTTACACAGAAAGAGAACAAGATACCTGACTTTTGCAGGCTCCACAAAAATTTACCCAACCAGTGATTTATCTATTTATTTGCCCAAAAAAAATGGCTGGTTATTTAGGACAGTCATGTCAAATAATGATACAAACGCTACCAAGTTTTTATCTACCGCATCCTTGCGAGCAAGAAAAGGAGTAGAAAGCAACTGCTGTAGCCACAGGGAGGCCTCAAAGAAAGCGGAAAAACTATATACTATTGAAATGTAACTAAATGAAAATATTTAAATAAACAATCACGTCTACAACGAACTCTACTGGCATTAAACTTCAGGAAAAACATGAAGGCCAATAACATTACATTAGCATACAATGTAAGAGACATCCTTGACGCATTTTAAAAAATGCAATCCAGCTCCTGCAGAGAGTGAATTATTATGCCTGTGGCCATACATGCTCCAGTCCCCAATGACTGCCTCACTGCTAACCATCTTGCTTTGCAATGCCCATCCTCAAAAGGTAAGGAGACCCAAATCCTTGAATTTACTCTCATAAAGATGGAATGGTCTCTGTGCCTTCACAGCACTTTTGAGGACCGGAAGGTCACTGTATGTTGTCGTCGGTTTATTTAGGCCCTGATGGAACTGACAAATCGAATGATGAAAATATGAAAATGATAACAGAGATTTGGAGGACAGGGGACGATGTAACTGGAACAACAAACACACAATAAGATTGCAACCATCTACTTTAGAGACTCATTGCCTTCTAAAGAATGTGTGAAGCATAACCCTACACTGAAATTTTGCAGTTCCAAAGCAGAGATCAGAAGAAAACGTAAACAAAGAGAGGAAAATTAACAGCTATATTGTCCAGATTTACTAAATGGTTGCAGTAGTTCCCGGCTTCTGTCATCTCTATTTCCCAGTGCCTTTTCCCAGGGATCAAATATAAGATTCTAAGCTGATCAGAGTAAATTTGTTAATCATCCTATACACATTGATCACACGGGCACATACATGCAACAATGAGTTGTCGTCCGTCTTTGACAGAAGGCTACTTCCAGCTTCCAAAGAACACATAATCACTGGAAGGCCTTCCACTTTCCCACAAGCCCAACCCTTAAAAGGAACTGACTAATGGGGGTGTGTGCTTAACACTTTCATTAGCTGATTGTTGGAATTAAAAAAACCTTTTCTCAGCACTTCCCAAGATTCACAAACATCAGCACGCCAAGGAAATAGTGCTACTTGCTATCATAAAACTAAGACTGTACTGTCAGAAATAAGACAAAAGGAGGATAAAATGTCCCTGAGGACTACAGTAAGCCTCTGGTATCAGGTAGACTTAACTGCATGTCAACGCGGTGAACTCCATGGCATTAATTAAATCTATTCTGGTTGTTGTACCCTCTAGCACTGCAATTTACGTCCTTATTTCAGGAAGTTCACCCACACACAAAAAGGTTAGCATTTACAGTTGCATCAGAAAAACTAAACACCAGCACCAATGAAACCTATGCTGACATCCCAGTATAGCCTCAAGTGGCTGCTACTCATTATCACATTTACAAAGCAAATAGTGATCCAATTCAGATTCATCAAGCTGAAAGGGGGGTGGGGATCAATTCCTTCAGCAATATCTCTCACCATAACAATGTATCTGCTTTAGTACAATTAAGAGATGGCAGACTAGCCCTTATTTCTTCAGGGTCAAATATGCAAGTACATGTCTAAAGATGACCTAGATGTTCCCAGATGTTGTCTGAACACAGTTGAGAGAGTTTTTGGTATCCAACACACACACACACAAACCCCTTTATTTCAGGTTCAACTTCTCTTTCTCTAGTAATGCATTTCCCTTGTCTATTCCCCTCTGACTTTCACTCCCAATCAGGGTAATATAATGCAAAAAAAAAAGGTTTCAAGAACTCTAAGCTCTCCAAACCCAGGTTACTCAAGCCAGAGTACTTCTTTTTAGGTAGAAGTAGTCAATGCAATGCCCTCAATACATTGTTGGGACTACAATTCCAATCATCTCTGGCCACTGGCCACTCTTACTGTGGCAGATGGGAGCTATAGTCCAACAACATTGCCTATCTCTGTGCTTGTGCAGTCTCTGTCCAATTTTCTTCCCACACACCATACCCCAAAAATTTCAGGGCAGCCCAGCTGAACCTCCGGAAAGAACATTTTTCGGGGGATGCATAGTGAAGGAAACTTCTGTTGCCCAAGCAGTTTCCATTCTCACAAACTCTGGATCCAAACCACTACTTTCAGCCCTGTTCGCACTTGCCACATCTCAAGGAACAGCTGGGACTGACTGCCCTTTATGGATAAAGCAAGAATTGTTCCCCCACCCAGAGTGATGCTAGTTTGCAAATTTCATTCCCCTGATCCTTTAAAAATGATATTATCTGTGCAAGCCTAGTGTACCATCATACGCAAGGAGCATACACCAATTTTTGAAGGACTAAATATCAAGCCTAAACACAGTTTATACTCACATAATTTGCCAGAGTTTAGTACAGTGTCATCTGCCTTTCATCGCTTATCTGATGCGCAGTCCTTCCAAGCTGTTAGGATAATTGTTTTCCTACTTTTCTGTAAATTATCACAGATGCCATGCCAGGATTGCACATTCATTTCTCAAACACATTATGGGGCAGAACCTCCCATTAACAACAAACAGTGGAACATTTTATTTATTTTCAGTAAACTCACATTCTACACAATAACTGATTTTCAGCTGCAGCTGAATGCAGTCTAGATGTTGAGTAACTGGAGAGGGCTAGTGTCATGATGGACCTATCTTCAGACAGAGGATTAGACTTGATAACCTCTGGGCCCTGCTAAGTGACTTGCAGCCAAAGTCCTCAAAGCCACAAGGATGCAGTAGAAACTTTAACAATGAAATTGCTCCATCCTTCACCCATACATTCTCATTTTATGATCAAACCCCTCCCTCATATATTTGCCCACTCCATCAGTGGTTTCCCCAAACTGGGTTTACTGCATCTCCTACCATTCCAAGGAAATGGTTTGATGACTCTGTGTAGTAAGGGGTGAGGAGTTATTTCTCCGTTTCCAAATACAAGAAGAGCTATGCTGGATCTGGCTAAAGGTTCAGCTAGTCCAATATAATTTGCTGCCAGATGCCTCTGGAAACCCAATAAGCAAGGCATGAAGGTAACAGACCGCTTCTAAAGTTGCCCCAGCACTCTATATTCTCTGGCATACTGCCTCTGGACCTGGAAGTTCTATTTAACCACTGCAGCACCACTGATTCCCTCGACTTCCCAGCTAAAAGCCTCCAATCTCAGATTTTATTTGGTAGTGTTTCATCCCTCCTTTCCACAGGGATGATGAAAGTACTTAACAAACTCACCAACAGGCAAGACAGCAAACAGCAATTTTCTACGAAGAATCACCCTAGACAAAGGTTATGTTTCTGAGAGCAAGATCTGGCCAGATGGACACCTTCTCCCCCTCCGCCTGCCCCAGTATTTCGCCTCCTGCTTTTTCTCTGCTTCCAAAACACAAACAAGCCAAATGCCCATCGAGTCCAGCACGCTGATTCCCACCGTGGCCAACTGCTTGGGGAGCTGGAATCCCCCGCCACGACACTTGCCCCCAACCCCGAACTCCTCCTGTCCCCAAACACAGGAACAGTGTCGGGTCACGGTGAAGGTCTAGATGCCCCGATTTCCACAGCAACCGACCTCGTGGGGAGAGCTGGATCCAGCCCCCCCCCCCCGCTTCTTCCCAATGCACTTCGCCCCCCCCTTCTTCCAAAACACAAACAGACCACGCAGCGCGCAGCACATCGCTCCCTGCAGCAGCCAGCCGCTTAGGAGCCTTGGGTCCGACCCCACTTAGCCCTCCGGCTCCCTGCAGAGCAACCCATCCCTCGCCACAGCGGCTGCAGCGTTTGTGCCTCCAGGCTGCCACCCCGCTGCCCCGAGCAGACCCGACCCGACCCCCTTCTGCCCTGCCACCGCCTCCCGCCAGCCGTCCTGCCTGGTCCTTCCGTGCTTTGACCCACCCGCGGACTCGCCGGTGTTGATCCAGTCCGGGTTCGCCAGGCTGGCGATAGCGAAGATGTCGGCGGCCAGAAAGAGGCATCCTGAGATGATGGTCAGTTTGTCCATGTCCTCCGGCTCCGGCCTCGGCCCGGCTTCCCAAGAGCGGGGCCCGGGCCGGGGGCTCCTCACAGCCGCGGCTCCATGGCTCGGCTCGCCTTCCGGCTCCGCGCTCCGCAGCAGACGCGCTCGCCGTCACCCCGCCGCCGCCACCGCCGCCCTCAAGGAGCCGCTGCCACAGGAGCGGGCTCGGGCCCCCCCCGCGTCCCGACTCGGGACGGCGCCGGAAGCAAAACCCGAGCAGCCGCCGCGCAACCCGGAAGCGAAAGCTCACGCCCTCGTCCTCATCTCTCCCCGCGCCTTTCACACTTTGTCCCAGACGGGGCGGGGCCTGCTAGGGAGACGGCGGCGGCGGCAAGAGCATTGGGCGGGGCTTAGAGCGGAGGGGGCAGGCTTCAAGGGCGGGGCTTCCTACTGGGTGAAGGGGCGGGGTTGTAGAGATGTAATGCTGCGCGAGCACGTGAGGGGCGGTGCTAAAGGGCGGGGCGGGGCTGAGACTCGCTTAGGGGCGGGGCTCGGCGACGAGCGAAGGCTTGAGGAAGGGGGCGGGGCTAGTTCATTTAAATAAATAAATACCGTATATTTATTTTTACTGAGGGGAATTTAATTGAGAAAAGGGAAAAGGAAAGTTGCGCTATTATTGTACTACTACTTACGTACTAAGGATTTTTATGGGTGCTGGAGCAAGACTTTAGGAGAGCCACGTTCAAATCCCCATTCGCTGCCTCTTTTCCTGTCCTACCTCACAGAGCTGTTGTGAGGATAGAAGGGAGGGAGGGGTATGAGACCCTTGCCAGCTGCCAGCTGAGCTTCCTGGCCTCTCCTGGGCAAGGCAGGCCACCTAATACAGCCTGAAATGGTGCAGCCATATAGTTTCCACCTCAGAGAGAACAATACATAAGATCAAGAGCGTGTGTAATGAATTTGCTAACTACATTTTACTGCCCTTTTACAAGTAGCCAGAAATCTAAATCTGACCCACTTGCTACCAAGGGTGTAGGATGCTTGCCCAATGATTGGTATTCTAGACTGCCAAGTCTAGCAACTCCAAAGCCACAGAGTTGTATGGATTCTAAAAATATATTTAGCCATAGCAACATCCCTTCCTTTCAATGGCCATCTAGAAATACACACCCATAACACTGGTGCACGGAAACCTAATTGCCATGTGACATTTAAGCTGCAGACTGTCTATCCAGTTTATTTTTAGACCCTTCTGCACAAATTGCAAGGTATAAAAGTGCCATATTCAAGCTGCAGTCCTGCACAGAATTACCTGGAAGTAAGTGCAGTGGAACATAGGACAGAACAACACATTATCTGAGCAAACAGGAAGGAAAGGCGCTCAAACAGGACAACCAGCACAGGGTGCTCAACCCGTCCTGCACCCACTAATTTTTCCTCAGACATGCTCCTCTCTCCAAAGTTATTCTTGTCCACCCCATTCCAGCTCAAGTCACTTTCAGAGCCACGCTTTGGAAAGTACCATGGGGGAAAACCCTTGCTCAGTAGCAGAAGACAGGTGTTAGTAGCTGAATATCCACAGTTCAGTTTTTGGCATCTTCATTTTTTAATCTAGTAGCAAATGATATGTAAATCCTCTGCTAAAGGCCCTAAGTATTGTTGCTACTTAGGCTGCGTACACACAACATTTTATTCTAGAATCTATGGAGACTGGTCCAGCATACACACCTTTGAAGCACATTTCCCTGCACAAAGAATTCTAGGCACTATAATTATTTGAAGGTGTGCTTCAAAGGTGCTTTAAATGTGCAATGTATATGCAGCCTGAGTACTTGATTTTTCTACGTAGTCCACACACAATCTATGATTATAATTTTTTGTTTTTCTATTGCATTGTTTTTGCTCCTGAAAAGCACATATTGACTAACTGGCTTCATTCCAAAATAAAAGCTCATTTTGGATTGCTTCTGCATTACCCTGCAACATGTCTAGAACTTGTGGACATCCAATAAAGCTGAATGTTGGAAGATTCAGGACAGAGGAAAGAAAGTTCTTCATGCAGTACATAGTAAAACTATGGACCTTGCTCTCTCAGGAGGCAGTGATGGCCGCCAACTTAGATGACTTTAAAAGAGGATTGGACAAATTCATGGAGGAGAGGGCTATTGATGGCTACTAGTCATGATGACTATGCTCCACCTCCACAGGTGTTTCCGAATGCCAGTTGCTGGGAACCACAGGAGAGGAGAGTTCTTGTATGCTCAGATCCTGCTTGTGGGTTTCCTGCAAGCATTTAGTTGGCTACTATGAGAACAGGATGCTAGACTAGATGGGTCTTTCGCCTGACCCCGCTTGCTCTTCTTATGTTCTTATGTTCATTGGAGATTCCAAGAATCTTGGAATTCCACGGTACTAGTATTCTAAACTGTTACTAGGCATCAGTGTCAACTTGCCTACCGTAGTGTTCTCCCTTCACATGACACTGTAGGCTGGTGGTCTCTTCCCAAAAGGCTTTCCAGAGGCATTTCTCTGACCGTCTTTGACTACACAGAGAATCCACAGAGGCTTTGTCAACATGGACCACCAGAGGTTTTCTGGTAGAAGAGGTTCATCTTATGAAAGAAGGCCATCTATGCGACAAACGTCATATGAAAGAGAGAGGTCATCTGACAGAAGAAGTTCAACTGCCAGAAGGAGATCATCTGCCAGAAGACGGTTGTCCGACATGAGAGCTTCATTTGACAGAAGAAGGTCATCCTTCAGACGACCATCCTTCAGACGACCATCCATCAGACGACCATCCTTCAGAAGACCATCTGTCAGACGGCCGTCTGTCAGAAGACCATCTGTCAAATGGTCATCCATCAGAAGACCATCTGCCAAATGGTCATCCATCAGAAGACCATCTGCCAAATGGTCATCCATCAGAAGACCATCTGTCAAAAAAAAATTGTCTTTCAAAAGTGCGACATATTTCCCACCAGGTAATCAGGACACCGGAATTTGTTTAAGGTTCCTCTAAACATCTGTATACACAAAGCGCATTTAAAACACATGACCTCCCACAAAGAAATGTGGGAACTGCAGTTTGTTAACTATGCTGGACAACTTAGTTCTGTAAAAAGTAAACCATAGTTCCCAATATTCTTTGGGGGGAGCCATGTGCCACATTGTCCTATACAGTAGTCTTGGCTCCATGAATTATGGGTTTGCATCTCAACACAGGCCCTACCTGGGATCCTGTGTCCAGTTCTGGACACTATGGTTTAAGAAGGATATTGACAAGCTGCAACATGTGCAGAAGAGGGCAACCAAGATGATTAAGGGTCGGGAATGGGTGAGGGAGTTGGGTATGTTTAGCCTGGAGAAAAGAAGTGATAGGAAAGCCATCTTCAAATATCTGTAGGGCTATCACATGGAAGGTGAAGTAAGCTTGTTTGCTGCTGCTCCAGAGGCTAGGAGCTGAACCAATGTATTCAAATCTAAAGATAGAAGATTCCAACTAAACATTAGGAATAACATTGTGACAGAGCTGCGGGTCAATGGAATGGATAACCTTGGAGGTGGTGGACGCTCCTTCATTGGAGGTTTTTAAACAGTGGTTGGGTGGCCATCTGCCAGGGATTCTTTAGCTGTGACTCCTGCATTGCAGGTGGTTGAACAGGACAATCAATCCCTGGGATCCCTTCCAGCTCAGTAGTTCCATGAACACTCCTTGTTTTCTTTTCAGGATTCCTAAATGAACCTCTCAGATGTTGATAGTCTGGTATCGTGGCCAGGATCCAAAGAACTGTGCAACTAATTCCAGTTTGCCCAATGGGGCTTTGGGGGCTCACATTTCTCCAACAGCAGTCTCCAATGCTTCCTGGGGAAAGTCTTTTGAAAGCTAGTATGTCTCACACAGTTCTTTGGGTCCTAACCCTTGGAAATAATACATCTGGAATGAAATTGATTTGCTCTATAACTCTGAGCTTAAGTTTTGGGAACTGGGTCTTGAAGCCCATTAAGCTAAGGAGAATTGTATGCTTGAAGCAGGTGCTCAGAGCAACCTTTGGTCCTTCAGGTGTTGCAGAGTAGAACTCTCATCCTCCCTGTCCCATTGGCCATGCTTGCTGGTACTGGTGCAAGCTGTGGTTCAGCAACATCTGGAGGGCCAAATGTTCTCCTGCACCTGGCCCAGAGGGTTAGGCCACATGAGCTTTGCAACATGTCCAAATTCTCTTCCTTAGCAGATGAAGAAGAAACCTCATCAACAGACTCTGATGATTATTACAGCTGGGACACAGGTGAGTGTGGCAAATTCAATACAGTCAAAAGAAAGGATTTCTTCACACAGTGCAAGATTAATTGCTGGAATTCACTGTCACCAGATGTTGGGGTGCTCAATAGTTTCAATAGTTTAAAATGGGAATTAGACAAATTAATGGAGAATAGAGTTATCCGCACCTGTTAGGCAGGATGCTCAAAAGTAGTTGACCATAGGAACATTGGAAGCTGCCCTATACTGAATCAGGCCAATGGTCCATCTATCACAGTTTTGTTAGCACTGATGGTTCTCATGGTTTCAGGGAGGGAATCTATCCTAGCCCTACCTGAAGATGCCAGGGACTGAAACAAAGATCTTCTGCGTGAAATACAGATGCTCCACCCCTGAGCACCCTATGTCATGGACTGGTTGGACGCAGAGGAATGGTGGGAGGAACCAACTGGGGAACCACCAAAGAAAGAAGTCTCAGAGGCTGGGGAGTGGTGATGGAACAACAATGAGTGGTCAGAGGGAGAAAAGGGAGAAGACTGCGAGGAGGTGATATTGAAAGCTGAACAGGCAACAGGGTTTAGTGAGCTGGAAGAGTCTGTGGCGGAGAGAAGTTCAGAGACAGTAGCTGAAGCAGAAGGGTGGGAGGAGGGAGACCAAGATGCAGATTAGTCAGGTTGGTGAAGTCATGGGTATCTCCCCCTCCTGTTGCAACCAGCTCCCCTCCCCCACCTCCATTTCCCATAATCAGAAGTGTTGAAACAGGTGGAGCAGTGATAGGCTGCATGCAAACATAGTCTCCGATTGCTTGGGGAAAAGCCCTGGGGAGGAGGGGATTTAGATGACTGTGGGGAGGCGGGGACTTTCAGTATCAGCCACTGATTAATGAGGTAAGACCTACTGGAGATGAACTGCTGTGTTTATTTGGCCTGGCACTCAGCCAAGAGTTAACTCCAAATTTGAACAGTGTGATTTACTGCAGGCTCACTTTTTGACACCCTACCACTGGATACCAGTTTCTAGTGGGGGGAGGGAGGCTGTTGCTAGCATGCCCTCTTCCTGTAAGCTTCCCAAATGTAGGGTTGCCATATTTCAAAAATTGAAAATCCGGACACAAAAGTTGTTGAGCTTTATTAATGAAATTTGCCAAAATCCACACTTCTGACATGGGTTGCCATACAGTCAGATTTTCCCGGACATTTGAGCAATTTCCGCCCAGACGCTGTTTACAAGGGCTGAATACCGGCTCTGTCTGGGAAATTCCAAAAAGTATGACAGCCCTAGCAAAGGCATCCATTTGAGCATTGTGGAAAACTGGAGACTGGACTCAGTGGATCTTCCAACAGGGATTTTGTTCTTCGGTGTCACCAGATTCAAAGAGCTACTGCAGTGAATAGAGGCTCTGCCAGGCAACCAGTTTATTCAGCGTTCATTCTAATTTGCTTGCATGAAACTTATACAGTGATTAGACCAGGCTTCCTCAACCCCGGCCCTCCAGATGTTTTGAGGCTACAATTCCCATCATCCCTGAGCACTGGTCCTGCTAGTTAGGGATCATGGGAGTTGTAGGGCAAAAACATATGGTGGGCTGAGGTTGAGGAAGCCTGGGTTAGACTATGGACCCCTCCAGAATGATTGGGGGGGGGGTTGGTGGGAGGAGAGTTGGGAGCGCATTGCACAACATGTCATTGATTAAATCACTAGTATTTAATCATTGACATGTTGCATTGCTCAGGGTTTTACACTGGACCATCTATCCACCAGGATGCATGGACAGCCAGTTCAAAAGCACGTCAAAGTGCAAATAGATAAATAGGTATCGCTCTGGCAGGAAGGTAAACGGCATTTCCGTGCGCTGCTCTGGTTCGCCAGAAGCGGCTTAGTCATGCTGGCCACATGAGCTGGAAGCTGTACGCCGGCTCCCTCGGCCAGTAAAGCGAGATGAGTGCCGCAACCCCAGAGTCGTCCGCGACTGGACCCAATGGTCAAGGGTCCCTTTACCTTTACCTATCCACCATTCTGTTTTATTAGTTGTCCTTTAATGTTTCCCCAGGGTTACCACTTGGAGGGGCACATATGAACCAAAGTGCAACAAAAGCCGGGGGGGGGCACTCCAGAACATTTTTGGTATAAAAAGTCACAGGACTTCAGCAAGAAGCTAAGGGGCATGCACTAACAAAGCAGTATGTCCGCCCAGAAGCTTTTGCAGGCGCAAACAATAGTGGATTGCTTTCTTTCTCATTTAGATGAAGATACCAGTTCAGATATGAGTGGATCTGAACATACTTTAAGTGCCACTGTGAAGACAAATATCCAAATGGGAGAGCAGGGATTAGGCTTAATCCTCATTCAGAACGGGCCCTACATCCAGATCTCAAGCCTGGTTGAGAAAAGTGCAGCAGTAAGAGATGGGAAACTCCAACCAGGTAAGCAGGTGGAAACAACCTCAAACCTGCGGGGTGCATGGCTGGTATGTAGTAGGAACAGAAAGAGCTTTTACAGCAGCAAAGGAAAACCTCTCCCATGGAACTCCCTCTCTTCCACTGCTTGTTGCATTAGACCCAAATTAGTCGTAACTATTAATTTCAACAACGCTATACTGAGTGGGACCAGCACCACACATCAATGAGATGTAGGCAGTGTTTTATTTTATTAAAAAGAAAAAATGGTGACGGTACTCACCATGATGTTGTTACACTTAATATGGTCGGGGGTGGGGAGATGCTGGTACTGAGTACCATTGAGTACCTCCATGATCACTGGATGTAGGAACTACCAGGTTAAGCAAGCCAAGAGTGCATTCTGCAAACAACTTCCCCCAAACTAATAGCTTTCCTTTCCTTCCAGGTGACATCCTGATTAAAATTGGGCATGCTAATGTCCTAGGGTGGACACTACGAGAGCTAAGGCAGCTTCTACACACCACTCTCATTGGGACCGTTCTGCAGATCCAAGTTTACAGGGAATTTATGAAATTACCAGTCCGATGGGAAACTGCCATCGACAGCATACCTGAAAGAAAGGGAGCCAAGCTAGGAGAGTAAGAAACAATACATTTCTAGTTCACTATTTGGGTAAAGGTCATGAGAGTGCTGGGAGGCGGGAGAGGGTTGGAAATCTAATGGTAACATTATCTGACCATGTCAACTTCCTGAAATGTGTTGTATCTCAGTGGAAGTGTATCTCAGTGCATACACTTTGCATGCAGAAAACTCCAGGTTCAATCCCTGGGCTCTCTCTTCCAAGGGGTATAAAGACCCCATCAGAAACTCTGAAGATCCATTGCCTGTCAATGTTGAGCAGGGAGGGATGGGGAACCTCAGGCCTTGGGGAGAAATGTGGCCCTTCAGGCTTACCTATCTGGCCCTTGGGACTCTTCCCAGACCACCCGAGCACTGGTTGTGCTTCACATCCTAAATCTTTTTGCATGGCTGGCAGGTGCTCTTGGACTCTGCTAATACCTCTTGCTTGCCTGGACAGAGGATCGAGAAGGATATGTGCACGGAGAACCTAGACAACCATGTGAAGGTGGAATCTGCCTGTATTGCTCCACTCATTTATGGAATGCTCTCCCTAGGGAGGCTCACCTGGTGCCTTCATTATATAGTTTAGGCACCAGGCAAAAACGTTCCTTTTCAACCAGGCCTTTGGCTGATTAATATCCTACAGCCTGTTAAATGTGTATGTGGGAAGGGGGGTATTGTTTTACTGTTTCGATTTACTTATTTACTTGTAAATCCTGTTTTTATCCTGTATTTTATACCCTGAGATCTTATGATGAAAGGCGGTATTAATAATAAATAATAAATAAATAATAATAGCAGCAGCAGCAGCTCGGGCCCTGCTCCATCAGTAGCATGCAGCTCCCAGGTGTTTGGCTGCCCAGATGGGAAGGTGGTCATCTGGCTGAAAAAAGGTCCCAACCCCCACTTTGGAACAGCTAAAAATGAGCCAGTAGTTAGATGGTGTAAGGGAAGCAGCAGCATTGCTCCCTTGCTCAGTTGTGAAAGTTTCATCTGGTAATTAGCAAAAGAAATTGGAAAACACATACCACACAATGGAGTGATGTTTTGTAAAAATTAATATTCAGGAACACATGGAGTAACAGTTATTCTATAAACTGGGATAACTCCATTCAGTGAAATGAACAGAGTCCCTAGTATCATTTAGCAGAAGCTTCTTGTTCTTGCTCTTCCTCCTCCTAATTCCAGGACTTGAGGAAATAAGGGATAGAAGAAAGGGGTGTTCTAACCCAAGCTGTTAGGATGAGAAAGAGGAGCCAGTGATCATGGGAGCTACTGGAAGGATGAGCTGTAGTGTTTCATCTGATGGCTGTCACCAATGCAAGTCTTCTTTGCAACCACCCACACCCTATAAAATTAACCAGTAAAGAGGTCTCCACCACAACAGTTTGACATCAAAATCCACCTAAGCACTGTTTGCAGACCTTGAAGTAGCAGAGCACTAGCTTTTCCCAAGCACATAATTTATATTTAATAGGCTGCTCTAGCCTAGTGACTTAATGCATACAATTATTATACACAATTTCCCCCATCTCCAAGGAGCTTGTAATGTTATGTTACAAAAGAGGTGGAGGAAACACAGCACGGAAGCCAGAAGTGCAGGGAGTAGAGGGTCAGCTGCTTTATTTTAAAAATGCAGGAGGGTGTTGATAGTAGGATACGTTGATTGGTAATATGATAGCAATAATCTAGGCCAAACAGGAAACATATAGCAACAGGGGAAGCTGACATATACTGAGGCATGCCTCTGGTCTATCTATACAAAAGGTGGGGAACCTTTTCTGGCCAGTGGGATAAATCCTTATCTCCCAACCCCCCAGCAGGCCATCCAATCAACTGACATCACAATGACATCAGGTAATGCTGCACTTTGAAGCCCCAATTGTTGGGACTTCAAAGTGCATCACAGGGGTTATCTGAAAGCTCTTTTGCAAGCAGACCCCCAGAAGAGGGAAGAGGTTTCCAATGAAACTATTGTTTAATTGAACCTGGGACTGTTCTGCTTGCAAAGCTATGTTCTGTCACTGAATTGCAACCCCTTCCCGAGTTACTAAATGCCACAAGTGGCCAAAGCACTTCTTTAAGATCTGCCCTCTATGAATCAAATAGAAGCAATCCTTACAACATTACTGCTTTCCAAGACTCTCTGTGTTGTGTTCATTTCAGGACGTCAACTTACACCAGTGAAGAAGCTTGGTCGAGCAGCGAAGACTCTGAAGATTATGATTGCGGCTGTCATGTTAGTGACGACGAGGAGCTTATTGGTGGGAGCCATGTCGTCAGCTTCGGTAGTGATGAGATCTATACTACAACCGAAGTCACTGAGGTTCCTGTTAACAGAACTGTACATGCCGATGCTTTTCCTAATGTCAAAGCTGTACCATCACTTTCTTTTGAAACTTCTAAGCAACCCAAGTGGATCTCTAAAGACTGGCACATCTTTGAAAGGAAAACCTACACATTTACCGTGGGCTCAGACATTGGTAACGACATTATAATTCATAAGGACTTTGAAGATGAAAGTGATGCTGACATTTCAAGTTTGTATTTAACGTCCTCATCGCCATATTGGACTATGCTAAAAGGTGTTGCGCCGCCATCATTGTCATCTTCCTCCTCTACTGTGTCGGATGCATTTTGGCTTGAAAACTTTTCTCAAGAAGTTGAATGAGGCAACTGGTTCCAGTTTTGCACCGCCAGGAACTGGGTTTCTGAAACTGGATCCAGTTATAAGCTGGATTTTCACTCATACAACCTCTCCGCCAACTGATGGGTTTCGTCTGTTTGGCGAGCAGAAAACGTGGGTGTTTGAAAGAAGCGATGCTCCCTCTTTCGAGGGAAGGAGAGAATAATCTCAACAGTGGAGAAATAACTACAGTCAGTTTTCATATAGACATGTCTCTGGAAGTCTAGCAGCCAAGCTATATAGCACAACTGCAAGAGCAGAACTTTGCCATCTTCTGCTTGTGAAGGTAAGGAACAGTATTACTTCAAAATGAATTATGCCAGACTCGAAATTAATCTAACCCTTGCCACTTTTTAGCTGAACCATTAGCAAAGATTAGGGAATTCTGTTCTTAGCATTTTACTGCAACACACACGCCCACACACATTTGGAAACTCAGTATCTGTATGCAGGAATGGGTTCCCTGCACCCCACAATTCTGGTCCGTGTAGCCTGATGGTATGACATGCGCCAAACAATGTACAATCCTCAAGCTTGTCAAGGGCCCCTTGGCTTATCGTAACAACCAAAGTTTCCCCAGTGGTGCCAAATTGATCCACGCCTACTTTATATCTGACCCCTCCTTTAATTACTTATATCCTACCTTTTAAAGGGGGAAAGAAAACCATCCCAGTCCCACTTTTTAATGCTTTATACAGTTCAATAAATTTGGTGTCAACACTAAGGAAGAATTTGGAATGTTGTGAATCCCCTCCATCACCACAAAGGGAGGGATTATATTTTGTATATATACACCCCATTTCAACTAGCTCTTTGTGTTCCTAAAGCAGGTTAAGTGTGCACGATTAATTAAGCACACTTACATACCCCATTGTTTTAAAATGCTTTAAGCATTTGAACTTTAGAAGAATTAAAGGCATTCAACAATTCTCTTGAGATTTTGACTCTCACAAGGCCATCCAATGAACCCATTGGCTGTGGTGAGGTTTTAACCTGGGCTTCCTCAATCAGTTCACCAGCCACAAGACCGAACTAGCTCAGAACAAAAAAGCAGATACTCAGGGTTGTGCTCAACTTACACAATTCCATATTAAGCACCAGATGCTGCCATAAGAGCAACAGAAAATGCTTTAAGTGCATAACAATACAGAAGACACAAAGATACTGAGAATCCTGTTAAGAGGATGAGCTCTGCACTTTATTTGTGTAAGTGTACTGAAAGTAACCTACAGCGCCAAAGCATTAGGAACTCATAAATAATACAGGACGATAATGACAGTCAACACAACTGTCTTAGAACAGAGTCCATTTTGAGGCTGTGCCTCATGTTCAACTTCTTACAACTCATCCACAAAAGGGGTGTTTGCCAAATCCCCACTAGCTGCCATTGACTTCTTCCCACTAACAAACTTCTTTGCGGCCTGAAAAATAAAGCAGAAAGATAGCAGAGGACAAAATGTTAGGTGATTGAGGCATCATCCGCTTTGGAATCAGCAAACAGAATCACTGTATTTGAAGAGTGGCTATTTTTGAGCTTTAAAGGAACTGCTGAATTAGAATTTGGCTTGCAGCGGGTGTAGGAAGAGCCATTTGTGGGGCAGAAAGCCAGTGTTGGCATTCATTTAATATATTTGTATTCTGCATTATACCAAATCTAGGTCTCTGTGGCAGCTGGCAAAGGACAAAAATGAGAAGCAAACCCAGGCACAGAGGACTGCAAACGCCCCAAACGCAAAGGGTAACACCAGCCAAGTGCCATTGGAAGTGTGGGGGGAAGGAAACATTTAGGGTCAACACTTCACAGATACAGCTCTGATGGGCATTCCAGAGACTGGGAGTCACTGGAGCAAAGTCCTGTCACTCAGAATTAGGGTTATGAGGACTGCTGGCCAACTCAAGAAGCAGGTCATCTATTTTGTCAGCGCTACAGAAAACAGGAAGAGGGGGAACCGTTCTAAATACAAAGCTGCTGATTATGTTGTAATCTACAGGCACCTTACTTACATTCACAATGTCAGCAGTGGCCACAGAATCAATCTTTTCGGCCGCAGCACTTGGTGATGTGTATACCCCAGATGCCAGGGCCTGAGAGCCAATTTCATCAAGCAAGCCTTCTGAAGACTCCACAGACATCAAGTAAGCCGCCTTCAGCTGGTTTCTGTCAAGAATATTGAGGAAAATGAGCATAGCAGCCTGCTTAGGAATCTGTAAATATGATGGCAGACAATCGGCAGGAAAAGTATAATGTGGAGTGCATTTATTTACACTGTCTTACTTGCATTTGCAATGCACTTTGTAATTCTGACAAGTTACAGGATGCCTATTACTTTAAAACAGTCATCCGTGAGACTGGAAATCACAAGGCATTCTTGAAGGCAGGCATGAGAGAAAATCCAGCTTCATGGGAGGAAAAACAACCCTCAGTTAAATAGGCCAAAAAAGTGTTGTAATCATGTATTTTATGAAATCATGTAAAACCTAACAATTTATTAGATTTCCATAGTTTAAGAGTAAAGTAGATTTTCTATACATTTTAGTGTTCCGTTGCTGCTCCTTTTTTAAAAAAAGTAGTCCAATAATGTATATTTTACATAAGAAACAGCCATTTGCCAATTCAGAGTATTTGTCCACCTTATCAATATTGTTTACTCTGACTAGCAGCTGTCAGTTCTCTAGAATCTTAGGCTGCCCAAACCTTTTAACTGGGTGGCAAGCAGGGTTTGAACCTGGGATCTTCTGCATGCAAAGCCTGTGCTCAACAACTGAGTTACGCCGCCTTCCCTGAATGCCTCAACCCTATCTCATTTGTCCTAGATGAGAGGCACGTTTCTTATTTAGACATAAAAACGAGAGCTCTTACTTTACTTAAAAATACAACTGATTAAAATGTACATTAACAATTCCCGAATATCAGGAATGTGCGCCGGGGCAGAAAGAGGGATGTGTATAATATACGATTTTGGGCTGTGAACAGGTCACAAGAATAGCTCTGGTAAGCTAACTTACTTGGCTCTTGTGACTTCCGCATCAGTGACTCCACCCTGGGCAATTGCCTTCACTTGGTTCAAAGCAGCTTTGATTACCTTGATTCAAAAACATAAAAATATGTTGCTGCCGGCTACAAAAGTCAGAATTCAACCCCTGCCCCCACTTTATTTACATATACCTAGAACTTTTATTAGACATATGCAGCCAGAGCTGTCCCTTGAGGTTTGTAGGGCTGAGGGAGAATCACTCTGTGTGGTCCTCACATTATTTGTATACAGGGAAAATCTGAGCCAGATCAGGCCTTCTGCATCTGCAATGTGCACTGGGGGGAATATCCAACTGGAGTGAATGCAAGTCCCATCCCCTGAGCAAACTGCAGGGGCATGGATGGGTGGATTGAAAGTGGGTGGGTGAGAAAGAATAGCAGGCCTCTGGGGCTTCTTTCTACCTGCTACTAGATCCCTTTCTTTTAACTGGAGACGCCAAGGACTGAATCTGGGTTCTTCCACTATGGTCTTTTCCAGAGCCAGATTACTTTGTTTGCCCACTTACAATCATATGAATTAAGGAGATTTTGTAAAAGAAGCTAATCCACAAGATGTTTCATAAAGGTATCTATCATAAAGTATCATAAAGTATCCCTCTGACCATAGCAACTTAAGGACACATTTTCTACTTTCAGCACATCCTTCCTGAAAGCAAAACACCCCTTGCAGTGTCAGGAATACACACATTTGTCATAAAACCCTACCAATTGTTTAAAAAATCCTTATTCAGAACTTGCAGACTGAACGTGCTTCCAATTAACTTGGTCTGAGAAAACCAACTGGTGACTTACCTCCCCAGCAGCTGAAGCCTGGGATACAGTGTAAACGCCAAAGAGTCCGGAATCAGAGTAATTCACATTAAATGCTGCTGCCTGCGAAAAAAATTTGATTTCAGTTAGCATATTCCAACAAGCTCTTTTCTTCATGCGGAAATATTTTTGGCATTTTAAAGTAGTCCATGTTTAGACAGGCTAAAATTCAAAATAGGAAACAGAGTTAGGAAATAGGCCTAGGAAATAGGGTTATCATTAGTTTATTATTGATTGTTCATATTTTAGTTAATGTATGTAATTGTGCATAAATTTAAAACAATCAGAAGCCACAATCTCAAATGAAAAATTCTCCTTGTATGAGAGAAGTGGGAAATGCCACTTCTTAGAGGGCATTTGCCAAATTACAAATAATTTTGTAATTATTTGTACAGTAGTATCTTGGTAGTATCTTGGTTCTCAAACTTAATCCATTCCAGGAGTCTGTTTGACTCCACAAACTGTTCGAAAACCAACGTGTGGCTTCCAACTGGCTGCAGGAGCTTCCTGCACTCAAGCAGAAGCCGCGTCGGACGTTTGGCTTCCAAAAAACATTTGCAAACTGGAACACTTACTTCCGGGTTTGCAGTGTTTGGGAGCTGATTTGTTTGGGAGCCAAGCCGTTCGAGTACCAAGGTACCACTGTACTGCAAATTTACTTGTATTACTTAAGAAAATAAATCCATAGGTTCATTTAATCAAAGATACTTTATAAAATTGCACTGAACACTGCAGCTCTGGTAGAAATATTTGGCAAAAACCATTAGGAGCTTCTATCACATGACCCCTTATAGAAATTCCATTCATTCCAAAGGGACGTCTGCCGCACGTCTGTTGTCATCGTTGCTGATAATAACTTAAATAATTTATATACCACTTATATGCTAAAATTACTTCTAACTGGGTTTAACAACTATACAATCAAGTATGAAATCCCTGATTAAAAAAACACACAATTACAATTCCATTGGGACATTAAATCAACCCTTAATTAAAATTAAAAAGAAACAAGCAAGTTAAAAAGTATAATTAATCCAGTAAGAGAAGAAGTCCAAGTCCAAGGAAATGCTTGGCTAAACAGGTGTGTCTTCAGCAGTTGGCAGAATGCCAATACTGATGCAGCCTCTCGTATTTCAGTAGGAGTGGCATTCCACACCACCAATGAAAAAGCCACCCCACCCCCATGTTACCACAAACCAATAATTATCAGGCTGTGGCAAAACTAACCAGGTTCTATTAGTGGATTGTAGCATCCTTACAAGGCACTGGAGATAAAAAGAATGGTTTTCAGGTAACTGGGTCCAGAGTTATTTAGGACACTGTATCTAAGCAGCAGAGCCTTAAAACTGGCTTGGTGGCTACTAACCAGCCAGTGCATGCTTTTCCCAAAATATAAACGGGTACAGGTTTTATCCAGTGCTAGTCCTGCACAGAGTAGATCCATCCACTGAAATTACTGAACATAACTAACTTAGGTTCATTAATATCAACAGTTCTACTCTGAGTAGGACTTACAATGGATACAACCCTACACTTCTCTGCTCTTTTTTTGCTCACATTAAAATCACAGGTGCAAGCCTACATACTTACATCAAAAGGTAGGGCAGTTGCCTTCGCAACACCTTGGATGAGCTTACTGGTAACACTACTTCCTCTCTTAATCAGAGGCCCTGCCCCAAGAACATGCTGAAGGACACTAAAGGCGTTTGCTTCTGCACTTCCTACAGCAGCTCCTTCAGCAACTACGGCAGCATGGACAAGGCTATGGCTGTTCAGCTCTCGGATTTCACCTTAGTGAGAGGCAAAAAGAGGCATTATATGCTCATCAAAGCATAACACATCAACAATCCCTGTAATGATAGCATTTTCTCTGTCAAATCGTCTACAGAGAAGCCTTCCCAAACCCACCATGAAACTGGTAGCGTTATCAAGCCACCTCCTAAGAAACTACAAAGTTCCCTAGAATGCAGTTTGAAAACTAACACAATCAAAACACAAATTCGGATAGAAGCCAAAGTGACTTTCAGATAGGATGTTAATGCTACTGCCACGAAGTATGCTAGAGGGAGAGCTTAGAATTTCTCTAGATCTTTAAGGCCCAAGTCAACGACAGACACATGATGGCTACTGAATTATGAAACTGAATTTTCAAGGTGATCAAGTAGACAAGAAAATTCATTTTCTTCTGTACCCTGAAAAACTACAGCAGCCTTAGAATTTGGCCCTTGCCCAGCAGGCAGCAGGTCAAAGTGCACAGGCCAAAGTGGTGTGATGGCAATGGAATCCACTGAAAGGTAAGTCACATGCTCTCACCCAGCAGGACTGTTGTGAGAACTAGGAACAGCACTGTGGGAGAACATCTGTTTTGCAGGGGGAAGGTCCCAGATTCATTTCCTGACATCTCCAGTTACATCAGCAAGCGTCTGGAAAGGCCTCTCCCCACTCAAGACTCTGGATGATCACTGCCAGCAAGAGCAGATGATAAAGGCCTAGATCAACTTTTCCCAACTGTTTTGGACTACAATCCCCATCAGCCATAGCCAGTGCGGTTAATGATCAGGGATGATGGGAGTTTGGAGAGCACCATATTGATTGGGGAAGGATGGCCTTGATGGCAAAATAGCCCCAGCCTGGCAGTTAGGAACACGGAGTCCTAGGAAGCTGCCTTATACTGAATCAGGCCACTGGGTCCATCCAGCCTAGTATTGTCTACGCTGATGGAAGTAGCTCTCCAGGGGTTCAGGAAAGGTTCTCTCCAGAGCAGATGTTCTACCATTCATCCCCCAAAGAAAAGATGCTGCTTTGTGCTGAATAAGACCATTGAACTGTCTGCACTGACTGGTAATGGCTCTCCAGTGTTTCATACAGGACATTCCCAGTTGTACTTGGGAATTACCGGGGATTGAACCTGTGACCTTCTGCATGCAAAGCAGATGTTCTAGCATTGAGCATTGGCCCCTATGTTCCTGTGAAGCATGTATGCCCCACCCTGAACATCTTGGAGGAAGGGTGTGATAAAAACGTAGCAAACTGTAATATGCCTATTGGGAACAGTAATCTACAAGCCATATAACATGTGCTGGAATTCTCTGGTCTTTGTGAAAGGTTGTCCCTGGGTGTGGAGTAAGGCAACAATGCAGTGGCTGGGGCAGGGGTACAGCAGGTTTGAAGGCTGGATGATGGCCCCACAGCAAGATGTCAGAAGGCAGGATGGACTCACCCCATCAATCTAATTCAGCAGCACTGCTATAGAATTATCAAGAAATATGCAGGTACCAAAAAAGAGAGAGCACATTTACCTCCACGGTACTTGGCCTTCTCACCAGCTGAGCCAGACCCGCTGCGGATGTTTAGGTAATGCTCTCCAATCTGCTTCAGGTCAGAATGGCTGACACCTGAAAGGCAGTGTTAGCATCAGAAGAACAAACCAGAGGTTTGCGGCAAAAGGTGTTTTTGTCTTTTAAAAGAACACAGCACAGCCACAAGACACAGATCTTGCCTTACATACCGAGCCCCACCAGAGCCATTCTGCCACTTGTGAAGTTGTTCTGTACGAACTGGTGCAGCTGTGATGAAAAGGAGGGTGTGCGTGTTAGTATTTCTGCCACATAACTAAAATAAGAACTTAAGAGTCCTTCTGAATCACACCAAAAGGTCTATCGAGTCAAGCAGCCTGCTTTTACAGTGGCCAACCAGATGCTTCCGAGAAGCTCATAAGCAAGACATGGTAATCACAGAATCATAGAATTGTAGAGCTGGAACTGACCCCGAGGATCATCTAATCCAACCCCCTGCAATGCAGGAATATGCAGCTGTCCCATAGGGGGATCAAACCTGCAACCTTTGCATTATCAGCACCAAGCTCTAACCAACTGAGCTACCCAGGGGCCATTTTAAAAAATTTACCTTATATAAGTTGTTTGCCTGGACTATGACTGTGCTTCACTTCCAAAAAAGCACATTGAGGAGCCTTAGCGTTTGAGGCATTTCAGAACAGAACTGGTTTAAGTGACACCAGTTTTAAACATCTTCACAAATATTTTGATTAAGTGCAACAGCTTGTGGAAACAAGTGTTAAAATGCAACATGATGCTTTATAACTGCAGCCCAATACACTTACTCTAGGGGAAGTCCCCAATGAATTCACTGGGGCTTCTCAGTTGGCATGCATAGGATTACACTGTTGAAAAACCAACCAAAACCAAGTAAGGGGAAATGTTCCAGGTAGGATCAATACACTCAGATAGGGGAGGAAATTCGCTTCCAAACCACTACAGTGGAACCTTGTGTACTGTCCTCCTTGCGAACGCTGCAGGTTACAAGCTCTGCTAACCTAGAAGTAGATGGTCCCGGTTGCAAACTTTGCCCCGGGATGCAAGCGGAAGTACTGCGGTAGCAGCAGCGGGAGGCCCCATTAGCAAAAGCGTGCCTCAGGTTATGAATGGTTTAGGCTTAAGAATGGACCTCCAGAACGAATTAAGTTTGTAACCAGAGGTACCACTGTACTCAAAAAAGATGGCATCTTCCTTACAAATAAAAACTTTCAAGGTAAATTTAAGTTGTTCTTTTACCACTGCTTCTTTGAAAAGAGACATCTCCAGAACCCAAAGTTGCATTCAAGCAGGCAAAGGATGGCTTGCATTAACCAGGATCAAACCCTGGTTTTCACTTATGGTTTGCTGAGCAAGTATAAATCATAGGACAGGGAACCTCTGGCCCTTCAGATGTTGCCAGACTACAACTCCCATCATCCCTAACCATAAGCTGTGCTGACCGGGGCTGATGAGAATTGGAAGCAAAACAGCAACAGGAGGGCAGGGAAGAGACGAGCGTTGCAATTAAGTTGATGTCTTTAGTGCCAAGCTTCTCTTCATCTACAATAATTAAGTATAGTAAGTGCTGTTTAAACTCTTACTTGTTCCGAAGTAATCTTCCCAATAACATAATCTGGACAGTACAAGGAGTTGGCAAGGGCATTACGATAAGCCGCTGCATGCAAGTTTTCAAGAACACCTATGCATAAGACAATGGAAGGTTTGTTTACTTGTTGTAGTGAATCATTTGTACCCAAGCTGTGCTCTACAGAAATGTGTTTTTCATCGATTGTGTGGAGCTTCCCCTTCAATACTAAGGTGAAGCCCCTGTTCATGCAGAATATGCAAATCAAATCCACTCTGGGAAACAAACTGTCACTTAGCTCTGTCTAAACAATCTGCAAAATAGTTTGCTGGACCATGGATGTTGGGTAAGGATCGAAAAGATAGTTTTAGGCATATCCAAGGTCCTAGTGTGGGTCCACTCAGATTTAAATCACACATACCTTTGTTCCACTAAAAAGCAGCCCTACATTTATTTATTTTTTTAAAAAATGCTGCTCCTTAAATTCTGCTTGGCAGAGAATAATGTTTTTAAAGAAAGAACTCCATCGCCCCCTTTATCACTGCAAATGTCAGCAATAAAAGATTATGGAATCATTCATTTAAAGCTGTATCAGTTGTTGAGGGCACACAAGATATCCACCCATAGGCAGGGGGAAACTATTCCACTCAAAAGGATTGTTTCATACTTGTACAATCTTAAAAGAAATACTCCTCGTAGCCCCCAGCAGATTAGGAACACTCACCAACTTGAGGATTCTGAAAGGCAATTGCCTTGTCAATTCTTAAACGGGGATTGGCCTCAGCCACTTCCCAGCGCCTGAATTCTGGGGCCGTTGTGACATTTAATAAATACTCCAAAACGGTATCACTGAATAAAGGAAGAACATCATGTATCAAGAAAGGATCAAACAACTGAGGCTTCAAAATATTAGAGAGCAGATCAAGGGCAAGCTGATGTTAAAATATAAAAATTCAAAGGTAAGTGGGTTAGCACGAATTTCAATGGCATTCCTTCTGAGAATTTAAGACTGGACTCAAAAGTTACCTAGTCTCTACATGGCACCTTAAGGAAAACACACACGGCTCCTGGACCAAGAAGCTTACAATCAATCAAAATACTGACGGGGGGCAGGGGGAGAGAGAGACAGGGAGTTAGGTAACGAACAAGGGCAGAATTAATAGATGTGTTTTCTTCCTGACAATCCTTTTAGGAACAGACCCACAGATAAACATGTGCCATGTTATTTATAGCTCAGAATAAAGTCAAACTGTGTATTTCAAGGGCAGGAACAAAAAATTACTTATGCAATGATGTTCTGTTGCATTATCAATGGGAATGCTTACAGAATGCGTTGAAAACTGATTTGCTACACATCTAGAAGCTTACATATAGTCACGCAGGCATTCAACGGAATAAACCATGTTCTCTCTGGTAGATGTCACACTAAAAAAAGAAAAAGTACATTGTTCAAAAGTTGATATGAGGTTACTGGTTCCTTCTGTTTACAATCCTATTGTGGGCTTGCTTACAATTAAATGTTTTGTTATTAATGTTTTCTACCTTAAACCACAATACCCACATGCAGATTCAGTACACATGTATACCGCCTATTGTAAGAGTCCCCTTGAATAGTTATCTTTCAACCGTATAATAAACTACTAATTATGCAATGCTGAAACTCTTCTGACTGAGAAACATAAAACAAGACATAAGAGTTGTAGCCGATCAAGTTCTACTCAGAGTAGACCCAATGAAATTAATGAACGCAAGTTACCCATGTTTATTAACTTCAATTGGTTTACTCCAAGTATGGTCAGCACCGGATACAAGCCATGTGATTCTGATTCACAAGAGTCTGCAATAACACTATATTAAATAAGGAGATAAAAGCCGCTGTTACTGCTGCCTCGTCCAGTTGCCACCACGAGGACTCGCAGGCCACCACTGATTGTGCCGCCACCACCAGGCCTTGCAGGTTATCACCACTACTGCTGACACATACCACCATCATGGCCAGCTGCTTCTGCCTCCTAGCAGGTCTGCTGGCAGTCCCACATTATTTGTATTCACTGACTCATCGCCATACTTTGGATTGTCCTGAATATCACCATTTGGTAGGCAAGCCCAGAACCAAAAGTCCTACTGGGATTCATTTTGGCTTGCCTGCTGATGAAACTGAGTGTGTGATGATTGATAAGATTGTCATTTATCTGTTTTAGGCCCCTAAGCAGTAGCAGTTGCCTGGACATTGTCCTGTTCACCTCTGTATAGTTCCTTCCTTATTTCAGACATTGTGGTAGATTGCAATGTTTAGCTGGTGATAACATTGCAACGTTTAGCTGCTGATAACACTGCAGTTTAGCTGGTGAGTTATTGCGATGTTGAAAACCAGATATCACCTATCGCCTGATAACTTGGCCCTCCAGGTGTTTTGGGACTACAATTCCCATCATCCCTGACCACTGGTTCTGTTAGCTTGGGATGATGGGAGTTGTAGTCCCAAAACAGCTGGAGGGCCAAGTTTGGCCATCACTGGCCTAGCCCTTACACACTTCGTGATTCACACAATATTGCCAGCTCAAATATTATGAAACAATTATCACGATGTGAACTTCGAAGCTGTGAACTTCGAAGCAACCCAGCTTCAGGTGCAGTAAAGGAGATGGAACACTGGAAGTTACCTCATACCATTGGTCAATTTAGCTCAGTATTGTTTACAAAGTCTGGCAAAATCTCCAATATTTTTTACTAGACTTTTTCCAAGTCCTTCCTCGAGATGCCGGGAACTGAGCCAAAAACATTCTGCATGCAAAGCCTGCACTGTCCCACTGAGACACAGCCACTCCTGACTTCTCACTCTAAGTGAGAATCATGCCCCAGGCAAAGTCATATGTTTCTAGAGATGTGGCCCCTTTCCCCTGGTTTATACAGTGGTGCCCCACAAGACGAATGCCTCGCAAGACGGAAAACCCGCTAGACGAAAGGGTTGAGTTGCTTCGCAGGACGAATTTCCCTATGGGCTTGCTTCGCAAGATGAAAATGTCTTGCGAGTCTTGAGATATTTTTTTCGCTCCCCCCCCCCTTTATCTAAGCCGCTAAGCCTTTAATAGCCTTTTAGCAGCTAATCCGCTAAGCCGATAAGCCTTTAATAGCCGCTAAACCGCTAATAGCGCTAATCCGTTAAGCCGCTAATAGGGTTGCTTCGCAAGACGAAAAAACCGCTAGACGAAGACACTCGCGGAACAGATTAATTTCGTCTTGCGAGGCACCACTGTATGAGCATATATGAAAAATACAGGACTCTCTTTCACTGTGATTACACTTCCTTTCTGCGCTGATATCACTACTGTTGAACCATGTGCCACGGTTCTACATACCAACATGCTTGAGGAAGCACATATAAAACAAAATAATTAAACTCCAGGATGAAACTGGGAATCGTTTTTGAAAGAACTATTGCAGGGGGAATGAAGTTATATGGTTTTAGCAGTAATGTAATAAAGAATTAAGTAAAAGCTGATTGATAATGGGCCAAAATGAAAAATTTAAGGTTAGACCGTTAAGATAAATTATAGAACAAAAATTGAGAAAGATGGAAAGAATTTGCTGAAACAATTAATTGATCTAGAATACAAAGAAGGGAGGTGCGAGGAGGTCGATGAAACAAGCAAATGAAAGGTAAAGATATGGAATATTGGATGTGTGCTTTAGTGTTTTTGTTGTATTGTTTTTCTATGCTTTTCTTTTTATGTATTGTATGTCCTGTTAAATTTTTTGTTGTCTTTTTTGTAATTTCTAAACCTTTAATAAATATCATTTAAAAAAAAATGAAAGAACTATTGCAGGGGGAAGTGCAATTAAAATTGGATAGTGGACAGATGTTTAAGTGAAGCCTGCCTTGAGATTAAAACATGAAAAATCACTTTTTAAAAACCCACCCACCCTTATTTTTCAGTACTTCTGCCTTGGGCTATTCAAAGTCATCCAACTATGAACTGCCATAATCAGAGGAATCCCATTTCCATGTAATTATTCAAAACACAGTTGAGCATTAAACAATTACAAACCTTAGGCTACCACCAACAGCTTCAATACCACGGGTGATTTTGAAGGCAGAAGCTCCTTTTGTAGTCTGTAGGAAAGCCAACATTACACTTTCAACTGCGGGCATCAAAACAAAACTTCAGTCATATCTAACCCATATGTTTTAACTTGGCCATTGGGTATTGTAACCAAATACACAGAGCCAATGCTTGCATCACTAAACTGTTCAGGTATAATGAGTAAGCCAGAGCATGTTAAGTCAGTGTTAGTCTGCAAGATAAACACCCTATGGAAATTCAGGAGGCTTATTATATACTTAATCCTTATGCTGGAACCAGACAAAACTGAAAGTAGCAAGACTGCACCTCCTTTTCTCCCACCCGGATAACAGTGATAGAATGTGGTGGTTTTAAAACAGGATCAGACAAAATCATGGAGGATAAGGGTATCAACAGCTACTAGCCATGATGACTATGTTCAACCTTCATGGTTGCTAGGAATCACAAGTGAGGAGAGTGTTCTTGCATTCTGTTCTTGCTTGGAGGCTTTGAAGAGGCATCTGGCTGGCCACCATGACAAGATGCTAGAAGAGATGGCCAATGGCTTGATCCAGCAGGGCTCTCTGCAATTCATAACAGTTAGCGGTGCAGGACTAGGGCAAAGGAGCAGGCAAGCCAGCCTAGATCTTTGTGCTGCCGCACATGTCAGGTGTGAAGTGGGAGGTGGTGGCTGCTGCTAATCAGCTGGCCAGCCTCCACTTTGCTCAGGGGACCCAGGAGCAGCTGTGCTAGAGCATGTTAATAGCCTGCTAGTGCTCCGGCCAAAAGCCTCTCCATTAATAAAGGGAGGTCTTCCTCAAAGCCAGCTAAGCATTTGGAATAATTAGAGACAAGGAGAATAAGGAGAAGAGCGTCTGACACTTTTGTGCTTGCAGGTCCTTAGAAATATCTGCCAGCAGGGCCTCCTTAAGGGAAGAAATCATTTCTTTAGAAAATGAAGATGTTTACTTGGATACATTTGCAGGGTCTGCTGAGATTCAGAAAGGCTAATTTGCTGTTCCTTAACACAAGAAAGCAGTCTTGTTCTCCAAGGGCCTCTGGTGGTCATTGAAAGTGGTGCAGCCCAAAACTTTCAAATAAACTGATGCTGCTCCAGCTGAGGAGGGAGTAACAGCAAAGGGACACAAGCAGCTGGTCCAAGCTCTTGGCACCTTGCACTTTCAGGTGCAGAAGAGGAGGCAGAACTGCTGGTTCCCCAAGCCTTGTGCCAGTCGCTGGCATGGATCACTATGGCCACCTCCTTGACTTCTTGTGACACCATGTTGAGTGCCCAAAAGGGGCCCTGCGATAGAAGCGTTCAGGGCTGGAGACAATGGACATTCAGTGATGGTAGAAGTATGCTTGAAGACAGCTCTGTCTTTGCCTGAAGATGTCATGGCAGCAGAGAAGAGGAAAGTAATATCAGAAAATGAGGAATGGTAAGGAGATTTTTTTAGGGTGAGTGAGGAAAGGGCAGAAAAGGCTAGAGAAGGAGCAAAATAAAAAGAAAATAAGAGTAGACCGAAAAGAAAATAAGAGTAGAAGTCCTTCTAGTTCAGCATCCAGTTTCCTACAATGGCCAACCAGCGTCTCATGAGAAACAAAAAATCAAGGCATGAGTGCAGCATCCCTCTTTTTGTTGTTCAGAGACATTCTGATTCTAGGAGGCAGTACACAGGGATGAAGATCAACAGCCATTGATAGCCTTATCCTCAATGCATTTATCCACTTGCCTTTTAAAGCCAACTAACTGAAAAGCCTGGCTGGATTAGTAAGGCCCACCTAGTCCAGCATCCTGTTCTTACAGTGGCCAACCTCTGTGACACCTACAAGTATGATCAGTGCAGAAGGGACAACAAATGGCCCATAAAGCAGAAGTGATAGGAGAGGATATACATTTGATTGGGTGGAGGCAGGGGGAAGAAAAGAGGGATATCTGAGAGAGCGCAATATAATGATACTCAAAATCACATGGTCACTGCCTGGGCAAATGGCAACCCATCATGTAGATGCTACACACAGGCCAGCCTGAGAATGGTTTTACTTGAATTTGTATTGACACCATTTTTTTCTCCTATGAAAATAACAAAAAGTATTCTCCTCTGTGGTTTTTAACACAGTAGCACAAACGTTTGTTTTTCCAGAATTTCAAAAGTACTCCACTCACCTCCCCACCCTTTCCAGCCTCCCAATTTCACTTTTAGGATACCAACACTAAATAAGCTGAATATAACACTTTGCTTCCTTAATCTAAAGTCAAAGAAGTTGAAGAAGAAACCCACCAGGTTAGATGCAAGGCGGAGCAGGTGTGCAGTTCCCAAATTGGTGGTGGTCTCATACCTGCTGCCTGCTTTGATGAAGACACCAATCCTTGAAACTGGAGAATAATTTTCCAGAGAAGCAATCATCAAGCCATTTGGTAGTTTTGCAATCTGCATTTATAAGAGGACACATCAGTCTACGTGAAATCACACTGCTCCACTATGTGCTGCTCTAATTAGCAGAAATATCAAAATGCAAAATAACTTCCTCTTCAGACTAACCTCAAGATCCTGGGGGTGTAGCAGTACTTTTGACCGTTCTGCTCCTCCAGGGGCTTCAACTTTAGGCGCAGTCTTGAGAGAATAAAATCTCCTCTAATAAGAGAGAACAAACAATGGTAAGCTAGATCCATACACATTTCAACCAATTAAATTTGAAAGATAAGCAATGTGGTGTAGTGGTTAGTGTGTTGGACCAGGGTTGGACCTATGAGACCAGGGTTCAAACTCATCCATGCTGTTCACTGGGTGACCTTGGGCCTAACACTGCCTCTCACCCTAAACTACCTCACAGGATTGTTGTGAGGATAAAACTGGGTAAGAGAAATATGTATGGCTCCTTGAGTTCCCTGGAGAATATATGTACTACGTTATAAATAAATAACTGGCACAAAGTAAATATGCCAGGAACAAGAATGTCCATGTTCCAAGTCTATGGATATCAAGCAGACATTCACTAAAAACCATCGTTTAGACCACCGAGCCTCTTGGACTTGCGGGTCAGAAGGTCGGCAGTTCGAATCTGCACAACGGGGTGTGCTCCTATTGCTCTGACCCAGGAACCTGTCTGTGGACAAACAGCAGCTCCTTCGACCTGAAAAGTGAGATGAGCGGAGCAACCCATAGTCGCCTTTGACTGGACTTAACCGTCCAGGGGTCCTTTACCTTTTTACCTTAGACAACCCTACCCTGATGCTTAGTTAGAAACGCTGATGTGAATTTTAATCTGCTTTTAGCTTCTTGTTCTTGCAATTTCTCCTGAATTTTCTGGTTTCCTCTTTTTGTAAAGCACTTGGATGTGTTGCCGTTGTTTGCAATAAGCGATGCGTATTTTTTTTTACGAAATAAATAAATAGCTTAGCCGTTCTCCCTAGAGACTAATTTGTGGCCGGGGGTGTTTCCGTGCGGGGATTTCTTTCCTTCGTTTTCAACGGTCATTTTTCCCCCTGCCGGAGCGAACAGCATTCTGTCCTGCGTACGTCAAAAGGGGAAACGCCGACTGACCGCTTCAGATGGTGCTGGGGCTCCAGGGGCAGGCCGACCTCGGGGCTCCTGCAGCGACCTTCAGCCTCCCGGCAGAAGAGGGGTCTGTCACCACCCTCTTCTCTCCCCAAAGCGGCTGCTGAGGAGGAGGAGCGACGCCCGGAGATGGATGAGGCGCCGGCCTTCCCTTTCCCCTCCTTCCCCGGTCGAAGGCCCGAGTCAAGGTCGCTCCCGGGAAGCGGGCGCTGCGCTTCCTCCATCGGGCCTTCACCGGCCCAGGCGCCTCTCTCGCTCCGGGCTCCCGCCCCTTCACCGCCGCCGCCTCCAGGGCGCTGCTACTCACCGAGAGGCACCGCGCTGCCGCCGGAATGGGCTTCATGGTCTCCGCCCGCCACAGAGCCCTCCGGAGCCTCCCCGGGGAAGAAATCCAAGATGGCCGCCCAGGAAGCGGAAGGCTCTTCCGGTCCACGCCGCACTGCCACTCTTTCCGCGCCGCCCGAACCATAGAGAAAGCGGAGCCTTTCTATAATCTCGCGTCTATGCGCCCAGCGCCTGCGACTAGGGAAACGCCCCCGCCCCGTAGAGGTAGGGGAACGTTGTTCCAGCATGGAAACTAGGAGAGGAAAGCGGCTAGAGCGTCCCAGGACAGTCCATGAAGGTGATAATCGTTCACCGCTAAGAATCATCATACACGTCTGGTTCTCATTTGCAGTTGGTAGAATCCTGGATGGCAAAGGACGAAAACAGAAGCTGAGGACTAAAAACTCTGCTGTGCGCAGTTAGCTCGCGGGCTGACCCTCCAGCCACCTAAGTTGTAACTCACGAGCGTTTCGCAAATTTGATTTTCTCTTTCCCCCCCCCCTTGCATTTGAAGAAGAAAGGACATCTATCCTTAATTCTGATAAATCTTTACATTGCTTTAGTTCTCGAGGATCGGGAGCGAAAGCTGCATGTCCTAAAGCACGCTCTATTCATTTCTTTTGTTCTCTCTGTAAAGGTGATTTGCGGTACTACCATCCAGAAACTGCCACCCGCTTGTCAAGGAACAACCAGGAGAACACATTTAAGTGCCTTTGAAGCCAGGTCTTGTACGTGCCCCACCTATGATGTCAGGTGTGAGGCAGGTGGGTGCAGTTTGGGGAAGCAAGTTAAATCATGACCCTTGCAGGAGGAGTGGAGGTTCACCCCACGCATTTATAGCACATGACTTCACCCAAAGAATCCTGGGAACTGTGTTCTCCGCTTAAGGTAAAGGCAAAGGGACCCCTGACCATTAGGTCCAGTCGTAGCCAACTCGGGTTGCGGTGCTCATCTCGCTTTACTGGCCGAGGGAGCCGGCATTTGTCCGCAGACAGCTTCCGGGTCATGTGGCCAGCATGACTAAGCTGCTTCTGGCGAACCAGAGTAGTGCATGAAAACGCCATTTACCTTCCCGCCGGAGCGGTACCTATTCATCTATTTGACTTTGACGTGCCTTTGAACTGCTAGGTTGGCAGAAGCAGGGACCGAGCAACGGGAGCTCACCCTGTCGCGGGGATTTGAACCGCCGACCTTCTAACTGGCAAGCCCAATGCTCTGTGGTTTAGACAGCGCCACCTGCATCCCTTCAAATAACTATTTATTCAAATAAATAGTTATAAACTAAAAAACTCCATCGTGGGGATTTGAACCGCCGACCAGTAGGTAAAGTTCCCAGGATTCTTTGGAGGGGGGGAAGCTTGGTGAGAGCACTTGTCCTGGGAGGGCTGAAAGCACCATAAGACAGTGGCTCTGAAGAAACCCAAGATGATCTACAAGTCACCCGTCAACAGAAGATTCACTCTTTCTCATGCACACTCTTGCACACAGTTTATATTTCAAAATTCATTCCCTGCTTTTCTTTTCTTTTCTTTTATTAAATAGTTTTTATTATTTTTTTCATTTTTATCTTCATCACAATACATTCCCTGCTTTTCTGAAGTTCATGAAGTACAGTAAAGCAAAATGACAGAAAACACGCAAACCCAGTTGGAATGACCGAAGTCTGATTTGCACAACAGGACCCAAAGCATGGACTAAACAGCTGAGCATAAAAACAGGGAGGCAGGACGTTAATCCACCGTTTAAGTCTGGCAGAGTCAAAAGGTTTTACGATCTTCCTTTAGCTTAAGAGTGCAAGAGTCAAGGGAACCCATCTGGGAAGGGAGTTTCACAGCCTGGAATGCCTAATAAAAAAAGCCTTTGGGTTGTATGCACTGTTGGACCTACTCAGAGCAGAGCCATTGAAATTAAGATATGATTAACTTAGCTCTATTAATATCAACAGGTCAACTATAAGTAAAAGTTAGTTATGGGCAACCCATTGAAATCAATAGGCATGACTAACCTTCACAACTGACAACAAGGTCTTGGTAACCACTGTTGCCTTCTTCAATGGGGTTGTTCCTTGACAGATCACCACACCTTTACAACACCTGTGCTGCTGACTTTGGGACTTTTGAAATATATACAATAAAAATAATAATCAATTTGAGTCATGCGACTCCAGTTGGGTCTAGTAGACCCCAAAAACTTAAGCAATGTGGACTAAAGTCGCTTCTGGGGCTCCTCCAGGATTAGGGGCACTGAAACTTAAGTTTCATTTGTTTCATAGTAGATCCATTCCAAGCAGGGTTGCCACCTGTCCTGTATAATACAGGATTGTCCCGTATTGCAATGTAAAATGCCATGTCCTGTAATGATACAGTTTTGTCCTTTATTTCAGGTCTTCTCTGTCTGTTTGTCTGTCTGTCTCTCTGCCAAGTTAGGGATCCTCTCCAAATGCATGTTTTCAAAAGGGTGTGTGAAAGTCATGCATAAGCTCTGGGCATGGGCCTTGCCAGGATTTTTGTTAGGGGGGGCCGAACCTCAGTTTGCTATGTATTTTTTATTGAATTTTATTGATTTAATGGGTTGCAGCTGCCCCTCCCTGCCCCCCTTGGCTATGCCCAGGGCTCTGGGTAGCCAAGTGCAGACAGATTTACAAATTCAGGTATTTGTGTGTATGTGTGACAAATTCCAGAGGGCCACCCCATTAGGTTGCAACAGATTGCAGTTTATTTGCTTTGAAGTCACTTCAGCATTGAAAAAAATGTTGAAATATACATTTATTAAGAAACCAGAGGCCTTTCTTCTTGGAATCATAGATTTGGAATTGCCCAAGAAAGATGTTAGATTGTTTTTGTATGCCACAACTGCTGCTATTTTGCTGGCTTAAAATTGGAAAACACAAGAAGTGCCAACAGTGGAGAAATGGCAGATGAAGATGATGGACTTTTGGGAGCTAACTGACCTGACCGGAAGAGTCTGCGACCAGAAGGAGGAGGAGTACCAGGAGGAATGGATGAAATTTAAAGACTATTTAGCTAAATATGCCAAGATAACCTAAATAGAAATACTTGCAAGAACCAGATTGGCTTAGGATTTAAATATGTGATGTTATAGAATAATATATCTAAAGTTAAAATAAAAAAAGAAAGAGGTTAATTGACTAAGTAAATTTTATGAGAAATTAGTTGTGGAAAACTGTTACAGTGATATACATAGAAACTCAGCCAGGGGGATTTGAGGAAGTCACCTAACAATGTTAACAAAAGTGGAACTATTATAGTTAGGATTTTTGTTTGTTATTTGTTTTCTGATGTTTTGTGATAAATTTGGAAAATAATAAAAAAAATTGGGGGGGGGGGGATGAAGTCACTTCAGCACCGGGTGCGGGGGGGACCGCTTCCCCCAACCGGTACTGTATTTTGCCAGATCGAAGCTGGCAACCCTCCGAGGACCTTCCTGGGGGTTCCCTGCTCAGAGGTCCCGGACCAGCTCCGTCGGGAGCAGCAGGCGTCTCGTCCGCCAGGGGGTGCTGGGCGCCGCCGCCTCTCGGGCGGCGAGACGGGGCGGGTGGGGGCGCCTGGCAGCGGGCGGCTCTCACTCGAGGGGCACCGGGCGCCGCCGCCTCTGCTCTCGGCAGTCCCCACCATGAGCCACGCCGTGCCGCCTCCCGTTTTCCTGGCGGCCGGAGAAGTGGAGAAGCATTTCCCCGCCGCCAGCCGCCTCCTCCCCGCCCTGGCCACGGCCCTGGCCAACTTCTCCAGCGGCGCCGAGGGAGGCGTCGTGCAGCCGGTGCGCACCGTGGTGCCGATCCAGAAGTACAGCGGGTGAGGACTCGGGATCGGGATGGGGATTTCCTGCTAGGTATATCCCCAGGTGATGTGGGAGGTTTGGGGGGGGGGTCTGTTTGTAGGGATGCCCCCCCCCCCGCCCGCCATGACTTATGCAATAAAGATAATGGATGGGGTTCAAGCATAGGTGCTAACTCTTTGGGGCTCTGAGTGTCCCAGCACCCACAAAATTCCCCACAAGGGGCCGGGCACCCACATATTTCGGTATAGTGTGCCTGGCACCCACGACCCAGGGTATCCCCGGTCGCGGGAGCTGGCACTCCTGGATTCAAGTTACTGCTACTCTGAGTAGACCCATTGGATCTAATGGACGCCACTTATTCACGCTTATTAACTGGTCCGCTCTGAGTACAAGTTAGTTGAATGCAATCCAACTAAGTCTTACATAAGAGGAGATCCGGTGGAATTCGTCCCAATAATTTCAGCCGCGGGTCAGCTCCCAGCACGACTAAAGTTGGTTGACGTTTCCTACGGATGTAAGCTGACGAAATTAACCCGGAGAAACTGGGATCTTTCTGTGCCCGCAGCACTCTGTGGGCTTCCCTGGGAGTAAATCCGTGGGATCTGGTTATAAATTGGATCCAGACATAGTCTGCTAGCCTAAACCCACTTTACCTGGGAATGAGCTCCCTATGCATTTAATAAAGCTTCCTTTTGAGTAGACATGGTTAAAAATTGTGGTGTTTGTGTAGATGTGTTGACATTGGTGGGGCAACTTAGCAATTAAAAAAGACAAACAACGAAGAAGAAATAACTATTCTTACACACACACAATTTACAAGTTTTAAACCATATATCTTTAAAATTGGCACAGGTTAATGTTCAGTAAACTAAATACAACAAAATAAGGAATCCAGTTGGGCGTGTACAAACCAGTTTCAGGCATAATTGTATAATTGTTGGGTTTTATTTTGCTGAATTTCATAATGTGTACATAATAAAAGCAATTGCTGTTTTCACCGCACAGGGAAGAAAGGGAGTGAGCAGTGCTGAGTTGTGTTCTCAGCGGATACTAACTTTTAAGTTCAAGTGATGTCATGGGGTCTGCTCTAAGCACGACTAACACCTGCATCCAGCTTTGTGAATGAACATGCATAGAATTGTGCTGTCTGTCTTGCACCCATCGCAAAGAGTCACTTTTTCTTTTTAGAAAATCTTTACCTACAGTCATCAAAGGCTGTACTTTCCCCATTGGACCCTAGAGTCCATGAACGCACATTTGAGTGCATGCCTGCACATGTGATTCCAGCATTGGGGACTAGATGACTCTGTGGGTATGTTCCAACTCTACAATTCTGTGTCTCTGTGTGCTCTTTGAAGTAAGCCCTGTTGAGTTCAATGGGGCTTACTCCTAGGAAAGTGGGCATAGGATTGTAGATGGGCAGAGAATTCTTGGAAGGGGGCCTGGGAAGCTTCATTAACTGCAAGCCCCGAAACAACAAAACCCTACAACACAGCTATAAAACTTTGGCACCAGTTTGGAGTGAATTGGACAAGGCTGGATTTCTGGGTGTTAACTTTGAACCGCAGCTTGATGTATCAATTACTCAGTTGGGGGCGTGGTACGCTACAAAACGCAGGGTTTGCGCTACAAAGCAGCTGCAAAACTTTGGCACCCGTATGGAGGGGACCCAAAATTCAAGGTTCGTAATTAATGAAGCCAGCTTAGGAAGCATCCACAGCCTGCTGGCCAAGTTGGAAGATGTAGGAACATTTTTTTGGTAATCTTTCAAGGTGGTGTAATTGAGCCCTTCTCTGGGGAACTGATTTGCTTAGGATCCTGCAGATCTGTGGCTGACCCAGCTCTGCTGCACACCCCATAATGCCCATTTTTGGGACTCTCCGCACCAGCTTCTTGACTGCCTTTGCTTTTGACATTAATCAGGGTGTTATGGTTGCACTCTGAGTCTTTAGGGTGTCCCCAAAATCCTTGTTGTGCCCAGATGCTGCTGTCATGAATGCTCATTGTGCTGATGGCACACAGGTTTCTGCTTTGATTGTACAGTTCCAAACGGTTGTTCTTTCCAAGTAGAACTCAATCACCCAAGCACTTTGCACATAAAAATGAGCTAACCAAATTGTGAGCTGTTGATAATGACAATCAGGAGCCTTGTGGTCTGCTAGAAGAAGAGAACAGATTTATTGTGGCAACTTTTTGCATGTGTGTGGACTGGCTCCCAGGGAGTGCTGCTCTCCAAATTCACACACCCACAGCAGACCTGCCAACCTGCTTTGCTGAACCTTAAACAAATTGTTGCAAAAGCTTAGCCTGCGATTTTAGAAGACTTCTTTTGTGGGGGGAAAGAGAAAACAAGTTCCTGAACGCTTGCATCTGTGGCGATTTGCTTGAGGTTTGCCACCCTGGGTTTCTTTGGGAGGAATTCACAGAATGCTGTGTGAGATAGTAAGTCTGCAGGCTTGAGTTTGCTAGCTGATGCAACTGGCTGATGCGATCAGCCTACAATACTTCCTATGGAAGTGCTGAGTCAGAAAGACTCAGCAGTTATGTGCTGTCAGTTGATTGGCTGTCATCAGTTTAAAAGGGAAACCTGTCCAGCAGTAACAGTGTGTGTAGAAGAGTGTGGTCAGAGACAGAGAGATAGAAAGGTCTTCCTATTTGCCTTAAGGTGCAGCCAGGTACTCTGTTTGACCGTATGAACTGCTCGTGTATTATAGCCTGTAGATTATTGTATATATTTGTATATATATAGCTCACAATAAATATACTGCACTGCACTGAAGAACCTGGAACTCTGAGCGTTTCTGCTAAAGCGCCGCAGAGAATTCGCGACAAGGCAGGGTAAAAATTCAATAAAGAAACGAACATAGAAATAATCTGCAAGGTCTTTCGCTGACACCTGCCTTGGGCTGCCTATAAAACAGGGGTAGGAAATCTCTGGTCCTCCCTGTGCCAGGCATTGGCTTGGCAGTGTGTGTCAATGAAGGCATTGGCAGGGGAAAACTGCTACCTCCTGGAGCTGCTGGCACCATGAAAATAAGCTTCCTAGGACTCCTCCCGGAGGGGCGGCACTAAAAGCAGATGGCCACACTGGCCAGCACTTATGAAAGAGCCCTCGAACCTTGTGCCAACCCTGGTGGCTTAAGTTATTCATTATGCTTTCTTAAAAGTTTTAGATTAACTTGCTAGCTTAGTTGCTGAGGGAAAAGACCACACTTGAATGATCATCGCGCCACCTCTGTCTTCTGCTTGTAAGCTTTTTAGGGATCATGCCTGCCTACAGCGAGAAAGATGACGCTTTGACAACCAAGCTGGTGACCTTTTATGAGCACGTGACGGATCCTGCAGTTCCTTCCCATCAAGCAACAGTGCTCCTCTTTGAGCCAAGCAACGGCACTCTCAAAGCTGTAAGTCTCCCAAGGCAACAGTGAGCACAATTTGAACCACTTTAGCCCCACCAGCCTCAGGCTACCCTCAGCCAGCTGACCGCCTGCCTGCCTTTTTCCTCGCACTCATTCCAGGAGGCAGCCTCAGCTGTCAGCTTTCTCCTCCTCCTCCCTAATCTCAGAGTTGTGCTTGCAGAACCCATCAGGTAGGAGATAGGGACAAAACTAGGGGATAGACAGGCTCTGCCTGTCTTTATCTCTGGCGCCACCTACTGTTGGACTCCTTGCCTCCCTCCCAATCAGTCCCAAAGGGCCCTAGTCACCACTGCCTGTCACATGTAGGACGGGGATGAGCATGGTCCCCACCTCTATCAATGTGTAAGGGGCATTCCCTTGGAGGAGGGATAGTTTGTCAATCCAATCTGGGAATTGTAGCTCTCTGCAGGGAACAGGGATCTCCTAATGCCTCTCAGCTTAACAAGCCACACTTCCCAGGATCCTTTGGGAGGAAGCCATGACTGTTTAAAGTGGCATGATACAACTTTAAGGTGTTGCATGGATGGGCCTTGTCCGCCCGAGGAAAAGCATTTTGTATTTAACTTCCATTTTGCCATTTTTCTTTTCGTTCTGTTTGATGTTCTCCTTTGGAAAGGTCATGGATGGTAGCATCATAACAGCCAAACGGACAGCGGCTGTTTCTGCGATAGCCACCAAGGTGGGTGCTTTTTATTAAGTGGGACGAAGAAAGGGACTGTGGTTTGGGGAATACGGCAGCACTGTCTTTAGCAAAAATCCACACAGAGCCCCCAAATTTAGTTTAGCCCCCAAATTAACTTTTATTATGCTTATGTCAGACACCACGCTTACTCCTTATTTATTGTTTATGAAAGAAGGGAGGAGAAAGAAACAAACTTTTTTATTTGCTCATTTATTTACAATACACTTATACAGTACATTTATATACAATACACCACACTAAACAAGTATTGTTTAGGCACCTAACATAATATTTTTATGTAAGAGTTGATTTCAAGAGTTAATGTCAAGAGCCATTGTTGAGTCTGACAAGCGCTGCCGTTGTGAATGACAAGCGCCGCCGCTGCCACGGCACATCTTTGATAAATGAGCGCACAAAGTCGAAAGTCCTTTAGTGAAATAGGAGGTATGCATTTCGGTAATACCTAGGTATATATGTATTTTGTTTTTCCAGCTTGATCAAAATTATTTATTATTTCATAACAGGTAGATAGTTAAGAGCTTAGGTGGGTTCAGCAGTGGACACCTGGCACCTCCGAGAATTCAGCACCCGGGTGTCTCGCACCCCTTGCACCCCCGGGTAAAGACGGCCCTGGAAAATGGCATGGTGGGCCAAATTGGAAACACCCCCCGCCCAGCAGGCCAGGATTGACCAGCAGACTGGGTGTTCCCTACCCGATAGAAGGCCATGGACTTTAGGGTTGGCAAAAGTTGTTAATATGAAAGGTGCCATATGAACAAGTTTTTTACCTTCCCCTGTTGGATATATTTTCAGTACTTAATGCCGGTGGATTCTGAAGTGCTGTGTATCCTAGGAGCTGGTGTTCAAGCCTACAGCCACTATGAGATTTTCACAGAGATGTTCTCATTTAAGGAGGTAGGAAGTTCAATTAAACCAACTGATTTTTATTTATTTTTTAACAAATTTACCACTCAACAATAGCCTCTGCCTTAGGCATTTCTAGCACATACAGAGTACTTGTTGGTTTGTCAGGCACCTTTTGGTCCCTCCCCCCTTATCTCTTAATCAGGGGTGGGCATACTTCAAGATTGTGGGATCTGCTTTGTTTCTTAAAGGTAAAGGGACCCCTGACCATTAGGTCCAGTTGTGACCGACTCTGGGGTTGTGGCGCTAATCTTGATTTATTGGCCGAGGGAGCCAGCATACAGCTTCCGGGTCATGTGGCCAGTATGACTAAGCCGCTTCTGGTGAACCAGAGCAGCGCACGGAAACGCCGTTTACCTTCCCGCTGGAGTGGTACCTATTTATCTACTTGCACTTTGACGTGCCTTTGAACTGCTAGGTTGGCAGAAGCAGGGACCGAGCAACGGGAGCTCACCCTGTTGCGGGGATTTGAACCGCCGACCTTCTAACTGGCAAGCTCAATGCTCTGTGGTTTAGACAGCACCACCTGCATCCCTTCAAATAACTATTTATTCAAATAAATAGTTATAAACTAAAAAACTCCATCGTGGGGATTTGAACCGCCGACCAGTACGTAAAGTTCCCAGGATTCTTTGGCGGGGGGGAAGCTTGGTGAGAGCACTTGTCCTGGGAGGGCTGAAAGCACCATAAGACAGTGGCTCTGAAGAAACCCAAGATAGCAGAGGCTGCAGCATTGATAAAATCAAACCAATTATCAAGGGTTCTTAGGTATACTACAATATTGTATAAGTTTCTCTTTCAACAGTCTAGCTTACAGAGTTAATTACTATTTTCTTCTTTCATTTCTCCTCATCCTGCGGAGAAAATCAGATAGAGAACAAAGTCTGCATCAGCATTACAGGGATCAAAAAAGAAACCGTTGCCAGCAAATTGACTTCCATGATTTCCATGTTTTTCAAAGCTGCTGAAGATGTAGCCTGGGGATTTGTTTTCCATTCTAGAAATGAACTCTCTGTTGTTTTTGATGGGAACAGGGATCCTGTGCCAGATTAGTGCCTGGTGGGGGTGGCAAGGCCTGGCCTGGTGCTACAAGGGAGGAGAGACTAAGGAAAGGTTGGGATTACTTTGTAGATATTCTGGCCTGGCTTCCTTAGAGTGCGTGCACAGACTGTTGACTCCTGCTTATCTCCTTGACTGGCCAGGCCCACTTGAGATTACAGCAATTACAAGAATACCATCCAACTGCAGAGGCAATAATAAAATTCAGCTGTGGAGGCAAGAGACCACCCACCTTTCTTTTCACCTCTTGGAGCAAAAAAATAGACCTCTAAGAAGCCTAGGATTGGCTGATTTGAAGTCTGAGTGGACATATGCGAGCCATCTTCAAACATCTCAAGGGCTGGCACATGGAAGATGGAGTAAGCTTGTTTTCTGCTGCTCTAGAGGTTAGGATCTGAACCAATGGATTCAAATGACAAGAAAGGAGAGTCTAACTAAATATTAGGAAAAACTCACTGATAGTAAGAGCTGTTTGATAGTGGAAAGGACTACAGTCGTACCTTGGAAGCTGAACGGAATCCGTTCCGGAAGTCCATTCAACTTCCAAAATGTTTGGAAACCAAGGTGCAGCTTCTGATTGGCTGCAGGAAGTTCCTGCAGCCAATCAGAAGCTGTGGAAGCCACAGCGGATGTTCGGGTTCCGAAAGAACGTTTGCAAACCAGAACACTCACTTCCAGGTTTGTGACATTCGGGAGCCAAAACGTTTGACTCCCAAGGCATTCGTCAACCGAGGTAAGACTGTACCTGGGCAGGTGGTGGACTCTCCTTCCTTGGAGGTTTTCAAACAGGGGTTGGATGGCCATCTGCATGATTCCTCCACTGCAAGGGATTGGACTAGATGACCCTTGGGGTACCTTCCAGTTTCCTTCCAGATCTATGATTCTATGATCCTAGGGATATAAAATACCCTGTTATAACACCTGAAGCCACTGTCCATCTTCTGATTACATGTTGCTGCTTCTTTTGCCTGGTCCTGGACCTCACTGCCATTGCATGGGGCCAAGCATGGCTGAGGAATGCATTAGGGACTGGCAAATTAATTTTATGCATTTTCTTGTGTTTGCACTCTCCTGGAAAAGTGTCCACAGGTCCCCTGTCCACATTGTAGGACTTCCTTGAGGCCAAGATTTTATGTAGTTCCCGAGAGGGTGAAAGACCAGCCGCTCCATTTCCCTTGTAGGTGAAGATCTGGAATCGGACCAAGGAGAAGGCAGAGAAGTTTGCGCGCTCGGTTCATGGGCCAGTCCAAGTCTGCTCTTCTGCTCAGGAGGCTGTCACCGGGGCGGATGTGATCGTAACAGTCACGATGGCAACAAAGCCAATTTTGCACGGAGAATGGGTGAAGCCCGGGGCCCATATCAACGGTAATGTATGCTTTGTGTACGGATTTCTCCCTCTCTGGATACTTAAAGGGGTGCTTGACTTTGTTGGAACCAGGGAGCGTGATGTGGTCCAAATACTAGGGGGGATGGAACCTGTTTTCTGGTGTTCCCAAACAGCTCCTTAAAGTGATAAGGGAGGGTTTTTGGGCTAAACGTTAGGAAGATCTTCCAAATAATTTGGGCTGTTCAACACAGAAGCAGGTTCCTTTGGAAGTGATGGACTCTCCTTTACTGAAGGATTTAAAGCAAGGGGTCAGGATCCTTGATTCCCCCTACCTGACCAACATCTCAGCTGGGCAAAGCCACTCACCTGTCCATCTCCTGATGTCACCATGATGGAGGAGGGGGAAATTGATGGCTGTTGGCCATGATGGCTGTACTCTGCCTCCATGGTCAGAAGTAGGAATGCTTTTGCATACCATTTGCTGGCAACCACAGGAAGGGGAGAGAGCTGTGGCTTCAGGTCCTGCTTGGGGACTTTCCCTCAGGCATCTGATTGGTCACCGTGAGACCAGGAGGCTGGACTAGATGGGCCATCAACCTGATCCACCAGACTCTTAGGTACATATGCTCTTATCAGCTGGTCGGCGGTGACAACAAGCCTTTCTTCCCAAGAAACAGTTGGAAGCAGTAGCATAAGTGGAGTAGTGAGACTGTTGTCCTAACCTTGAGCAGAAGGATCTAGGTGTGGTGCAAGATTGGCCGTCAACATTCAACAAAAGTGTTAGCACTGCTCCCAGAAATAGGCTTAGTTGGAAAAGGAAAAAAGAAAAGCACCTTGCTTTAATTAGCTTTAGCTAAAGCATCTTGCAAAGGATTAGCTAATCCAGATTAACTGGTTTTAAAGAGGGGGTGCTAATCTGTTTACAATATTGATGCAAGGCACACTAACATTGTACTGCAGTCCGTTAAAATCGGTAGGATTCGCTTCTACACAATGTAGAAAACATAAAAACATGCCTGAGGCTCACCTGTATTCCACATTCACTAATTACTCAGTACAGAATTTCATGATAGACACATCAATTTGAATATAATATTGGGGGGCCCTAGGTAGGAACCACCCCACCCTGCCCTGTCAATCACAAGACACAGCATGCACATCCCATTTGAACAGCAATGCCTATTAACTTTTGAGGGGCAGCCCCTTCAAATATATATTTTTTTTGGGGGGGGGAGGAACCTCGGCCTCTAAGAGTTGGCTCCTCCTTCCATTGTGAGTTCTCTGAGTGGGGACCGATCACATCTCTTTTCAGAGTTTGGCTCTGTTCACTGATGAATACCTTCACAGCAGATGAAGAACCTGCCGGTTCTTTCTTGGAAAATTTCTTTGAACTCTGGTTTATTCTCATTTTACTTCCTGAAGTGGCCTCCCAGGGTTAAAAGGTCCCTGCAGATGTCTCCCTTCTTTACATTAGACCCATTGAGATTAATGTACCTCAGTTAATTGTGTGCATTAATTTCTTCTCTGAGTAGAATCTAGTTGCATCATATCGCCCACTCCACTTCTGCCCTGCGTTGTCTGCAAAGGACATAGAAAGGGATTCATGGAAGCGAATGGGAGGTGCAATTCGAGATGTCATCCCTGTCTGACCGATTTCCACCCACCCCTTCATAATCAATGCTTTGTGTGATGGATTCTTCATATTGTGTAGAGGCACACCACGAAGGGTCAGGGGACAATTGGTGTCCTCATTCACCACCGCAACACATAAACAAAGCGCTGCTTCTCCTTGCGTCACCACACTTCTCAGGGAACTTATTCCTAATGGTTGAGCAGGTTTTCAGAAAAATATGTGAGTCTTTCTCTGTTTGTATAGCCACTTTCTGTCACATTTTTTATATCCTCTTAAAAGAAGGCTGATGGTGGCTCATTCTCCTTAATGATAGGTTTTGGATGAAAACAAAAAACAACAGCCCTACAGCAAAATCTCTCCTAAAATTTCAAGTGATGCAATCAAATATTGTCACATGTGTCAGGGCTTTCAACTAGATGATGGGTTGAAAGTGCACCACATTGGTACATTAAAACAAAACAAAAAGCTTTGCCAAATAGCTAAGCCTGCCCTGATCCAGTAGTGTAAGATTCTATCTACCTCTTGTGAGGATTCTGACTAACATCATGCCAGTTGTCTGAAGGAAGAACTGTATGGCAGGATCTTATCTGAGGGGAAAGAGTGCTTCTGGGGAAGGACTGCTCCTTATTTATTTTATTTTTTATTTTTGCTGTGAGCTGATGGGAGCTCTTTTTATTGGAATTAATTTTGGTCAATTTCATTTACGACTCATTTGCAACAAGACACCCTGAAGCAGTTCACAAACATATGTAAAACAGTCATATGTTCTTTATGGAGGGCAAGACAGCCAGAACCACCAGTGGCATCAGCTGTAAGTTGAAGAACTGTTAAGCAGAAGAATGTGCGAATTTGCTCCCCCCCCCCCCGTTTCCCCATTTCCCTTTAGAGCTATGTCTTCGTAAGGCACCCTGGAAGCCTCACTAGCTGAATGGGTGGGATCTAAATGCTAGGGGTATTCTTACTGCAAAGGTGTCCCCCTCCACACGGCATATGGCTCAAAATCTGTGGGTCAGGGATTGCACATGAGGAGTCTGGCTTCCTCATTGTGAGGAGAAGACTTGGGGCTGGGAGATCTTGTGCTACCAATTAGCCCCTGCCTCCATTTTGGTATGCTTGCCACTTCCGCTCTTGGGTGAACTTGAAGTGGTTGAAGCTGGGGAGCATAAAACCATAGAATTATAGAGTTGGAAGAGACCAGGTGAACATGAAATTTATTACCCTCAGAGACCAGCTTGAGAAACACAAATGGAACTACAATCCCAATAGCAAAACAAACATTGAAAACAATACACAACAATAGATTTTAAGTTTAAAAGTGCGATAGGCATATAAACACATAAAAACTTTAAAATAGACAGCCTTAGAGAAATGACCCAAAAACATCTGTGGGTCCGGGTTTTGGAATTTTCTTAACAAACTAGATTGAATCAGGGGATGGTCTGTGCCTACAGATCTGTGCGCGGAATCTGGCGAAAATCTGGGTCGTCTTGTGGTATTTGCCTAACAGGAGAAGATCAAATTTTTGCTTTACCAGGAGGTCAGTAAGCCTCACGAGCAGGGGGTCAATGGTTCCTCTACGTGCCTCGTCGTAAAAGGGACATCTAAAAAATATGTGTTCAGGGCTTCCTCTATCCCCCAAAGGACAGGTGCAAATTCTCTGGTCTTATGGGACTTTTTTAAAGGATCCTTCCAAGGGCAGAGCCGAGCTTCTGGCAAGTGTAAAAGCCCTTCTTGCATTTTTGGATACAAGAAAAAAGAGATATGCTGCTGGTGCAGCTATATATATCTCGATTTCTACAATTTTGTAGTCGGGCACCTTAAGCAGCCCTGTTGTCTCTAGGTTGGAAGAGACCATAAGGCTCATCGAGTCCAACCCTCTGCAATGCAGGAAACATTTGACCATGACTCTGAGATTAAGAGTCTCAGGCTTTACCAACTGAGCTATCCCAGCTTAGGATGGATGAAGCCAGTCTGAGCGAACTGGTTCCATCTTCGCGGGCAGGATTTTATGTGGGAAGTGGTCTCGGTGGTGGGGACAGTCTGGGTTCATAGGTTTCACTGAGAATTGTAGGTGAACCTGTGACAAAATTAAGGGTTTCTGGCATATGTATATGAAGAGTTAAATAAAATATTTAAACAAACCTTTGTAAAAAAAAAAAAAAGGGAAGAAGCTTTTTTATTGGGTATACTAGATTCAGATATCGTTAGGAAAAGCAAGAAAATAATTTCTTTATGCAACAGTGGCAGCGAGAACCCTAATTGTAAAAAATTGGAAAAATGAGACAGCACCAACAAAAAAAGAATGGCAAGAAAAATTATTTGACTACATTGAGTTGGTTAGAATGACAGATGCAATTAGGGGTCAGTCTAAACAAAAATTTCAAAAAGAATGGGGAAAATACAGAGATTATCTTAAAAAGCAGTGCCTTCAAATTAATACCTGGACTTGTTTTGATTAAGTTTTACAAAACAAATTATGGTATAAAAGCTTAAAATAGAAAGAAAAAGGGGGGGGGGACGAAGTGCGAAGGAAACAGTTTACTAAATATAAAAGCAGACCCGCGTTGAGGACGAAGGAAGTTAACTAGAAGAAAAGAAGAACTGAAATATGGTTACATATTCATTATTTTTTTTGTATTGGTTTTGTATTTTTAAGTTTTCTTTTTTTAGTGTTATGTGTGTTTGTGTTGCAAAATAAAATAAATGTGAAATGAAAAAAAAAAAGAGAATCGTAGGTCTGTGAGGAGAATAGGGATCTCCTAATGGCCCTTAATAAACTACAACACCCAGGGTTCTTTGGGGGAAGCCATCTCTGTTTAAAGTGGTATGATACTGCTTTCAGTATATGGCATAGATGTGGCTACTGTAAATGATACAAGAGCATGAATGAAGCCCATAGTTCAGCCTGGAGTCATTCAGCACCCTTTGCGTGTTAAGCATTAATATCGCTCCTACTCTGCAAGAGTCATTCAAAGGCACTTGTCAATTGTGAACAAATTGTACCCATAAGGTTGGGGTGATCGTCTTAACCCTTTTCATCTTGGGAGATAAATCTCCAATTCGTTTGATTCTGACTTTCAGCCGTTGGAGCAAGCAGGCCTGACTGGCGGGAGCTGGACGACGATGCGATGAGGAACTCTGTGTTGTACGTCGATTCGAGAGAGGCTGCTATCCGTGAATCGGGAGATGTCATTTTATCGGGGGTAAGCAAGCAGGGGCGGGGGGTGGAGAGTTGTGTGTCTCCTTCTTTTACCAATGCACTTTGAGTGAAGTTCCTGACACCTTTGCCCAAGGTAGCCACAAGTACTTTTGGAGATTTCTGTGGGGATGACCCCAAGTTTGAGGGGAAATTTTGGCAAGGGCCCCTCTGAAGGACTCCTATATTTTGTGGGGCGCTGGCCACAGGTTTATCTCACTGTTCCATCAAATTAAATTTCCCACAATCCCCCTTGTAGCATTGTTACTTCCATTGGAGCTGTCATTTTAATTTCCCACAACCCCCAGGAGTGACTCTACACCAGGGGGATTGTGGGGAAGTTAAAATGGTGGTTTACACAGACTGAGCCATTCAGGGCAGATGTCTGGACCCTCAGTCTCTGCTAGCTGCCTGAGGGTGCCAAGTGCTGGTGCCAGGCCTGGTTTTCGGTGGGGACTGATATCTTAAGAACCCTTAGGAACTTGTAACTGTGTTTAAAGGCAGGGCCAGAGCTCAGCGTGGGGAGAACCCAAAACTCTTCCCCCACCCCACCCCACAGGATTTCCTGCAAAATCTCAGCTCCCCCGAAGTCTTTCGATACCTTCCACTTGTGGTGCTGTTTTGGCTTTGAAAGCCATGCTTAGTCTGAACCTCAGAAAAAGGTGGCACCAGAGGTTGACAAAAGCTCTGTGTTTGTTTTGCAGGCAGAGATTTTTGCAGAGCTGGGTGAGGTGGTGCTGGGAACAAAACCAGCTTTGCGTGAGGAAACCACAGTGTTCAAGTCCCTGGGTAAGAATGGCCCCTTGCTGTGCATGAATAAGAGTGAAAGACAACGCTTTATTATTTACCCCCCCCCCCTTGCGTGAGAATGCTGGCGATTATCTTCAAACTGACAACGGATTCCCCCCATTTAACAAAGGCAGACATGCCTCTTTCCCTCCTCGAAGACACAAGACAGAAGCGATTAGAATCAACAGGGAAGCGAAGATGAATGAATGTATTGTTCGTCTTTGTACACTACTTGAGCTCTATTCCCCCCCCCCCCAGACTTAAGAACTTAAGAGTCCTGCTGTATCAGGCCAATAGACCATCGAGTCCAGCATCCTGTTCCCACAGAGGCCAATCAGATGCCTCTGGGAAGCCCTAGAGCAGGTCTCCCCATTTGCAGTTCCCAGCAACAGAAGCATACAGTCTCCAACAGTGAAGGCAGAACATGACCATCATGGCTAGTAGCCGATAGCCCTGTCTTCTGGGCAAGCTGTCACATTAAGCATTTATCCATTCCTTTTTTTTAAAAAAAAATGATATTTATTGAGAATTTTAAGATTACAAAGAAAAAAGAAGGAAAAAACAAGAGAAAGAGAAAAAGAAAGAAAAAAAGTAGATAAAAGTAACAATTAAACAATACAAATCAGTAATAACCAAAGTCAAAAAGAAAAAACAAAACACACAATACATCAAAATCAAAAAACAAAAATAAACAAAAAAATTAAAAACAGATCCAATATTCCCAGATCCTTAACTGTCATTACCTTATTTCATCGACCTCCTCACACCTCCCTTTTTTGTATTCTAGTTGTTAATTATCTCAGCAAATCCTTTCCATCTTTCACAATATTCTGTCATTAAATTACCTAATGTATTTTAACCTTATCTTACCATAAAAACCCTAAAACTTAAAACTTAAATCTTATTTATACCAAATTCTCTTAACCATAACATATTCTTACATAATTCTTTTTAACATTTCTGCTAAAGCCAAATAATTTCATTCCAACATTTTTCTAATACTCATTAATTTTACGATACTTTTCTAAATGAATTTTTAAAACTTTCTTCCAATCTTCATCCATCGTCTCTTCTTCCTGGTCTCAGGTTTTGTCAGTCCTTTCTATCCCATCCATCTAGTCCATCAACCTGGTGACCTTATGTCCGAGGCTCTTAAGTCTCTTCCATGTCCCTTCCGCAGGTCTTCTTCATATTTATACCTGTACTTTACTTTGTCTTCTGCTCCTTTCACTCGGGGAGACTCCAGCTTGACAATATTTTTGTCCCTTCTCGACAAGTCAGCCCCTTTTCCAGAGTCAACACTGAAATCCATGTGGTATTTAAAGGCATGTTTCAAGGTCCCTCCAAAGTTAAAGGCCCCCACAACTCCGAGCTCCTCCCGGCCCAAAGCCAGACTTGGGTCAAAACATCCCTGCATAGGGGGGTCTATCCAGCCCCCCATCTCCAAGCCAAACTGAACTCCATCTCTCCAAATCTGACTTTGTCCAGGTTCGTTCGTCGAATCCAACCACTCATATTCCTGCTGGGCCACAGCTCCCTCCATCTCTGCCACCCAAGGTCCAGAAACAACCTCCTCCCTCATCTGATCTGTCAAAACACATTCCTGGATTAATTCCTGAGTGGGTTCTATATAGGTACCCACTGCCTGTCCAAAATTTCCGATCGCAACAGTCATCAAATCCATCTTCTCATGTAACTGTTCCAATAAAGCACTTGTCTTGCAAAAGGCAAGCACCAGAGCCTCCGAGTACATTCTTGTTCAAGGTCGAAGTCTGGTCCCACGATCTTAATCTATTGCAGCTGCAAAGCTCCCCAGTTCGACTTTAATAACAGTTTCACAAGCTCCCTCTAGGGGAAACAATTTCTATTTGTATCCATTTATTTTTTTTTTAAGCAGATCTAGCAACAAGGTTTTCCTTTTTCAGATATTTTGTCAATATTTTGTTCCTTTTAAATGCGAAGGGGAACAATGGAATCAATATGTTTCTCTTCTTTTAACTATCTGTCAAAAACGTTTGTCCATAGTCAATGAACTTCCCCAGAACGTCTGTCCTGACACCCCGTTCCCAGGTTCAAGACGGTGGAAAATTGCCTTTCTTTACTCTCTCTTCTGCAGGTTTAAACAGTCTAAAAAAGGTTGCCCCCTCTTATCCTGCTTCCAAGGGGGGTTCAGTACTTTTAAATGATGAAAATTTGATCCTTTACAGACGACTTTCTAAACTCTAGCTTGCCGTGTCTTTGCTTCAATCTATCTACAAAAGCGGAAGGCGGACTTCCTGTTTAGACCTTCCCGCTTCAGTGCCAAATTAAAAAAAGTTTCTTAATCCAATTTTCGGTTCTACTCACTGGCAGTTGTTTAAAATCCAATTGTCCACAGGAAAAAGTCAGTGCTCTCCGGCAACAGCAATGCGGCTTCACTCCGTGAAAGAAGCAGTCGATTCAAAGCACCGCGCCACTCACCCCACGTCGCTCCGGATCCCCGAAACCGGGTTTCCCCGCGAGTAGGGGGGGCGCAAAGGTGCCAGCCGAATCCCACGTCCACAGGCTTCTCCCGCCTGTGGTTTTTAATGGGTCTCCGCCTCGCCGTGGCAGTTCAGACCCTGTTTTCCACGGAGCGGATTCCTCCCGATCGGAGGAAATCCGCCATTGCCAGAGGCGCCAACCCGGAAGTCCCTCAAGCATTTATCCATTCCTTTGCCTCATTTAACAAATAAATAAAAGTGCAAAACCTTTCCAGCAACTGGGTGGGAGGTTTCTTGTGACATCAAGCTGAGCATCAGCCAACTTGAATAATAACAATTGGAAGGGACCATGAGGATCATCTAGTCCAGGGTTTCCCAAAGTTGGGTGTTCAGCTGTTTTGGGACTACAACTCCCATCATCCATAGCTAGCAGGACCAGTGGTCAGGGATGATGGGAGTTGTAGTCCACAAACAGCTGGAGACCCAAGTTAGGGAAACCCTGATCTATTCCAACCCCCTGCAATGCAGGAATGTTTTGTCCAATGTCGGGCTCGAACCCACTACCCTGAGATTAAGAGACTCGTGCTCTACCTACTGAGCTGTCCACTTTCTGTTGTCTTTTGGAACTCTGCAGGGCCAGCTTTAGAGCTGTGACCCAAAGAGGAAGTAGTTACCTTTGAAGTGAGTTCTTTAAATGAATGAAAGTACTTCTGGAACAGCCTCGGTGCTAAATAATAGTTGTGTGTGTGCCTTTCCTCCCTGAGAACAGCTGGCAGTCTAGATGGACTTTGTGCCTGTAGGGTGTGGAGCTGGCAACCCTTTGATCAGTGAGCAGGGCCAGGCTGCCTTTATTCTTGCTCCATGGAGGGCAACTTCCTGAAAATGGGACATGGGTTGGTTGCAATTGTTGGTCAGCAGGCCAATTAATTAGGTGAGGGTCTTGTCATCTTTTTTGCCACTCTGGAGTAATTGAGGCTGCTTACACACTGTACACTTAAAGCAGCGTTTCCCAAACTTGGTTCTCCAGCTGTTGTTGGACTACAACTCCCATCATCCCTAGTGTTATGTACTGAGTTGAATAGGATCCAAAAGGCAGCAGTCTGATTGGTCCTAGAACAATAGGATTCAGAATGCAGCAGTCTGATGATAATAATAATAATAATAATAATAATAATAATAATAATTTTTATTTATATCCCGCCCTCCCCAGCCGAAGCCGGGCTCAGGGCGGCTAACAACACCAAAATAGTGCAACATTATAAAAACATTATAAAAATTAATTAAAATCAAAATTGATGGCAACCATAAACTAAAGTTTTGTAAAGATTGCCAAAGGAGGGAGTCAGCTGCGTCCTGGTGGAACAGCTCTGTCTTGCAGGCCCTGCGGAAAGATGTCAAGTCCTGCAGGGCCCTTGTCTCTTGTGACAGAGCGTTCCACCAGGTTGGAGCCGCAGCCGAAAAAGCCCTGGCTCTAGTTGAGGCCAGCCTAACCTCTCTGTGGCCTGGGACCTTCAAGATGTTTTTATTTGAAGACCGTAAGTTCCTCCGTGGGGCATACCAGGAGAGGCGGTCCCGTAGGTACGAGGGTCCTAGGCCGTATAGGGCTTTGAAGGTTAAAACCAGCACCTTAAACCTGATCCTGTACTCCACCGGGAGCCAGTGCAGCTGGTATAGCACCGGATGAATGTGATCTCGCAGCGAAGACCCCGTAAGGAGTCTCGCTGCGGCATTCTGCACCCGCTGGAGTTTCTGGGTCAGTCTCAAGGGCAGCCCCACGTAGAGCAAGATACAATAATCCAGTCTGGAGGTGACTGTCGCGTGGATCACAGTGGCTAGTCAGGGCGAGAGAGGTAAGGAGCCAACTGCTTAGCTTGGCGGAGATGAAAAAATGCCGCCTTTGTTATAGCTGCAATCTGCGCCTCCATGGAGAGGGAGGTATCGAAGATTACACCCAAACTCTTAACGGACGGTGCTGGCACTAATTGCACCCCGCAAGCGATGGGAGTTGCTCCCTCAATCCCATATCGTCCCGTCCCAGCCAGAGGACCTCTGTCTTCGAAGGATTTAACTTCAACCGGCTCCCACGTAACCATCCAGCCACAGCTTCCAAGCATCTGATCAGTGTGTCTGGGGCCGAGTCAGGATGGCCATCCATCAACAGATAGAGTTGGGTGTCATCAGCATACTGATGGCAGCCCAGCCCAAAACTCCGGACAAGCTGGGCGAGGGCGCACAAAGATTTTAAAAAGCATCGGGGAGAGTATCGCACCCTGGGGCACTCCACACAACAAGGAGTGGCGGGATGACAATTCCCCCCCCCAAGCGCCACCCTCTGTCCCCGACCAGAGAGAAACGAGCCTAGCCATTGAAGGACTGTGCCCTGGATCCCCACATCGGCAAGGCGGTGGTCCAGGAGTTCGTGATCGACCATGTCGAAGGCTGCTGACAGGTCTAGAAGAATCAGCAGCCCCGACCCGCTTCGATCCAGCTGCCTGCGGAGATCATCTGTTAGGGCGACCAGAGCCGTCTCGGTCCCATGACCAGCGCGGAAGCCGGACTGGAATGGATCCAGAGCCGATGTTTCATCCAGAAACCTACCAAGCTGTTCAGCAACTGCTCTCTCAATCACCTTACCCAGGAATGGAAGATTCGAAACCGGGCGGTAATTAGAATTAAAAGCGGGCGCACCACTGCCTCCTTCAGTTCCCCTGGGAATGTCCCGATTGGTCCTAGAACAATAGGGTCCAGAATGCAGCAGTCTGATTGGTCCTAGAACAATGCAGCAGTATGACTGGTCCGCAGGAGCCACCCAATCCAGCTCCAGGTGGAAGTGAATCCGCAACCTGATTGGCCTACAGGAGAATCCCAGAATTAGCCAATCACATGCGGCCCATTGTGTAAATAATGTATATAAAGCAGATATTTTGGGGAAATTTTCATTCCTCACTACAATGAGCTGAATAAAGAGCATGAAATCCACACTCAACTCTGAGTATATTTCACCTAGCTAACAGGACCAGTGGTCAGTCGCCTCCCTCCCCAAAAACAGCTGTAGACCCAAGTTTGGGAAACCCTGATTTAAAGCACACGGCTTCCTCCAAAGAACCCTGGGAGCTACAGTTCCTAGCCCTCTTAACAAACTACCGTTCCCAGGATTCTTTGGGAGAAGTTATGTGCTTCAAATGGTGGAAGTTGGAGTCCAACATCTCAAGGGTGGCATACTGGGGAAGGCTGGTGTAGATAGTATTAGAGCCTTGGGTCTTCCAGCCGTTGCTAAACTACAACTCGCATCAGCCCCAGCAAGCATGGTCAATGGTCAGGATGGTGGGAGTTCAACATCTGGAGGATTAATGGTTCCCCACACCTGTATCAGATGGACCAATTTACGTGCAAATTTGCTTAATATGCAGACTCTTTGGGGTATTTTAGAATGCAGTAGAAGTGACAGATTTTAAAATTCTTGTATATATCTGATCATTCTTTTCCTCCAGAAAATACTGTGGGTTTCCCCTCATCCTTGTTAACTGTGATGTCAATTGTTGTTTATTTTAGGAATGGCGATTGAAGACACAGTCCCGGCAAAAATGATATTTGATTCCTGGTCGGCTGGCAGCTAAAATGAAGATCTTCCAATAATCTAAGCACCAAAATAATATTGAGAATGAAGTAGCATTTAGGGTTGTATTCCCAGTTTTAGCAGGAGCTGTTTTTTAAAAAATAAAAATGATAACATTACAATCTTATGCCCACTTACAATGGGAGAAAATCTCATTGAATTTGGGGGTGCTTTCTTTTGAGTCAATATGCATAGGATTGCAGTATAACTTTTTATTTTTTTATAGTGTTTCTGTTGAGGACAAAGTAGTTAAAATAGAAGAATAGAATAAACCAAACTTTTGTGACATGCATAACCAATATGTTTTTCTGTCCACTTTGGTTTTGATTTACACTATTCAATTCTGTCTTGTGCTCACTGTGAGGTAAACAGGCACAGGGTTCACCCCCCAAAAAAAATCTTTAGAAGGTTACATAATTTCTTGCTGCAAAGCATTAGGTTGAAAATTACTATCAATAATAATAATAGGCTCCAACCACATTTTCGAGTCCCATTTGGCAGCTTAATTTCATACCTTCTCAAGGATGAGAAATAGTTCAAAAGGCTCACCTATGATTAAGCTTGCCGCAGTTGTAAAATAATAACTGGAATTTGTAATTCTCTCCTACCTTCCCTGCCTTTTGTTGACACTGAGTGGATCAAGGAGGATTGCAAAAAATCATAATCGTGATGTGGGTCAAATCCTTTTGAGCGCTATTTGCTTAAAAAACAGAGTAACAGAACACTACATTTTGTATTGCTTTAATACGTACTGACTTTCCCCTCTTACACTTTATTTTCTTTTTTAATTGAAGTGAGTCTGTGTTGGTTGAAAATCTCTGGTGATGGGTATCTACTGAATTTTGCTACAAGATAAAATGGTTATTTGCATTTTGATCAGAGGATAATTCATGGTGTTTAAGAAGTGGATAGAGAGAGGTTGCTCTCACCTCAGAATACTAGAACCCAGGGTCATCCAATTAAACTAATTGGCAGGATATTCAGGACAAACAAAAAGCCCTTCTTTGCAGAACAGTTAATTTATATGTGGCATTCACTGCCACAGGTTGCAAGGATGACCTCTGGCACATATGGCTTTGAGAGGAGAGCGGACCATTTTCATGGAAGTGTTATCAGTATGCCTTAGGGTCTCACACTGCAGGGTGCTTGTTTTGTTCTAAAATTTCAGACCCAGCTTGACTTTTATTTCCCATGTGTGCATGGAGTGTCTTTTAGCCAACCTGATCTTTACAGCCTTACTAACAGCCTGAAGAAGCCAACTGATCTCAAACAACAATGTTATGTTGATGCAGATATGCTCTAGTGGCTGGTGGGAAGTGGTAGCTGCTGAAGGATGCCAGTTGCCTACTAGGGGCTCAAGCATATGGCTGGGTGGCAAGAGAGTGGTTACCCCTGACAGTGATGGGAGATCTGGTGCCTGTCAGATGTTGCTGGACTCCCAACACCAATCAGTCCAGCCAGCATGGGTATTGGTCGGGGTGAAGTGAATTGTTGTTTGGCAACAACTGGAGGACAGTGGGCTTCCAGTCATGGAGTTCACTTCATCAAACCTGGAGGGCATAATCTCTGACCAATCAATGGATACAAGCAAGTAAATGAAGTCAAGGTCTAAATCAGTGATGGACAAACTTGGCCCTCCAGCTGTTTCGGGACTACAACTGCCATCATCCCTAGCTAACAGGACCAGCGGTTAGGGATGATGGGAATTGTAGTCCCAAAACAGCTGGAGGACCAAGTTTGGCCATCACTGGAAATGAACACAATATATTTCTATCATGTAGGTCTATAGGAATTTGAAAACTTTGGAAAAAAAGAAAAGGTCTATGCCTGGTAGCCAATAGAATGTACACCAACACCCCCCCCCCCCAAAAAAACCCCTTTATTTACTTCACAACATCACAATGCAAACACAGTATGTAATATCACTAAATTGTAACATACTGGCTATGCAGACTAAATTTGTCTCCCAAATACTAGTTACCCCGCAGCAATGAACAAAGGCAGGTTATTCAAAATACATCTCTTGTAACTGTCTTTCATCATCTGGACTTCAAGTTTGTCCCTTTGCATTTGATTGCATTCCAGAGACCTTGACTTTATTCATTCGTTTGTACACTTCATCACACCTAAGGCTGATCACCTTGCCTTCCTCCTCCTGGGGCTTCTGGGCTACAGCCAACTTGCAGAAGACCTGCAGATCAGGTGTAGAGCATATGCTCAGCATGTAGAAGGCTCCATATTAAGTTCTTGGCTCACCTGGCTACTATATCTGAGGCAGCAGAGCTGGGAGAAGCTTCTGCCCGAGTCCAGGGGTCCAATTACCAGAGTCCTGGCCCAGATACCTTTTGTGACAGCTGTCTTAGCTATTGTTTCAAAAGGCTATAGGGGCCTGAGAACTCATCCCCACGGCTCCCTGCCTCTATGTCCCCCTGTACGGTAATTTTATACTTGCTGAAGAAGGCAGTCTGGCCTCCATCTTTGCAATGCTTTGTTTTCTGAGGTTGTCTGTTGTGATCCCAGGGTCTGACTCTCCATCTTTGGGGAGACCCTGTTAAGTGAAGAGACTTCTGTCATCAGAGGCGGTGCCAGCCATCCAGCCTGAGGTACAGCCCTACTTAACACTCAGTTTGAGGCTGCTTGTTGCTGAAGCAACATTTGAGCCTTGCTGCTGTGAGTCTCCAGCTTGAATTCCTCATGGAGCTGTCCAAGGTGCTATCTGCAACCAGAACTTCCGTGCTCTCTTGGGCTACATACACACTATACATTTAAAGCATCTGTCTTCCTCCCAAAGAATCATGAGAACTGTTGCTTGCTAAGAGTCCTGGGAATTGTAACTGAGGAGCAAACTACAACTCCCAGGATTCTTTAAGGGGAAGCCAGGCGCTTTAAATGCATTACATGTATGGTAGGGATGTGTCTTTGTTTTCCTTTGTCTTACCTTTTTTTGCATCACCAGAAGCAAGTATCTGTTTGTTTGCTTCTGCTTTGCATTGCTGGAAGCAGGACTCTGCCCTGCTTTGCCTTTTCTGCTTACCCATACCTGGAACATTTACAGTGGATGCTCAGGTTGCGAACGTGATCTGTGTGGAATGTACGTTCGCAACCCATGTCTGCGCACGCGCGGGTTGCGATTCGGCGCTTCTGAGCATGCGCAGAGCACGATTTAGCGCTTCTGCGCATGCACAACTGCTGAAACCCAGAAGTAACCCGTTCTGGTACTTCCGGGTTTCGGCAGTCCGCAACCCGAAAAAGCGGGTTTCGGCAGTCCGCAACCCGAAAAACCTGAAGCGGCTGTAACCCGAGGTATGACTGTACTGTGATCTCACACCTGTTAGAATACTTCTGCTGCTGAAGACATCACTTGGACCAGAACATCAATCCTTTGCCACTCACCTTCTGTGCTTGAATTAAACGGGGGCAGTGGGGGCCTATGTTCAGCAGTGAAGCAAGCCGATCAGGCGCCATGGGTGGTGGGCATGCCCTGTGCCCAGGGGCAGGCCTCCAAGGAGTCTGCCTGCCTCCTCCCACTCAGCTGCCCTACAGCTGAGGGGGAGGTGGCGGGCGAACCGTTTGGGGCAGTGCAGAGCCTACGGGTGCTCAAACCACCACGTCACTCCCAGGAGAGAAGCGTGGCTCGTGTGTGCTGCAGGCCCTGTGGTGAGTGCCGCCCGCCATTTTGTCACCCCCTCAGTGCTGACCCCCAGGGCGGCCTGCCCCCCCTTCCTCCGTCCCTGCCTGTGTTTTTGACTAAAATTAAGAAGTGTCCTGGAGGGGGGTCTGTGGATTTCATTAAGCCTCCCTCCCTCCCCAATAATCAGAGCAACACCTGAGACCTCTGAGTGTTGATAGCATCGGAGTAAACAGACCAACTAGACAGACCAAATGACTTAGTATAAGGCAGCTTTCTAACTTCCAATTTTATTTGCCTGATATAAATCAGCGGTGGTTTCACCATCTTAAATATACTGCATGAGAACAAAGGCTGGTTATTACAGTGGCTGTCACATGGAATGACATCTCATTTTCATGTACTGGGAAGATATATGCTTGCTTTGTTTTAAAATGGGCTTCCCTAGGGAAGCTGTGCGCACTTGCTCAAAGAAGCAAATAACCTGAAACCTGCCAGCACACATCAATCAACCTACCTTTACCCTCTCTGTGTTGACTGAAATTATTTTAGCGGCTGCATGGATGGTGTCATTTTAGAGTTTCATCACTAGGATTTGGAGAATACATAGATGTGCATGTTAACAAACACATTCACATTAGAATAGTCTGCATGGGAATGTGAGGACCCACCTGCACTAGACATTTAAAACAGTATCATACCACTTGAAACCGTCATGGCTTCCCCCAAAGAATTATGGGGAGTCTAATCTGTTAAGTTAAGAGCTGTTAGGAGACCTCCCTATTCCTCTCACAGAGCTACAGTTCCCTGATTTCCCTTGGAAGAAAGATTGATTGTTAAACTACTCTGGAACTTGTACCACAAGCATTCCTCTTCTCCCAGGCCTTTGGCTAATTAAACAATCTACAACCTTTTATTTTTGTTTGTTACTATGCTATGTAGCTTTGTGTTTTTGTGTTGTAAACCACCCTCTGATCCTCGGATGAAGGGCAGCATAGAAATTTAATAAATAATAATATTAGCAATAATAATATGGGGTTCATTCGCATATATGACCTCCTTCTGCTCCTGTCTCTTCATGTGACGCTTTTCCATATAAAGATCACCTGTAGAAACCTTAATTGCTATTGTGATCATGGAAGTGACGGTACTCTGTCCCCTTGTAGGAACCAGTCCTATGCATGTATCTGAGCCACTAAAACAATCACCATGCAGACTGCAGTTGAACCTGTTAAGTTGCACCACGGCTTCAAAAAGCTCAAATCCCCTGCTGTCTAGAATCTAAACACATTGAATGAGGAAGCTGTGTCCCTTCAAACTGTTGCTGGACTGCAACTCACTGGCCATGCTGAAGGGAGTTTGAGTCCAACAGATGAATGGTTACTGGTTCCTCATCCCTGATCTAACACCCTGCAGGGTGCAATCACATTGCAACACCTGCACCCTGCAGCGGTTTTGGTGGAGCTATTGCAACACAGGAGCTTCATGGTTTATAACTGTGTATCCCCAGCCTTGCCTGGGTTTGCTAGAGCCTGCATTCGTCTGTCAACTGCATGAAGGATTTTCTTCCTTGGGCCTAGCTGCATCTGAATGCTCCGCAGGTCTTCATCCGAGCAAAGCACGAGGGCCTCTAAATCAATGTTTTCCCTCATCAAGATGGGAAGGAATTCGTTCAGGTTCTGGGACGCCAAAAACACCTCCAGGGGGGTGGTCTCCACTTTCTCATCATCCCACCTGATTTCCTCTTCGATCCAAGATTCTTCCGGATTGTTCTCCGCATCTGCGTCACCACCATCATCTTCAGGCTCTTTGAACTGAAGCAACTCATCGGGCATTTTGAAGCTGATGCCTTCTTTCTCGAGCATCATCGCATCAAAGTTTTTGCCCATGGTGGGCAAGTTGTTTTTAAATACAATGTTGCCAAGACCCGGCCGGTGGAAGATGGACCTTTGGCCCAGCTCGTCGTCATCTTCAGAAATGCCATTTTTAATTTGGAAGTCCTTGGTCAGGTCTTCCTCGTCTTCTTCATTGAACACATCCATCACGGCGGTTCGTCCGGCTGGGGTACCTCCCTCTTGGGGATTTGCTTCTTGACCATCGAGATTCTCCTCTTTCTTTTTCATCCTTCGGGTGAAGGTGTCTTTCATCTTTTGGGGCAGCGTGCCCAGTGAAGTGGATGCAAAGAAACTGGAGACTTTCGTCCTCGTGGCTGTCCCCCTCTTTGAAGGCATGGATCCTTTGCTGAAATTCCTGGCCATTTCATGTTGATGTTTCTCCTGACGCAGTTCGCATTCCTGGATTTGCCTTTCTGCATTGCGCCGAGCCTGGGTCTTGAGCTGAGAGACTCTCTTGGGATTCTTGAGGTTCTGCTCAGTAGCGGCAGCATCCAGGATCCTGACACATTCGTATTGGTTCCTGCTGGCAGCCACGTCCAGAGGAGAACGCATGTCATTATCCAGGGCGAAGATATTGGCGCCAAAATTGATTAAGAATGTTATGCAATGGACGTGGCCATTCGCGGCAGCGTGGTGGAGGGGAGTGTTCCCCCAAATGTCACACTTATCTGGGTTACCTCTGGAAAGAAACAAAACATGAAGGACTCAGACAATTGAACTCAACTCTGGAGTTTTCCAAAGGCAACATCATAAGGTAGAATGGATGGTACTACTTCAAACTATAGCTGGGAGCACCATTTTTGAATTCTTCCCTGCAAGGCGAAAATTAGTACACCTAAGGAGACAGCTTCTAGGCCAGCACATTCCTAGCTGAACTACTTTTCTAAGTGTGGGGAATTTTTGCCACCCTATTCCCATTTTATTTTGTTGCAGAGCTGAAATTCCCAGAGTTTCCTGGGAAGAGGGCTGGTTAAACCATTCCGGTCATTGCTTGGGAACAGCCCAGAAATATTTTGAAATAAAATTTTAAATATCTAGTTCAACACTACAATCAGCAGGTTCAACTCTACAATCACTGAGGGTTGTGTGGTTGTCATTGACTTGTGACAAGGCCTTTTTGGTGGTGGTTCCCTGTTTGTGAAATGCCCACCCTGGTGAGAGGAGTCTTGCTACTGACTTTCTGGAGGAAGGGAAAAGCATTCCTGTTTGCCCAGGCATTTGATGGCTGAAGATGATTGATCCTGAGAACCCTGAGATCACAGGGTGACCAAATGTTTTTAACTCCTTTTAGAATGTTTTGACTGTAACTCTTTCAGCTGTTTCTAGAATGCTTGTTTTTAAAGTAGTTTTGCTGTGGATGTGTTTGCTCCTTGAAGAGGAAGGGCAAGCTATACATTCAATTACAATCTCTGTTTCCCCGACTTTGGCAATGTGGGCAACCTTATCTGCAGGTTTCCCTCTCTGAATATAAATTGTTGAGACTTACATTCAGTGGCTGTATCCATGGCAGCCTCTTGTAAATTCAGTAAGAGGAAGCACATCCTGGCTCTATATACTTAACTTTAATGCTTTGCTACTGAATTCTGATAGAACTCATCTATTTCCCCCAAGGCCTTTGTTCTCCCAACTGTATTTGCTCTTGAGAAGTTTTTCAAACATTTGCACAGAAGGCATTACTTGTCTTTAACTGGAGCTGAATATACACCACATATTCAGAGCATATCCCAGACCCCTCAACTGTCCCGATAAAATCAGAACGTCCCATTTTGGGGTGCCACAGCAAAAGTAGTTTCTTTCCCAAATAGGTTTTATCTTAATAGCAAACACAATAAATAAAGAGTTCACTTGTAATACATCAGTGCTTCAGTGCTCATTTCTTCTCTTTCCAAAATAGATTTTATCTTGAACAATTGCAAACACAGTAACAGAGAGTCCACTTGTGATATACCAGTGATTCCATGTTCAGACGTCATTCCGGTAATCCAATGTTTTGTTGCTAAAGAGCTTAGTCATGAAACCTTGTAGTAAATAATATACAATATGTAATATGTATATTACATATGTAGTAAATAATATACAATATGTAAACGACTTAAAGCAGGGGTATATCTATCCCCATCGGCAGGTTTCCATCGGGAGGAGCATAAAAAGAGGATGATGTCCTTCAGTTTGTTAAAGGAGGTTTAACAAACTAAAGGACATCATCCTCTTTCTATTTTGGGAAAGAAACTACTATTGCCATTTTTATGGATGTTTATTGTTTGTTTACATATAGTTGCCTTGGTGATATTATCTTGTGTCAATTGCAGTAGTCATTGTATCACCATCCTGTTCATTGTTTTAATGTAAATACTCAGGCAGGCAGGCAGGCAGGCAGCATCAGTAAATACTGTTTGTCCCAAAGCTTCAGCTCTCTGCCTATCCTCAGCCTGGCTCAAAATGATCCCCTGTGCTTTACACACACACACTGGTCTGAAACATCCTCTGCTTGGATGCAGGGGAAGATCTCCCCCTTGTCAGGAATTTTCCAGTCATTCAAAAGGCAGCTATTGATAGCAATCTGACAATCTTCTGGACAAAGGAGACACGTGCAACTATTTGGGTAAACTCCTGTCTGACTGCTTTAGCAGACTTTTGCCCAGACCCCAATCTTGCAATCATACAATTACAGAGTCACCGAACTGGAAAGAACACTCAATGCCATCACATCTACCTTTCCTAGCTCGCCACAGGGGATTGCATCCTGCCAAGTTCTGCTCAGTGCAAGCCGCTTATATTAATGGGCCTCGGTTGGTCATTCTCATTCATTTTAATGGGTTTCTCTGAGTAGAATTTAGTGGGATGCCACCTATAATTGGGGGTCAGGCAACATAGGTATACTAGTTTAACTGTCCTTCCTTCTTATGGGGTGGTGTTATTGGTTTGTTTTGCTTTTGTTCTTGATTTTAGAATGCATTTTGTGTTTATGTTCTGGAACCATAGTGTGCAAGTTAAGTGCTAATTTCAGTGTTATTTGCTTCCAAAAAAAACCACCCCACCTGCAAATAATATGGAAATGGTTGCTAAACGTGTGCAGGTATTCCACTATAGTTTCGGAAGTGCCTTTTATGTTGCATTTGTGCTCAAATATAATGAGCACAAGTTTTTTGTGCTTAAATGTAAATGTAATGTGGAATTAACAGGGAAAGGTTGTGAAAGTGCCATGTGGATGCAGCCTAAGCAACTCAGGGCAAAGTACATCGCTATTGCAATACAATAAAATACAATTCAAGAAACAGAAGCAATAAAAATGCAATTGCAAATCACCTAGCACAGAGAACTGCAGTTGCTACAACAGGCAGAAAAATGATTAAGTGCTCCACCAAAACTCTCAACAACGTTCAAGTGCTCTGTAGAGGAAAGCAGTTTGGGAATTGCTGAACTAAATCGTTTTAAGAGGACTGATCTTGTGTAAGGCATCAGAGACACAGTCACACTTAACTGGGAAGAAAGTTTCATAGAACTCAGTGGGATTAACTTCTGAGTAGATTTATACTGGATCATGTTGTAAGCTACAAATATCACAACCCATGGTTTGGATCTTGCTTCTGCTGTGAACTCACTAGGCAAGTCACTCTCTGAGCAATATGGGTGACAATAATACTACCTGACAGGGTTGTTGTAAGCTAGATAATGCACATGAAGCATGTGAACACTTGAAAGCACTACACAGATGCTAAGTATTATTGCTAATTACCTTTGATTGCTTTGTATCCAGACATAGGGCTACTATATAGCTTCTCATGAGTTTACCCATAACTGGGTTAAGCTAAACTGTTAAAATCTCATTTTACACCTGTTGACGTCAGTGAAATTAAGGGCCTGTCTGTGCAAATAGGTTTCCCTGCAGACCGGGTCACAGTGATTCAGTGTTCTCCAACATAAGCTGCAGGGCATCTGTTGTCTTATACCAAAGGGTTTTATATAAAATCCAGACCAGGCACAAACTTTTATTGAGTTTGTCTCTTAGATAATTTAATGTGATCAGTCACAAGTCAGGAAGATGACCCATTTTATAATTGATAGTTTCGCTCGTTGAGATTTAGGATTTGCCTTTGTGATGGAGAACAAAGAATTTAGGCTTTGGGGGTGCCAGATTCCCCATAATTCCTGGATTTAGTAAGTGTTAAAGTTTAATCAAGCCCCCAGAATCTTCAGCTCCAGCTGGGATTCAATTGCTGGAACAGCCAGGTCAGCATGAAAATGGCCACTAAGTATGAGTCACTAATTTAACAAAAGCATGGTGATAAGACATTAAGAAAGCAGGGACTGTGCGTTGGATGGCTCTAGGGAGAGTAATGGCTGATTTCTGCTGGCATCCAAGACTGTGGCCATGGAAGAAGCAAAACCTTCTTGGCGTGTTAATGCTGTGAGCCCCTCCATCATAGGCTCAGGTTGTATGTGTGTGTGTGTGTGTGTGTGTGTGTGTGTATGGTAAAGGGACCCCTGACCATTAGGTCCAGTCGTGGCCGACTCTGGGGTTGCGGCACTCATCTCGCTTTATTGGCTGAGGGAGCCGGCATACAGCTTCCAGGTCATGTGGCCAGCATGACTAAGCTGCTTCTGGCAAACCAGAGCAGCGCACGGAAACGCCGTTTACCTTCCCACCGGAGCGGTATCTATTTATCTACTTGCACTTTTTACGTGCTTTTGAACTGCTAGGTTGGCAGGAGCAGGGACCGAGCAACGGGAGCTCACCCCGTCGTGGGGATTTGAACCACCGACCTTCTGATCGGCAAGTCCTGGGCTCTGTGGTTTAACCCACAGCTCCACCTGCGTCCATATATATATATATATATATATATATATATATATATATGCAAATAACATACATCCTAAAGACAGCACAGTCTCCGCTGTACCTCATTTCCAAAAGGAAACAAGAGCCGTGGGTGAACGCCTGGAGCCCTAGGAATCCTGCATTGCTCTGAGATTGAAGTGGCATGCAACATTATTTTGAAAATCTAGCTCATTGCTGTCTACACTAAGGGCTCATCCAGACTTCCTATTGTGCCACTTTTCTTAGGCTTTAAAGCTCCATGTCTTGAGCAGTGGCTTTTTTTTTTTTTTTGGTCCTGGGGTTTTCCCTTTTACCGTTGAATAGGAGCAAATGCAATTGGGCTTTTGCTCTGATTCAGGGGCAAAATATGTGTTTTCCTGGGGAAAGCACTGTGACCAAAACAAAAAACAAGACCACTCCAACACACAGCTTTAAAACACAGAGTTGTGCCTGGAACGTGCTGTGCAAAAGGAAGTCTGGATGAGAGCTGAGTTACAGTGGCTCTTCAGGTTTTGAGGGAGTCTCTCCCAGCCCTACCTGGAGATGACAGGGACTGAACCTGGGACCTTCTGCATGCAAAGTAAATGCTCTGCCACTTGGCGATGGCCTTTCCTCAAAATGTCATTTTGCACTGAGGAGTGGATTCCAATTCCTGCTGCTCTCCAATGGACCACTTGACATTTACTGACCACGTCATGATCTTTCTGCCTGTTGCAGTCATTGTAATGCACTGTGCCAGACGCTACATGGTTTTTAACTGCATTTTAACAGGTTCACCATGGACCAACTGAATGATGTTTGCAGACCACTGGTGGTCCATAGAGCACAGTTTGGGAATCCCTGGCATAGGGGAACATTTCATCATGTGACATCCCACCCAACCCAGGTCAGTTCAAAGTGGTATAGCCCAAGCAGGCTATATAGATTGACCACCTCGGTAATGACAAGCCTTGGTTCCTTTTTTCATTAGTGAAGTCTGTGGAGTGATAATTCATTTTACTAGGCTGTAAATTTAGGATAAGCAATTGTACTGTTTAAAGGTTGCTTTTATTGGCAATAAAACATATCATATGAAAGAGCAAGCCACACCCAAAAGCCAGGAACTAAGAAATGCTTTATCTTCCTATACTTGAAATTTGCCTTCTGTTCTAACACTCTAAGCCAGCAGTGAGGAATTGAGGGCCACATTCTGTTCTGAACAACTTTCTGAGGGCCAACATGCCACTGAGCTTTTACTGATAAGCATAACAGGAGTTGGACTTCCTGGGATTTGTATTGTGCTCCTAATGTCATCTGCCTAGGAACTCTGCTGGGAAGGAGACAAGTTCCCTCCCCGTATAAAAAAGAGAGGAACTCAACCTATTAGAAGCTTATTTTTTATCTGAACCTGATGCTGTAGAGTATGTTTTTCTGTAAGTATACCTGCTTTCCATCGGAGAATTTGGAGTTCTCTTTTTCTGAGACTCTCCAGTGATCACTGATTGTATGTGCACAAATAAAGCTTACATGCAGCTGAAGAAATATTTTCCTGCATGCATTTTAAAATGCACAGCAGCACTGACAGGTGGGTTCAGAGGCAAAAATCAGGTGGATCTACACATGTGAGGGCATACCATACATTTAAAGCACATTCAACACACAAGATTCTTCCCAAAAAATATCTTGGGAACTGAATTTTGTCAGAGGGGCTGGGAACTGGAGCTCTGTGAGAGCAAAACTACATTTCTGGTGATTCTTTCTCCCCCCCCCCCCGAGGAGGGATCATGTGCTTTAAATGTGCACCTGATGTCCTTTAAATGGATCTGCCGTTGCTTTTGCATTGTGAACTGCATTGCGGATGAGCAAGAGTCATATTTCTAACCAGGCAAGCAAGAGGCACTGTTACAATTCAAGGGCACATTCCAGCCCGACAAAATTACGTCAGGAGGACGCAAAGCAGGACAAGTGAGGCTTGTGGTTGGTTGGGGAAGTTGGGGCCTGAGGACAGTCCCAAGTGCTAGACAGAGGGGTACATTTGTCCCCAGTGGGCTGTCAAATTTCAGTGACACCCTGTGCAACACTAAAATTTGGTGCCTGCCACATCTCATGCTCTGTTCTACACTTCACTGTTGTGGCGCCCCCTCAGCACAACACCCCCTGCAGCTGAACCAGTCACACTACCCTAAAACTGCCTCTATTGCCTCCTAGGCTTGAGCCACCTTCGCTTTATGGATTATTTCAGCATAGCTCATATCAGTCTTTTATTCTATACAGACACACACACACCCCCCCAGTACTACGGCCCCCAGTCAATATCCTTATTGGATTTGAAATTGTTTTTATATATGTAACTTTTTAATCTGTTTTCGTATGTGTAACAGTTTTTACCTGTTTCATATATGCAATTGTTTCATACACGTTTTTATTGGGTTGTGAAATCGCTTTGAGATGAAATAAATGAAATAAATAACAATAAATGAAATAAATAACAATAATGTATTTTAAAAACTGGGGCTAACACATAAAAAGGAAGCTGGGGGGTTCCTTTCTTGGTGATGCAGCAATAAAACTGCTAGCACATTTGCAAAGCTAAGCAGGGTCTGGTATGGTTTCAAATTGGATGGGAGACCATGTGTTGAGATTCCTGCATTGCTGGGGGTTGGACTACATGACCCTTGGGGTCCACGCCAACTCATACTATCATTTCCTCCTTGTTGATACTTATCCTCCTCATTGGGCCCATTGAACAATTCAACATGTGTCCAAAAATCCACATTCATCTCCCCCGTTCAGTCAGCCCTTCATTGTGGAAGTTCAAGAGAGCAGTTCAACGCACTGACGCAGATTCCAACCCAAGCAGACTGAAAGAGATGAATACAGACTGCAAAGCAGTGGTTGAGGTACCTTTGTGTGAATCTAATTAGAAGAAGATTGCTTCTTAACTGGATTTCGATCACCTACGTCTTCCACAAACGCATGTCAGTGCTAAAGGCATTATTGCAAGTATTCTCTCTCTCTCTATATATATATATAAAACAAGCCTGGTTCAATTCTGTTCAATCCATTTCTAAGTCTACAAGCAATTTTGAGTCTACAGAAATTATTGTCTTCCTTGTTCTGAATTCTTTGGGCTGGAAACCTCTGAGTTAAACAGGTTTCCTTGTTGGGAGCATTCCTTCCAGTGTTCAGGAGGAAGGCTCACCACATACACCCCACTTTCTCCTAGCCATGGTTCTGGTGTGGCCCAGGATAGCTCAGCTGGTTAGAGCTTGGTGCTGATAATGGTAAGGTCACAGGTTTGATCCCCGTATGGTTGCAGATTCCTGCATTGCAGAGGATTGGACTAGATGAAGCATAGAAGTCCTTTCCAACTCTATGATTCTAGGAACCTGCCTTTCTGAGTCAGGTCATGGGACCATTTAAGCAGAGTTTTGTCTACATAGACTGTGCGCAGGGTTCTCCAGGGTTCCAGGTAGGGTTCAACTCGTACAACAAAACAACACCACCACAAACTGGCTTATAAGTATAAAACCAAATTTACTAGAATAATAGCTAGAATAGAGATATATATTCATTCAAACAACAAACATACTAAGGTGCCATGTGCAAGACAAAGTCTGGAGATACTGTAAACATGGAGTGGATAAATGTACAACTCTATCTTAACAAGTTACATGTACAGTAAATGTTATACAGACTGGATAAATGAACCGTTCAACAAGTAGTATCTCCAGGCTTTGTCTTGCACATGGCACCTTAGTATGTTTGTTGTTTGAGTGGTTACAAGTCTATCTCTATTCTAGCTATTATTCTAGTAAATTTGGTTTTATACTTATAAGCCAGTTTGTGGTGTTGTTGTTTTGTTGTATTAGTATTACTGCCACCACATTTGATACTTTGTGTATATACTTTAGGGTTCAACTGGTGTCAGAGACATGGCTGACAGAGAGCAGTCTGCAGAAGGGGAGGAAGAGGCAGAGGAAAACAGGAACTTGATTCTTTCACACAACAAAAGTGAGAGAAGCCCTTCTCGCTCTGGAATGCTGCCTGTAAGTTTCCGCAGCAGCCCAGAGATGCAGGAGCAGGAGGCAGGTGGTAGGAGCGGGTTGGATTCAGCTCCAGAGGAGGAGGAATTGGCTGCACCTGAGTCTCCAAGAAGCAGGAGGCAGAGCAAGCGATTAGAACAAAAGAAGACCAGCAGGAAGCGGAGGAGGACCATGGCGTATACCTGGCCTTGGGAGGAGATAGAAGCCAGTCGACTGACTCCGACAGTGAGGAATGAGCTGTGGGAACTCGGACTGCTGAAAGCCTGTTATTGCTAAATGTTCCTCAATTAGTAAAACTGCCAGCGTTCTGTGTCTTGTGTGACAGAAGTGCTAAACCTGACAACTGGGGAACTGCACCAGAGACCTTCTGGATGCAAAGCAGATGCCTTACCACTGAGCTTTGGCCCTTTCTTCTAGCCTTCTTCAGTATTTCTGCATGCACCCTGGCTCTACAAAATGATGCCCTCTTTCCTCAAGGGTCAGAATGGTTAGGCATGTGTTGAGTGCCCACACCCCTGCAGGAAGTCCACTGAGAACCTGGGACCTGCTCTGGTTATTGTGGAGTTGGAAAAGGTTCAGGGAAAAAGGGCAACCAAAATGAGCAAGAGGTAGAGCGAATCCATCTACAAGCAAAGCTTACAGTGTTTGGGGCTTTTAAGCTTAGAGAAAAGGGGAATAAGAGGTGACCTGAAGGAAGCTTATAAAATTATGCATGACATGGGAGAAAGTGGATGGCGAAAAGTGTATCTCCCTATCTCCTAACCCCAGACTTCATGGACATCTCATGAAGCTGACCATTGGAAGATCCAGGACAGATGAACAGAAGTCCTTATTCACACAGTGACAAGTTAAATACAGAATTCGAACCCACAGGAGGCCCATGATGGCCACCAACTTGGATCACCGTATTTTTCACTCTATAAGACGCACCAGACCACAAGACGCACTTAGTTTTTGGAGGAGGAAAACAAGAAAAAAAATATTCTGAATCTCAGAAGCCAGAACAGCAAGAGGGATCGCTGAGCAGTGAAAGCAGCAATCCCTCTTGCTGTTCTGGCTTCTGGGATAGCTGCACAGCCTGCATTCGCTCCATAAGACGCACACACATTTCCCCTTACTTTTTAGGAGGGAAAAAGTGAGTCTTATAGAGCAAAAAATACGGTACTTTATAAGAGAGAAATTAATGGAGCACACAAATACCAGTGGCCACTAGTCATGGTGGCTATGGTCTGCTTCCACAATCAGAAATAGTAATGCCTTTGAATACCAGCAAATGGAAACCACTGAAGGAGGGAGTGTTATTGACATCTGGTTGGCCACTGTGAGAACAGGATGCTGGACTCGATGGGTCATTGGCCTTACCCAGCAGGTTTTACTTAGGTTGCTGATGTTATTATTTAATAAATTTATATCCCACCCTTCCTTCCAAAGGAGCCCACAGTGGCAAACATGTAAATGATGAAAGAATACAATTAAACACTTCTAAAGACAGTTTACCTTCTAAAAGGATCACCAGCTCTCAGAACTGATAATTCCAAGGTTGCCAAGAATCTTTCATCCATCAAATGCCTGGTAAACAGGATTTTTTTAAAAAAGAAATTCCCCCTAGAAGTGCTTAATGAGGGAAACAGACACACCTCAGTAGAGAGGGCATTCCACAAATGAGGAACCACCACTAAAAAGGCTCTGCCATGACTTCCACCACCAAGCAGGTAGCCCAAACTGACAGCACCACCAACAGGCTCCTTTATGTCTTAAACTCAAGGCAAAAAGTTGTATCTAACTAGGTTTGACTCACACTAGAATCACTGGAATCAAGGCCCATTAATTTCAATAGGTCTGCTCTGTGTAGGACTAGCATGGGATACAACTTCAGGGTGGGGTTTCTTTCTTCCCCTCCTCATCCCCTGAAATCTGATCAGCTCTAAAACAAAGAACCTATTGCCTGTTATCCCATCCCTCTCCCTGCAGGTTTTAGGATTTTAAAATACAAACAAACCACACACATTGTGGCATCTATCAAAGCCTGCTGAATTTACCCTCTTCGGCAGATTATTTCCATAGCCTCCAGGTTGCCATGGTAAGCCACCAGCAAGGTCGGTGTCATCCCATCCGTGTCTGAGGTATTCAGGTCTTTTCTGGTGGCTTCTCTGAGTAGGTCCAGATTGCCGTCAGCAGCTGCCTGGTGGTACCGGGTGGACATCTTCCCCGCTGGTAGGATCCGTCTGAGGCAAAATCCCCCTCACACAGTGTAGCCGTTGGATTCAATGGCTGAATGCTTCCGGAAACACAGCTAGTTAATTAATAGCCGCAGGCAGCAGGGCGGCAAGATAAAAAAACGAGGAAGCAAAGGTCACTCCTGTTTGCACCGTTCTTGAAAATGTCATCTCCTCAGTCATAACCTTGAGGGACGTTCACTGTAGTTCTCACAATGCCCAAATGCCTGTGCAGAGTAAGGGCACCCCATCCAACTCCATTTTCTTCAGCGTTTGACAAGGGGGAAATAGGCCTATTTGTGTTGTAAATGAAGGCCTCTCCTAACAAAGGAAGCTGCCTTATACTGAGGCTACGTACATCCACACAGCATATTTAAAGCGGTATTACTGTATACCACTTTAAATGCTCACGGCTTCCCCCAAAGTTGTGAGGAGACTCCTGCTCCCCTCCCAGAGTTACAGTTCTCTGAGTGGTTCAACAGTACAGTGGTACCTCAGGTTAAGAACTTAATTCATTCTGGAGGGCCATTCTTAACCTGAAACTGTTCTTAACCTGAAGCACCACTTTAGCTAATGGGGCCTCCCGCTGCCGCCGTGCCACTGCTGCGTGATTTCTGTTCTCATCCTGAAGCAAAGTTCTTAACCCAAGGTACTATTTCTGGGTTAGCGGAGTCTGTAACCTGAAGCATCTGTAACGCAAGGTACCACTGTATACCTGTCAACTGTTCTGGGGAAAAACGGGACATCCCATTTTCAAACACAAGATCGTGTCGGCCATTTTGGGTGCTGTGATCTCCCCAAAAGTTGAGGGGAATTTCCATTCAAATGGTTGTGTGTACCACATCATGTGATTAATTATACAGGGTGAGGCTTACCTGCTACCCCCCCCTCAATATTTTATTCAGGTTGGCACCCTTGGCTAGGAGGACTGTGTTGCAACATCTTGTGTTACAACTGAATATATCGAGTGACCAGCAGCAGGGCGGGGGGGTTATATCAGTTTTTTGGCCTGTTATAAGAAAACCAGCCAGAAGAAGAAGAGGAAGAAGAGGAGGAGGAGACTTAATGCCTAATGAGTCACACTGTCGGTTCTGTCAAACAGTTTGGAAAAGATCCAATGAGACTCACTGCAAATTTGCAAATTCCCTCTCGGGAGGACTTTATTAGCCCTTCCATTCTAGACCCTTGCAAAGCTCTTAAAGAATGAGCTTCATTTGAGTGGGAGTCTTTCTTCTTCCACTTTTTGTAAGTGTTGAATCAACATTGAATGGTGTTTTGAGCTAGCGGAACGATTCTTTCCCCTTTCATCCTCAGAAAAGATATTCCAAGGCCCAAATGATTTCGCTCTGAAATCGGGAAATGAAGCCTCTGTGTGTGGGACTGATTAGGAGGAACTTGACAGTTGTTTGAAAGGATGCTTTTAAACTTCTTATAGTTGTTTGATACCTTATCCTTGTAGTGCAAGCAAGTTTCCTGAAAGGAAGTACATTTCAGTGTGTTGTGGGTCTTATTCCCTTGTAAGCACTAAGCACTGCAGCCTTGGGGTGGGGTGGGGAGTTGGGGGAGAGGACTGGGATTGTTTTATATAAAAAGGTTTGTTTCAAAACAATTTAGAGCTGCTGAGAGCACCATCCTACAAAAATAGACACAAATATATTTTTTCTTCATTGTGTTGAGCCAAGCACTCCTGATTTCTCTGTTTACCTGGGAGAGTTCATTTTCTTATCCCTGCCCTATATAAATTATTGCCCCTATTTATAGCTTTTGGAAATGGCTTGTTAAAATTTTGTTAATTCGGCCTACTGGGTGTAGTTAGGTCTACAAGGCAGAGCTTTCCCACCACTGCTGTATTTTATTCAATAATTTTATTTATTTGTAGACATCTGTATATACCACCATCTCATCAAGAAATTGTGTGGTACAGTATTTAACAATATATGTAACATAAAGCATTAAACAGCAGTAATAATACAGGACAAAATAATCATTAACATAACTGGCTGAACAATAATAGTTTAAACCAGTGGTTTTTCAACCAGTGTGCGGGGCACCCTCATAGCTGTCAACCGTTCCTTATTTGGCGGGAAAGTCCCTTATCCCAGCGCTGTGTCCCGCTGCTGTCCCTTATTGATGATGACCCTTAAATTTCCCGGATTTCAAAGGAAGCAGCTCCTCTCCCTCCCTCCCTGCCGGCCAGAGAGGAGGGAGGCTCCAACTGTGTTGCTTGGCTGCATTGCTCACCCAATAAGGAGTCTAAGAATGACTGGGGGGTGGAGCTTGCATGCCTTGTGCCAATCAAATCAGCCGTGTTGCCTGGGGACTCGCCTTTGCTCAGAGCTTTCCAGCAGAGAGGTGACGGTGGGTTTCCCTGCTGCATCCCCTTTGCCAGGTTGCTGCGCTGTGGGAACCACCGCTTGAGGCTTCATTTGGCTGCTGGCTGGGCTTTCTGCCTTTGGCTTGGAGGGGCTCAGAAGTTGAACATACCTGTGCTGGGAAAATCCCTTATTTTGGCTGCTGATCCCTTATTTTCGAGGCTGCTGGTCCCTTATTTTCAAATCTGTAAGTTGACAGCTATGGGCACCCTGAGGTACCTTGAATGCTGGTCAGGGGTGCCTTGGGCAACATTGGCCTCTGTCCCTCTTTCCTTCCTTCCCTTCTCTGATGCCCTCTTGCATTTTCTGCCTCCCAAAGGCTTGTACGGCTGTTTGTTGCAGCAGCTGCAGCTACAAGCTCTGCAGGCGAATGGTGCCTCTGGGATTGGCCAGGGGGCACTGGTAGAGGAAGAGGAGTGCGGGGGAGCACACCGCCCCCAGCAGCACGATCCCAGTGGGGTGCCATCGCAGCTGCCCCCTTTGCCCACGCTGGGCGCCGTGCCCCCACAGGTGGCGTGCCACGCCCCCAGGATGCGCGCCAGCCCCGCCTCGCCTGCTCTCCGCTCCCTGGTGCCGGAGCATGAAGCTCCGCCAGTGCCATGGGGTGGTGGTTGCCGGGAGCTTAGGTGGCCTCAGAGTAAGCAAGCAAGCAGGGGAGGGAGCCCAGCCAGCCAGTCCGCCAGCCCTTGCTCTAGTCCCATGCCCCTGAAGCAGGGGGGCAGCTCAGAGACCAGGGGCAGCAGCAGCAGTGCCTGGAGGACTCCCAAGGAGAGGGGAGAGGAGGCTGAAGGAATGCGCTACAAGGGAGGGTGTTCAAAAAAGGGTGAGGGGCTGCCAGCTCTGCAGGCAAGGGATGACATAACTGGTCTCCTGAGCTCCACAGGAGTGTCGCAGAAAGAATGCCTTTGTTCAAGAGAGCCGTGGACTCAAAAAGGTTGAAAACCTCTGGTTTAAACAATTGCATAGGCCTGTCAACATGAAAAGGTATTTGAGAAACGCCTGAAAGTCAAAAGCAAGGGTGCTTGTTGCATCTCTGCTGGAAGAATGCTCCATAACATGGGACTGGCAACTCCAAATGCCCAACTTTTAGTTGAGGCTAGACCCTTCAAGTGTCCCTATTCCCCAGGAACATTCCTGGATTTACAGAAGCCGTCCTGGTTTCTGATGTGATCCTGGAATGTCCCGCTTTTCCTTAGGATGTCCGTATTTTCATCTGAGAAATGTTGGAGGGTATGGAGTTATGCAACTCCCGAGCCAAGGAAATCTGAAGACATCTGAAGGCAGTCCTGTACAGGGAAGTTTTTGAATGTTTAATGTTTTATTATGTTTTTATATATGTTGGAAGCCGCCCACAGTGGCTGGGGCAACCCAGTCAGATAAGCAGTGAATAATAATAATAATAATAATAGACATCCCTAGTTTCATCGGAGAAATGTTGGTGGGTAAGAACTCTTGGTTGAATTGATAGCATTTTGTGTACTCGTTAATTGCTATTAGGCTCTTAACAAGCCAGACGCTTCTGACGCTTTTGAAGTGACAAAACAGGCTCTGCTCCCTGAGAGTTTATGGCACTCTCAGGCGGCCAACTTCGCTGCCCTTTCATCCCGAAACAAAAATGCAGATTGTGTAATTGGAAACAGTTCCCTGGGAGAACCAGAGCCACTTGCTGCGATTTGCTTGTTAGAGCTGCTGGCGGCATCGAGATCAAAGCTCTGGTGCGGACAAAGCAGCAGACAGCTCAAAAAGCAGAAAGCAACTTGAGGCTCGATGAGAAGAGATGGTTGGCAGAGAAATCTTGGTAACTGCCTGCAGCCCTCATCTGGCCGTGCTTTTTCCTGCTACTACACCTTTTTACGTAACGCAGAAAAAAAGCGCTTTTTCTTAGCTTCTGGCTCATGTCTGTTCTAAGAACACAGATAACAGCCCTGCTTTGCCCTCTCCCTGGAGTGTTTTTGCCTGGCTGGAAAGTGCCCTTGAACTGCTCAAAATGCCTCTTGCTTGCCTGGAAGGGAGAGATAAAAGAGATGTGTTTGTGGATAGAACTAGACAAAGGGGAAATTTGTGTTCTCTGCTCCTCCCACTTTAGCCTCTGGCCCCACCCACCACTGACCTGTGGCCCTTGGGACATTAGGTAAAGGTAAAGGGACCCCTGACCATTAGGTCCAGTCGTGACCGACTCTGGGGTTGCGGCGCTCATCTCGCTTTATTGGCCGAGGGAGCTGGCGTACAGCTTCTGGGTCTTGTGGCCAGCATGACTAAGCCGCTTCTGGCAAACCAGAGCAGCGCACGGAAACGCCGTTTACCTTCCCGCCGGAGCAGTACCTATATATCTACTTGCACTTTGACGTGCTTTCGAACTGCTAGGTTGGCAGGAGCTGAGACCAAGCAATGGGAGCTCACCCTGTCGTGGGGATTCGAACCTCCAACCTTCTGATTGGCAAGTCCTAGGCTCTGTGGTTTAACCCACAGCATCATTGCCCAGGCATTAATGTGGCTCTCAGACTGTGAAAGGTCTCTAAAATGCCCTAAAATGTTGATGAGTTCTCATGCGGACTTTTTGGGTGTGTGTGTTGTTGTTTTTTAAAAAATTCCAGACTGATGTGGAAATGTGGAGAACCGAACTCAAGGGTGGAAAAACGAGAAACTGAAAGAAACCGAAAACGACAGATTCTCGTATGAGAACCA